TCCCACCATCACAACGACGCAACGCGAATAAACCTGTTTGCTTGTTTGCTTTCAGTAGGCGCTATAAAGCTTAGCTACCTCCTGTTGCAACTCTAACAGGTTTGCCGCACAACAAGAATAGCTTTTCTGATTAAGCATTTCAAATGGAGAGGACTCTTCCGAGCGGAAGTTGTCAAAATAGGATTACACATATGTCCAAGACTGTAGTTTGACGAGACGTCTCATCCATGCGCGCTGGTGTAGAAGGTACACCCTCGTACCAACCAGTGTTGGTGGGGGACCTCGAGGGTTAGCACAACCCTACGTTCGTTCGCCAAAGATCCTTTAAGTGTCATCATGCAAGATGAGAGTGGTGTACAGGTAGGTATCTTGTCTTCATTTATGTCTCTGCAGCACAATTCTAGATGCCCTCTACCTGCCTGCATTTCCGAAGTTTCATCTTCTGGACCGCCGTGTCCCTGATCGACAACAAGGCAAGTGGGATCTCTCTCCACCCCACGTGCGGCTGGCGGGGGGGGGGGGGGTGCAAACTACAGAATCGAGTAAAGAACGGTACCCATGCCGGAGCTAGGTCTCCGGCAGAGTGGAACCGCAGTTGACAGCGGCTTGGGCTCTTCGTAGTCAAGAGATATAACAGACCGTGGGCCCTTGTGTGCGGATCCGAAAACCCTGGGCATTTTACTAACGAGAGGTGTGCTTGCCGATAACACCACAGTCCTCCTAGTTTAGTTTTATGGGTTGACTGGGCCAGCAACAGAAAGGCATGCCAGAGTCGAGGAACTGCCATGGCGTTCTATAGGGAATCACCGTGAAGAGGTGGAACAGCCCAGGCTGGTAAACGTGTCTCGCAAGCGGGAGTTTAGCTAGAACCTGAGATGTCGAAAACCCCGCTTCCATCAAGAAATTCAAAGGGACGCTCTGCCGCGAATTCAGCAAAAGCACATTTCGATGGTCTGGGGCTATTGAGAATCTCTCATGGGGACTAGCTGCAGTGGCTACCTGTTCTTAATTCGAGCGGCTCGGCCTGGCCAGTTTGCTAGCCGGGCCCACTCTTCACGACCGCGATTCGCCGTCTTGTAGGTGATTTTGAACATTAGCGCTGATCGATAACCGCTATGCGGCAGAGGGAAGATGTATGGGCTTCGCTCTCTGACAGGTCTTGATACCAGGATACGAACAGGGCAGCGGGAAGAAACGCAAAGCGCGGACTTGCAGCCTTGTGTGTCCCATGATATTTTCCGTGCTACTGTTTTGGAAGGAGTTGGTTGCCTTAGAGAGAGGCATGCGCGAATTTCTATGCCATCGACCCATCGTACTAGCCGTATTGATGGCGGATTGGAATGTCGAGCGTTGACTACATACTCTGTCGAGCCTTGGTTTCATGTAGCGTACATACCACGACTCGAGGCCCCGCCGCTTGCATCTCCTTTTCAAATAAAGATTGGCTACAATAGACAGTAGTATAAGACAAGCAGCACCCTCTCATGGCCCACATTCAAAATCCTAAATATGAAGCTCGGTGACGCGCGTGGAGAAGAGAAACGACATGGAAACCAAGTACCATTACTTGGGTTAACTCGGCTGCTTAGGGCTTGAGAGATGCCCCAATCTCATGCTTAGTGCTTTGGGTAAGAGCACACTGGTAGTTGCCATAATCATACACGCTTTGCTCCCCTTCGACACGCTGACTGAACGCATGTTGACACAAAGTACACTAGGGCAGCATTTTAGAGGGAATTGCTCGGCGTGAATATTGTTCGGTTAGCCTTATCCAGGAGTGACGTGGTGTGAGGTCTTAATCTTCAGTCAGATGTGAGGACCGCTTGTGAGGGTGTCCGGGGGTTGCGACAACGTTGTTGACCAACTGCTCCATCATGATCTTGCTTACTGTATACCATTATGGTGACGATGATACGCTTTGCTGCCTAAAGTGTTTGGTTTGTTCTTATCCTCAGGCGCCAGCAGCAGCCTAGACTTCGGTCTGTCTCCGTCGTCCATTGCCCGTTCACGTATCCTCCATGCACAAACAGGGGGGAGGCAGAGACGATGGCACCTGGATGCTGAAACAACACATAGAAAGCTTATGTTTTTTCCCCATCGGCGGCAGTTTCTGAGGCCTTGCGTCAATCGAGCGGACGATGAGGGCAGTACTTGGGCACCTGGCCTCTCTCTCAGCATGCTTCGATCTTTAAGGAGGCTTATCATCATGGCTATCACGGTGCCGCCCCAGCTGATACCAGACAGCTTACACCTATGACTCCTAGCTTTTACCATCAGGACGATGATCGACGTATGGTTGACGTGTGTAAGCGTGTCGTAAAGGATCCCTTTCAGCCGGGTCGCATGCCTCTTTATGTCCCCAGATCCATGATGGAGCCTTCTAGTCATCAAACTAGCAACCACTCTGGTCTGCTAGGGAAACTCTAGAAGTGAAGCTCGGTACTGGAGGCATAATGCCTACGAGATTAGCCCTTATTGCACACGCCCGATCGTCGTTTCTTGCAGTAATGCTAAGGCAGTAGTATGTACATGGGTGTATCGTATTCATCGGGTCAAGTATGCTGACCAACAAAACTCTGTTGCCGTTCTTGTAGTTTCTGCGATTGCTACGGTGAGTATCAGCTACCTCTTTACCAGGACACCAGGGACTCAGAGTCTTTTTATCTACAATACAACAGAAAAGACCGACGTTCCCTCGTTCAAGTTGCCCAGCATGATGTCTCTAGCTTACCCCAACGTTGTTCATTACGCATATTTCTGAATCGCATCAACTTTGTGAAAGGGCTGGAACAGAACAATTACTCCAGAGCATAGACCTGACAATAATACATTCCACTTCCGAAAAAAGATACATGCCCAGCTGTCAGGTAACCCTGTCAGGTAAATTTGATGTCACCTCAACGTCGAAGCTCTCTATGTAATTGCCACTCCAAACCGCCGTCAGAGCTATCGTATCGACGATATTTCGAAGGCTAAACCCAATTAATAAAATGGACTCTCCATCGAGATTAGCCACTGCCCTGATGAAACGTCTTTGTAGCTCAAACATCAACGCATGAGCCCAATAGTCGCTCTACCCTGCTCCCCGGCGGCGAGCCCAAGCTTACAAACCCGCGGAACTGACGAAACGGGACTTCGGTCGGTCTGCTCTGAAGAAATAGCGGAGCCGTGCACATCGATGGTATTGTGAATGGTGACTCACACGCTGCATACGGTCTCCCAGAGCCCTGGGCTGCCACCGGATTGGGCATCACAATTATTAGGGCAGGGAAGAACATTGATAGAAGAGTCTACTGCCTCAAAATCATACCAAATACGTCAAGCATGGTATACAAGAGATTAAAAGTGAATTCTTCTCTATGTGAATCGGAGCTACTAGCTATGCTTCCTATGTGTCCGGAACTTGGTCATGGTAGGGATGGCGTCGTAGTCTGCTTATTGAGCGCAATCATGATTGAACCCTTCCCACACGCGATCTAAGGAGACCTCCTCATGGCCCCAGTAGACGATATCGCCAAGTCAGCCATAACCTTACAAAACAGGACGCAGACTGATCGTGGGCACGTTTGACTAACCTCTCAATGAAGTTTGCGCCGATTTCCCCATATTAACAGCCGACGGCACAGGCCCTGTCATGCTTCATCCGCCATCCTATGTCGAGGCAACAATAACCTCAGAAGGACACACGTTGACAAACCCCGCCGTCCTGTGGGATGCCAGGCAATCCTGTAGGCATGAACCGCTGACGTTGAGGCGCAGAATAGGGTGGACGTTCTAGTTACATAGCACAGGCTGGTCTGTGATCAAGTTTTCTGTGTCTTGGGGAGTGAGCGCGGTACTAGAGCTTTAACCTCCTCGAGCGCTTCTTCCCTTCCTCCTGTTCCGGAACCTTGAGCTACGGGAGACTAAGGTCAGCTTTGGGAACGCTTTATGAAGATCTTTCGAGTTCACGAGACGGGTGAGCTGACTCGGAGTGATCTTTTATTGCAAGTATTGTCGTGTCCTCCGGTGGATTCTTGTGGAGGTGTTTCAAGGTTGAACTCTGGAACCATAAATCTGTACATTGAGAAAGCATGCCAGCAAGGGTTCTGAAAGTGGGAGAGCCTGAGCAATGTCACGGCGAGCAGCTATTCGCGGTTACTGAGCCCCGTTATTCCTGGTGTATGAGAGGCTGATGTATCGATCGTGGAATTCATACTCGGGCACTCGCCATTCATAGTAGCCCAAGGCCTTCAGCTAGAGATTTCCTGGTCTTCGCAGTCTAGTACCCTCTCCTGAGCGTAACGATATGCTTAACAAGATTACATCAAGAGAACAGCAATTCGAATGAGTCCAAGCTCAAGTCAGTGTTTCTGCGATTCCAATGTTGCAGACGATGCGAAAGTCGGTTGCCTACTGTAACTCAGGACAGACTAGGCAGGAGATCGTTGCCATCCTCACCTGTTCGAAGAATCATGTATCGGTCTTTGTAGCATACGATGCTTGCAGCTCCAACGACAAGTTGCGATACTTGAACTGACTGAATCTCTGCCTCGTTGGTAGCAAAGGTCTCTAGGATTTAGCAGAGCTGGAATTATGTTGGTGAAATTCTCGAGCACCGTGAAGTCAACTGCGGAACTGCGATGCTGTCCGTGAGCTAGAAAACGAGCGAGGCAAGTGTGTAACCGCTCGGCGCCCTTCTGATGACCTGCCGACGTCTGCTGTTGCTACCTAGATCAATGATGCGGGGATGATGTGCTCAAGGAAGAGGTGTATGAACGAAAGTGGCAATAGAGGACAACATCACGTACTACAAACTACTGATCGTGACTCATGCAAAACCCCAAAGGACAAGGAGAAATAATGTCTTGCTGTCTAATGGTAATCATTTAGTCGTTAACTGCCCACCTCAATATACTTAGCCACCCGTCTGGCAGTGAAGTTTACGTCTACAACATGACAAGCCTTGCATATCGACCTTTTTGCACGTAGACCATGGATCAACCCCGGCTTCCGAGCCGCTAGTACCGCCTGATTCCCTTCTTTTCCTCTTGCGCCGCCTCCTGCGCCTGCGCGTTGATCTGGATAGCCTCCTTCAGCTTCGCAATGACCTCGGGCTGGTTGCTAAAGGCCCTCTGCAGCACCTCGTCCAGCTCCTTTTCGACCTTGCCGATTGGCTTGACGCCCGTCTTCCTGGCGCGGGCATCATTCGTCAGCTTCCCCCAGCGCTGGGTGAAGGCAACGATGGACTGCCTCAGCAGCTCGTCCAGCTGCTCGCTCATGTCCTCGACCGTCAGCGTCTTGGCCGTGACGGATGGCTGCTGCGGCGCGCCGCGCGACCAGAGGGAGCCGCCGATGATGTTGCTGACGAAGCCTACCCAGCTCTGGGGGCTCAGATTATCCCAGATGTGGCCGAAGTGCTGCATGGCTGCAGCGTCGCCACGTATGTCGCCGATCTCGAGGGACACGAGCTCGTTCTTGATGATGAGCAGGTTCTTGACCATGAACAAATCAGCATCCGTGCCGGCTTTGATTGACTTGATCCGGGCTTCTGCACGCTGCAGGACCTGGATGGTTTCCCGCACGATCTTGAAAACGACTTGGCTGTTCTTTTGCTACTGAATGTCAGCTTTAGAAGGCGTGTGAGGGATGAGTACAACTTACGCTTCGTTCCTTGGGCATGGCTTGGTCGTACATGGCCAGCAGCTTGAGGGCTTGTTTGACAGGCGGAAAGGCATTCGAGGATGAGACGCCGTTGATGACGGGCCCGACGGTAAGGGTCTCGTCCTTGACGACGGCCTTTGCGACTGTCTTCGTAATCTCTGCCTCGAACGCACTATCCGTGAAGACCCAGAGATGCTCCGTCAGCAGCCTGGCGCTAAGCTCTCGGCACTGGCGCGCAAAAGGTGATTCTTCGTCGTCGTAATCAAGGACGAGATACTCGTTGGTCAGCCATCCTACAACACTGCAGATGGTGTCCAAGTCTGCAGTCTGCAATGCGGACTGCAGGTTTGCGGCTATCTGCACAAGGTTTGCCGGGTTGACCAGAGACCTCTGGTTGGACTTGAGGACCCCGTAGGCCGAGTTCGGGTCAGAGCTCCACTGCAGATCCAGACCAAATATCTTGACAAACAGGTTGGCCTCGTTGAAAGCGCGTTCATAGCTCTGCTTGATGTAATTCCTCGAGGCCGTCTCAACAGACAGGTCTTTGATCTCCTTTTTGAACTCGTCCTGATCATGCTGCACAATAGGCTTCAAGTCACGATCTCGGACGCTCAAATAAGAGCTGAAGAGATTGCTTGTGGTGTTGGAGTAGATGTCCTTGGCAACGCCAGTGATGGGAAGGCCGTATTGATCATACACGCTGCTCACTACCTTGTGGATATTGGGGATCAATGAGTACGAATCGAGGATCATCCCCTCGAAACGACCGTACGCAACCGCATGGCGAGTAGCCTCGGACTTTGTTCCCGCGATCTGGCCAGAGATCTCGGATGATATACTGTCTAAGCGATTGGTGAAGCCGACCTCAAGAAGATGAAGTGCCTTGGTGAGCAAGGATTCGTAACGAGCAAGATAGGACTCAGCATCGCGGTAATCGGTCTAGTATTGTCTGTCAGTCCCAGTTCCCAAGCGTAAAGCAGAAGCACCTACGTGTTGCGACATGAACCCTATGCAGGAGTCAAGATTTCTCAAGATCTCGCCGAAAGAGTCATCGTCCACCAACCGCCCAGCGCCAGGGGCATTGAGTCTCCTGGAGACATTGTCGAGGTATGCGTAGAAATGGAGATCGGTGCCCACTTCGTCTGCCAGCTTCTCGAGTCGGTGCTGCTCAGACAGGAGATCCTCGCACTGAGATTGGAATGAGCTCGTTTGCGCCTCTACAGACTGGAACGACTCAGACAGCGTCGTCAAGAGCTTCAGCGCTGCGTTTGTGTCGTCGATTAGCGTGTCGAGGTGTCGTTCGGTGAGCGTAAGTTGGTCTTTGTAGAGTCTAGTCTGAGGGTCAGCACCGCCTCTCTACAGCAAGCCGCTCGAACTCACAGATACTCTTGCTGACTAGCCTCGAGCAATTCATCCCCATGCAGGCCAAGGACCGGATGAGGGCCGGTCTTGGAGTGGGCAATCTCGGCCGCAATATCCAACGCATCCCATGTCTTGTCCTTCCTCCGTCTGCGTTTCTTCTTCTGTTCGTCCTTTGCCAATTGAGCTCGGACAACGTGGTAGAAGTCGGAGTATGACTTTGCGCGGCGGAGCACAGTCGCTTCGGGAGGGGTGTTGCGGTTCTCAATGTCTTCGAAGATCTCGTCAAGAGCCTCTGGTGCACCGGAAGCTTGTGGCACACCCTGTCATGGTAGCAGTTGTTAGCAAGGTGTCCAGAGGGAGACAGACGGTGGGGGTGGTTTGGAGCTCACGTTGGACTGCTGCAATAGCGACTCTCTGCGGCGGTGAGTTCCCTGGGCGGCCGTGGCGGCTTTCTTGGCCACGTCTGGCACGAAGCTGTACCAGGAGTCGTCGTACATCGTGGCTACCCTCGAGAGCTGTCCGGGGGCGTGGGCGAGAAGCTCTGACGCAACGAGATCCTGTCCGGTCTGGCGCCGGTCGATGTTCCCACCAAAACGCGCCCGCCGGTCCGTCCAGGACAGCTCAGCCAGCTCTCACCTCGCGTAAACTGGGCGGAAAATCATTGGCCCCAACTGCGGCCGGCTGGAACTGCGAAAGTGGGGTTCGCATGTTCACCCGCTGCGGGGCGCACGGTCCCATGCACGGTCAGGGGTCTTTTTAGAGTCTAGATTTAGTGCTGGGCGAATCGAAGTTTTAGTTTTCGTGGATGACCTCACGACCTGTCAGCGAACGTCCCGGCTGCACCTCAGCACCACCACCTTACGCAAGTGGTTTGTTTTATCAGTGGGTTTTTTAATGCTCTCGTCTCAACATATCTCAAATTCCACAGCCATCTCTCCAATCGCTTCTTCTCGTGAGCCTTGAAAAGATGAAGGCTTGCAGAACAGCTACGCGCAACGCTGGCGCGTCTCTTACAGCTCAGAGATGCGCCGCCGTGGTCCGCCGCCATGCCAGCTCCGGCCCCCGCCGACCCGGTGAGAAGTCGGGCTTGGGGAAGGCCACCGCCTTGCTTCTCACGGCAGGAACCGCGGGTGGTCTGTACTACGCCGACGATTACTTCAACGGGCCTCTCAAGCAGTTCTTCAGCCCCGAGGCCGAGAAGGAAGCTGAGCCCCGCAAGACAAAGTACCAAAAGGCCGAAATCGAGTTCGAAAAGGCAAGAAAGGAGGCACTGTCAAAGGAGGAGAACCGCGACCTCATTAGCTCTCAGCATCTTCAGGTCAAACAAAGCTGGGAGAACCCCGGCGTCTACGCTTGGGGCTCCAACGTGGGCAAGGTGATCGACCCGCAATCCAAGGAGACCGTCGTCAAGCTGCCGAGGAGGATCAAGTATTTCGATGGGAAGCTTTTGCGGGACATCAAGTTGTGCCAGGACTTTGGCGCTGCCGTCACGGAGAAGGGCGATCTCGTGCAATGGGGCCTGGGTTTCTCAAACACCGACCCATCGCCTGTTGAGACGCTCAAGGGCAAGGACATTTCCAAGATTGCCATCTCCAACGACCGGATCATTGCACTCTCGTCCAGCGGATCGGTATACTCGGTCCCGGCGTCACGCAGCGGCCTGGTGTCCGGCTCGCAGTCGCTACAACAACCGCAGCAGTCGTCGTCGTCGTCGTCCTGGATCCCCTTTTGGAGCTCGGGCGGATCAGAGTCGGTCAAGTTCAGAGACCTGACGCCCAAGAACCTGGCCTGGGGTGAGAAGGTCACGGACATCAGCAGCGGCCTGCAGCACAGTCTGCTGCTGACCTCAAAGGGACGCGTCTTCTCCGCCGCCGCCAGCACGGCCGAGTTCCCTTCCAAGGGCCAGATGGGCGTCCCGGGTCTGAGCTGGACCTCGCGTCCGGCAGGGCCTTACGACCAGCCTCACGAGATCACCGGTCTCTCGGGCTTCAACGTTGCCAAGATCGCCGCCGGCGACTTCCACTCTGTTGCCCTGACCAAGGACGGCAAGCTCTTCACCTTTGGCGACAACACGTACGGGCAACTCGGACTGCCGGCCGAGTTGACATACCAAACGGTTGACGCGCCGTCTCTTCTGAACACGGCCAAGCTCTACGCCAACACCGGACTCATCCCGAAGATCACGTCCATCGCGGCCGGAGGAAACAACACCTTCTTCACCGTGGACGCCACGGAAAGCGGTAGCGAAACCGTCAGCGGAGACGTCGCGCCGGCGCGGCGCATGCCAAAGGTCACGGCGGACTTCTGGGCGTGCGGGCAGGGCGTCTATGGCGCGCTCGGCACGGGCAAGTGGACGCACGTCACGCCGGGGCCGGCCAAGGTCAAGGCGCTCTCGTCGCTCTTCGAGTTCGACGAGAAGAACAACAGGATGACGCCGATCCGGCTGTCCAACGTCACGGTGGGCAGCACGCACGCGTCGGCGACGATGGACAACGTCACGCGGACGGGCGCGACGACGCGCAGCTCCGACAACGACACCAACTGGGGCGCCGACGTGCTCTTCTGGGGTGGCAACGAACACTACCAGCTCGGCACGGGCAAGCGCAGCAACCTGAACACGCCGACGTACATTGGCGCGCTGGACGGCGGCGCGGGCGACGCGCTCATGGGCCGCGCGGGCGAGGTGCACCGGTTCCAGCTCACGCCTCGGCAAACCGTCCGGCTCGGCAAGGACGGCAAGGGCAGGAAGGTGACGTTGGAGCAGAGGGTAGAGTGCGGGCGGTTCGTGACGGCCGCCTACTCGGCGGTCTAGTCGCGGACGACGAGGCCGGGCGGCTGTGTACGTTTCACCATTGAACGAGAAGAGGAAACGCTGAGCTCTGTCAAACCAGGGATGTGGAGAAGATGTTGTACTATTAGGTATCCCGGAGGATATTGTCAGGATATAACCTTGTAATTTTACAAAGAGCGAGCGAGTGAGAGAGAGAGAGAGAGAGAGAGCCTGTGAAGGAGAGCTGTAAGGCTCTCCGGGCGGAAGCCGAGACGAAACGGCCGTAGAGGATCTCGTCGATACGACGGGGGACGCTCTCACGCAACCTCGGGTATATCCCTTTATTTTCCCGCGCGGTCACGCCGTCGAGGCTTGGCAAGAAGAATTCTACTCCTATTCTACGGCACCTGTCCACCGGATTGCGTGTCACATGGACCCTTGCGAAAGGGCGAGGGCCCCAATGGTCGCCTGGCACAAGACGTGAATCATCTGAAGCCCGTCCTTTGCTTGGCAGCGGTTCGAGAACAGCGGCGCGCCCCACCGCCTGCGCGTGTTTTCCGGACGGCTCAAGTCCAGGTCGGGAAGTGTAAAAAGCTCGGGAGGAGCTGGGTAGGCAGGCAGGCAGGTAGTCGAGGAACCCATACCCTGGATCCTCAAGCGCTTGACCTGGGGCGCCTTGCCTACCTACGGAGGTAGTCTACGTAAGACAGATCAAACTCAGACAGGACGAGACTCGCCGAGATGGAAACACGGTGCAACGGAATCGGTGCTTGGCGGGCCGGGTTGGCAGTGGCGGGTTTCGATGGCGTTATTCCAGAAGCTTGTCACCCGAGGGGAATACGGATCGGGTAGGGGAGTCAGCAGCTACACTACCTCCTATCGGCCACAAGGTCCGGCGTGTGGCCCAGATCCGATCACACCGGCACACCTGCGTGTGTTCGGTTTGGGACACACGGCAATAAAGGCAAGACGGCCGCCAACGGACGAGTTGCCTCTGCTCACGTTCCGAGTCACTGGGCGCGTGCTTTCCTCGCTCGCTGGCGGTTGGCGTTTCAATCTGGTCACGCATGGTAGGGTTAGCTCGGCGAATGACCGAGCTAGATGATTGGCGCACAACGAGGACGAAGGGGGCGGGAGAGGACGGGAGGGCGGGAGGCGGGAGGGACTTGGAGGGTACGGTAGGCAGGTCAGGTGCAGCGGCATCCTGGACGCTAGCGTCCTAAACTACATACATACATAGTACGCCCCCCAACTCGGGGGCCTGGCTAGGTACTGTTGTGCTGCTGCTACAGTACCTTACACGTGCAATGAGACGGGAGGCGTATTGCATTTTTGACAATTGCAGCTGCAGCCGCAGCCGCAGCCGCAGCCAGTCGCAGTCGCAGTCGCAGTCGCAATCGGCATCCTACGCACGGGGACCCGTCAGCGAACGCACCTGTGCTGCGTCGGTGGGGGGGAAAGGGCCCGCAGGCTCCTTGGACAGAAGCTGGCTTTCGACATGTGGTACAGGTCAGTACATAGTAACGCAGCAATAGCTCCTCATGGCCATTGGCAAGAGTCTCCAAATGACGCTGCGAAGCTCGCCCAACAGCAAGGTTTCCTATGTACAGCACGGCACCGGACCAAGGGGGAGCATCTCGGAGCTCGACTGGCGAGGCACACGCGCCCGTTCGCGTGGTTCCTCCAAAGGGCCTCCAAAGGAGACAACAACAACCCCCGTTCGCGCCGGCGGTCCTCCGGCGGGGGTTGGGCTCCAAACCTTGGGTCCCCGGGGGGCCTAGTGGGTTGAAGCCTCGTCCCAGCTGGGCGCCGGGTCCATCACGAGAACACACGTCAGCTGGCGACAGGGCTCTCTGATGAGTTTTTTTTTACCCTTCTTCTTCTTTCTCCTTTTCTAAACTGCCCAACGGAGCGGCATGGGCCTCTTCCGAAGATGGCCCCCGGCCCCGTCCACGACCGCGGCGAGTCAAAATACCGTTTCGCGGCGCTGGCGACGTTCCCACCGTTGGGACCCCTTTCCGTTTCGAACGCCAGGGGAAGGGAGGGCGACGACGTTCACGTTGCGCCGAAACGCACTGCACCGGGAACTGACTGCCTGGGCTGCCTCGTTCTGCAGCAAGCAGCCAGCAAGCGGCAAGCGAGCAAGCAGTTCTTTACCTACTTGGGTGGGCTTCCAGCTCCTCGGGACGCGGCGGCAGGGCGGAGGCTAAACAAGGCATGGCCCCCCTTCCCCCTTCCCTTTCCCCTTCCCTTGCGCAGCTTAAACCCCACCCCCAAGGGCCCAAATGGTTGAAGCAACCCAGAGCAGAGCCAGAAGACTACCATCCGTGCGCACTGCCCGAGATTGTGGTAGCCCAGGCGAACTTGCACACATCCACTCATTCCAGATATCCATCGTCATCCCCGTCCTGACCCTACCGCCCCCCATGCCCTGTCCCTGGACTCGTCGGGGCAGACGGCCAGAGATGGACATAAGATCGCGTCCCATCGAGTCCAGCCAGAGCCAGAGCCCTTGCCGCCCAATCATCCACATGCTCTACGTCGCGTTCCGTTCTCTCTTGTTCTCGGCACGGAAACAGAACGTTGCAACGGGCGGGCGTCTCGTCCAAGGAACTTCCCAACGTCGAGACCTTCCCCTCCTATTTCCCTCTGGTCCCTTGCTCTCTTTTTTCGTGATATCGCCCACCCGTATGCCACCCGACAGCCTCATCTTGACACTCGAGTCCCCTCACCCTTCTCCTCTCGACGTTTCCTCTTCTTCGTTTTCTCTTGGCTGCTATCGGTCGCCTTCCGCCGTGGGGAGAAGCCGTCACGTCCCGGGGAGAGCGAGAGAAGTGAAAGTAGAGCCTCTTGGTCATCAATACCCGCCTTTTTTGTGTGTGTTATAATCAAAAATTCTACCATCTTGTAATCGTGGCAATTTCTCACCCGAGCCCCTTCCCTCCTCCCGTCCGCCCGGGGGCTTAACCTAATAATCTGTTTCTGCCCTTCCCCCTCCTCCTCCTCTTCTTCTTCTCCTCCTTCTGTCGGAAACTTTCGATATCGATACCCGACCTGGAACATTCATCTCCCACCACACCTCAACTTACCTCACCCTGACACGCCTGTCTAGCCCGTCCCTTTCTGACGGGTAGCAACCTTCGGCACGTGCCCTCCGAGTGACACGGCCAAATCCCGACTCGTGACGCACGAGCTGAGAGTCCCACCCCTCGAGGTCCATCCATGCGACCACTTTAGATCGCCGGGAACAATACTTCTCCATATCTCGACGTTTCGTTCCGATCCTCTCTGTTCTTGTCTCGGCCGTGTGGACGGTGCACTCTTTGCGCTCTTCACACCAACCACAAAATACTCTCGCAACCACTCCCTCCCCTCGCTTCATAACTCATCAACGACGGCCGCGCCCTCCTCCTCCTCCCTCCATCCTTCAGCCACCCTTCCTCACCCCTCATTCCGCCTCCCTTCGGTCGCCCAGCTGAGCCAACAAATCAAACGACGAATTTCCCGTCAAAAGCCCGACATTCTCTACCCCAACCCGCGCTTAACTTGGTTTGATCTCGCTGGCTGCAGCTCCCCGTCCTGCTGGGCCACCCTATATCCAAAAAAAAGAAAGGAGCTTCCTGCAGGCTGCCGGCGCACCCTTTTTCTTTCTTCCCACCCGAAACTGTGACGACATTCCAGCCTACATAACCAACCTTTCACGCCGCCCGCCGCCCGGTACCATCTCGTCGTCGCCAACCTCGCTGTCGCCAAACTCCATCCTCCCTCACCTTTATCGAATTTCGCCTCGTCGGCCCCCTGCTGCATCGAACCCGGCCGTGTTACACCCCATCGTCACATTCCGTGCGACAACAGCCTATTTTGCTGCAGATCCCAAAATGGACCACCTCCCCAAATTCCGCAGAAAACCAAAGATCCCAACAATCTCCACGACAGACGTCAAGACTCTTCCCTCCCGAAACGGCATCGACGAACAGCCCCCCCAGCAGATCTACCCCTCCTCCACCACCACCACCGTCACCGTCACCGGCGGCAGGTCCCCGACCCCGACGAAGCCCGGCTTGCGCAAATCTGCCTTCCGCGGCCTCCACCTGCGCAGCCCGGCCAAGCGCGCGCGGTCTCCTCCCGCGGCCTCTCTGCCGCTGTCGCCAACACCGCCCGCCATCGTCTCCCACGACGGCATCACCTCCTCCCCGGCATCGTCGAGACAGAAGGACAAGGATGGGAGCGGAAGCGGCAGCAAAGACGACTCTGCCGCGTCGTTGTCGTCGTCGGGAAAGAACAGTCAGGAAAGCACCAGGCCGAAACCGAGGATCCCGGCCTTCCTTGACCTTTCTGTACCAGGTACGAGACCTCCGCCGCCTCGGAGACGTAGAGGCGTAAGGCGGGAACTAACTGCTGGGTTTCCTGCAGATCTAGAAAACAAGTTCCAGGAGCTCGTCTGGCTGGAACGCGAACGCCTGGCAGCCGGCCTCGCCCCCGACGCCGACGAGAACACAAAATGGGGCTCTTACAAACAGACGGACCTGCGCAGGGGCGTGCAGGATCGCTATTTCAACATCAAGCCCTGGAACCACAACCGCATAAAGCTGCGCGTGCCCGCCGAGGAGCTCGACTACGTCAACGCCTCGACCATATCCCTCTCCTCGCCCTCGAACAAGGAGCTCCCTCCTTTGCGATATATCGCGATGCAGGGCCCGACTGAGAACTCGGTGGACTTCGTCTGGCGCATGGTTGCGGAGCAGCTCACGTCCCCCGTTGTCATTGTCCAACTGACAAGCTTTTTCGAGAGTAACCAGGTCAAATGCTTCCCTTACTTACCGCTGGACGAGACGCAAGGGCCGTGGACAATCAACGAGCTGGACGGCTGGAACGACGGCTGGAGCGCTACGCTGAGCTTCGACTCACTCACCACTCTGGAGGACGGCGCCATCGAGGTTCGCAAGCTCCTGTTGCGCGTCGGCGACGAGGAGGAGGACCGCGTAATCTGGCACCTCTTCTACACCAAGTGGCCCGACTTTGGTGTTCCCGCCGTCGATGACCTTGCGAGTTTCTTCACGCTCATGCGCCTGTCGCGCGAGTACAACACGACGCCGGAGAACCCGCGCATCATCCACTGCAGCGCCGGCGTTGGGCGCACGGGGACCTTCATCACGCTGGAACACATGATGCGCGAGCTGGACGAGGGCGCGCTCGACGCCTATGACGGCGACGGCGAGGGCGACGATCTCATCTTTGCGACCGTGGACGTCCTACGCGAGCAGCGCCGCAGCATGGTCCAGGCCGAGTCGCAGTATCTGTTCCTGTACCAGGTGCTGCGCAAACTGTGGCAGGAGAAGTACGACGTTGAGGACAGCGACGGCGACCGCGAACCCGCGGCTAAGAGGCTCGAGGTCGAGGAGCCGTCGACTGACTAACGAGACATGCCGAGTAACCCCTGACACCCAAGACGCTTGTCGGGGGGGGGAAGGATAGACGCAAACCCATGATTAATCGAGAGACTGTGGCAGCATGGCATTTGTAACTTTAACCTACTGTACCAAAGCAAGCAGCATAACCGGGCGTTTTCCTTTTTTTTTTTTTTTTTTCGGGAGGCAAACAGATGCGACTTTGGAGGCGGACAGCATATAAACCCACGAGTTTGGGTTTGGGATTTATACGATTACGTTGGGTGGGGTGACACCGCGTACATCAAGGACGGGTTTGAGGATATTCCCCAGGAGGGTCATGAAGAGCTCACTCCCTCTGGGAGAGGAGATGTTGTAGGAATATAGTCGGGTCAAGCCTCAGCCTAGAGCGGGATGGCAGGAATCGATACACGCCCTGTACAAGGGGCTTTCTTTTTGATCAAAGTCGTACACTCTTGATTTGTCCGTCCTGGTGAGACACTTGCAGAAGAATGGCAAGGAAAGCTCGTCTGAAGAGGCAGCTGGCACAGACTTCTCTCTCGTAGACGACCGTCGTCTCGATGCGAGGCAACGTAGGGACCCGCGATGCTGTCTGTTTCTTCTACATTGCATTGAGCACGTATGGGATGGCGCCCGTCCAACATTCGACAGAGCGAGGTAGGTCGTCACAAACAGGCCGAATCGCTTCCAAACCAGCACCGTGACGCAGCGGCACCCGGGTGACCATCTGCCTCGTGGGGAGCGCATCCTCGCTTGAGCTCTGGTTCTTGCATGTGACTTTTACCTTTCCAAGGCCTTGCGAGAGACAAAAACCCAGCGCATCGTATGAGGGCCGGACGAAGCACAGCCTCCCCCCCTTCTCTGGAGCCTGCATGCGACTTCTGTGGCCGGAGGCTTGCGATCCTGTGTTATGGCCTGTGGCCTTGAATGCCATCAAGACGTCATTGCACAGCAAAAAGGAGATTGTGGCGGGATGCCACGTTCCTTGGTGGTGATGGTGTCATCCTGAGCAAGGCATATGGAGGCTATCATGGAATATTAGAGGCTGCTTGGCGGGAAATATGCCAGGCGGCACCTCGAAGTAAAAACGACTCGGCCCGGCAGGCCGACTCATTACTATCCCGGCAGACCTGGAGGTGAACTCTTTATCAACGGTTCTGCGAGACGATCACCAGGTTAAAGGCACCCATCGTGGCGAGTGTTCTTGGAATAGCCCTTACAGGGCACACGCCAAATCTGCTTTGTGGAAGGTCACGGCGAAGTAGCAATGTTACTGTTGGCGTCCAGACTCGGACCGATTTAGGCTGCTCGCCCGCGTCTGACAAAGATCTGTATAATCCTTCAACTTCCAAATGATCAAAGTTCTGTATTGGTTTTCGATCTTTCAAGGCCCGTCGTCGCCGACCTCGGCAGTGTGGATGTGTGTACGTATCAAAGGTGACATGGCACATATCATTGTCACAGGGCGCTTTCCGTGATGGATGGCACATCCTCATTCCATTCATGCTGACCGGTTCCGGGGACTCCCGCCTCGGTGTGAGATTTCGAGCCGGGGTGGTCAGCCGGAGCGTTATACGTGTGGGAGGACGCCTGGGGTTGTCGTTCTATACAACACAACCATTCGCAGCTTTTTGTGATTGGCTGCCGAGCATATGTGCCATACGGGAGAGGCCGACCGAAGTGACTGCGGGGTGAGTTGCGCGTTCCGTGAGCCATATGACAAGTGACGAGGCGGGTTGACCCTGCATTGTGCATTCAGTTCGCTGATCACGAATCCGCATGTTGCCCGTCGCTTTGGCCGGACATCTTTAGCGACGTTGAAGATATTTCGCGTAATGCTCGATCGCCACGGATAGGTGTCGCAGGCGATCCCCTTGACGCAGTTGGCAAGAGACCGAGCACCCCCTGATGAACTCTGAAGAATGTGCGAAGCGGATAAATCAAAACCCACGAACGAAGCTTGTCCGCTAGGGAGTGCAACCCTGGTCTCCGCAATGATGAGCAATGATGCCCTTGTCAGATCAACGTCTGTTTAGCTGGGTTGGATGTGAAGACACGGGCATCTCCGGTAAAAGTACACCGAGGTCTGTCAACCGAAGCGGTCGTTTCTTTTTCCAGTCGTGGAACCGTGTGGAGACCTTGGCCCCAGGGCCAGGCTGTCGGAGCAACTGACGTTAATTTGCAGGTATCTCCAACCTCCCAGGTCGGTTTCATGAACGAAAGGGGAAAAGATATGATGAGGCGGGGGCTTGGATGATCTGATGTGATGTGATGTTTGTGTGCGTGGATGTGTCGGGGGTCGTTCGGACCGGCGCGGCTAATTAAGGCTCGGTAGGTCTTGGTGCTCCGAGGTCGTGAGTTCCGTGTCTGCTAGGTGTTGCCACGACTGCACTGAAAGGCGTAGTTCAATGTTATTATGAATCAGAGCCTGAAAGCTGAGCAGACCTCGTTTAGTGTGATCCAATAGGTCTTCATCAAATGGCGGGGACTGAACGATCCAAGACATGTAATCCCTTCATCCGGATGCGAATGTTCAGCCCGGGTCCGGCAATATACAACAACAGTCGTCCATCTCTCGGCGTAGTTACTGTCTCGGAGCTGTGCCTCGATAAGTATCGGTACACCTGACAATTTCAACGGGCTTGAACAGGATATGGGGAAAGCGGATTCCCTACATACAGTGACATTCTGTGCCGTGGTTACACGGCAGGAAAAGCACGGAGCATGTCCGGGTCACTGAATGCGAGGTGCAGCGCAACTCAGCACGGCAACAGGGGTTGGCAAAGACAAGATGAACCGGCAAATGGGGGCTTTTCAAAAACCCCAGATTTGACGAAGCAGCCGGCATGAAAGTTTGAAGTTGGAGGGCGCAACCCGCTGTTCTTTTGGGGCCATAGCGAGCGCAATACTTGCAGACATTTTAGGACCATGCTTAGAGCTCAGGCAAATTTCCAAGGTTTTTGGTCCGGTGCTGATGATGTAGTGGGTGCTGCCGTCGTGTGTAAGTTGACGTTGAATCGCATGTGTCGTCAGGACGTAGTGTGGCATTGGACATGTCTGTGCGTTATCTTTTGCCTATCGCTGGCGGCAAGCGGCCGGCACGCTCACCGAGCGCGGGCTTGACACATGATAAAGGCACATTGAGAGCTGCAGGGTTGATCAGCCAGAACGAGGGTTCCTGCCCGTCGACGACTGAGAGCGATTTTAGACAATGTGTTCCGCGAGCGCTGGATCATGTAGTTTGAGCTCAGTCAGGTCAAGCGCCCCAACCATCGCGCATGGTCTGTGACCAAGCCTTCACCGCGGTGGGGTTGACGCTGCATTCCCCAGACAATAAGTGCGTCCTCCAAGGCAAGGTGAGCACAACGTTTAGGCTGGGGACGACAGCGCAGGTGTGTGTGGATGCACAGTAAGTGGTGTGGGTGAGTTGATGTGGCCCAACCGGCGGCAGTTGAGATCAGAAGCGAGGCTGTATTGGGCCAAGAGGAGGACGAGGCTCCATGCGACAGGGGTAATGGGCTGTTAGGGCAGAGACCACGGTCTGCTGTGTAGGTTGAGACTTGTCGATAAGTGCCTAGAGGTGTCTTGGGAAGGGGGTGTTGAGTCGCAGTTGAGTCTAGCGGTGAGACGGGGAAATGAGGCAGCGTGAGTTCAGGAAGACAACGAGGTCGAGTCGATGCAATTGCTGACATGTATCCAATGATTTGATTTGCGGACGACCGAAAGCATAAAGACGAGATAAGGAGGACGGTTGTGACTTGTCCGGCAACAAGGCCCAGGGGATCCGGGGAAAGGCAATCTCAGAGAAACAAAAGTTGGGCAAGGCATGTGCAGGTAGGGTCTGGGCGTCGCTTTGTGACGCGCGGATGATCTCTAGGACCTCTCGGATGGATCTGAGGCTCTGGAAAGTTTTCGCACTTTGTTGTATTGGACCCCCTGACAGCAAGTGATGACAGAGAAGGGGGTTGGAGGAGGAGTAGTGCAGAGTGGTGCTGAGGGCGGATGCTCAGAGTGTTGCGAAGGCTTGTCGAGAAGACGAGGCGAATGCAACAATGTCTGGTAGACCAGGGCAACTCGGGCCGAAGCGATCTCGGAGTCATCGCCGTCGTTGGTTGCATCTTGCACAAACTGTCGACGAAGGCGGCGCCGATGTTGCAGGTCAAGCCTACACCGCCGTAGCAGTGCAAGGAGTGATGGGGACTGTGGTGCTGACACGTCGTGCCTCTCTCGAGGCGAAAGCGACGTGACGAAGTTTCCTTGGTTTCCATGGGTAGGTCAAGTTTGGGCCCGGCCTTGGCCCAGTTGGGAGCAGAGACAGCCGGTCAAGCTGGTGCCGGGCCATCGGTCAAGCTAGGTATCCATCACATGCCCGCCGTCGTGGCGGCTGTTGGCAAGTTGGGGTTCGGGGTGGTTGAAACTGGGGTAACACGAGGAAGAAGGATCTGAGAGTAGTTGACGACAAGAAGGGTCGAGACGGCTGGATTGAGTTTGCAGGAGGCATAGCCCCCGTTGCATGCTTTGGAGGGGACCGCTGGTGCCCTCGTCAGTCTTTCGTCTGGTGTTTTGATACGTAACATCTCATGTCCTTTTGCGGCCGAACGAGTCAAGGAAGACGGCGCTAGTATATAGTGCCGCCGGTATTGTTTCCGAAAGTTGCGTTGTGAGCAAGGAGAAAAGACGAGGTGCTGGGCGTTGAGCCTTGCCCGGTGCGGTTAGGTAAACAGGTGAGGTCCATAACATACCCTGTCGTGATTTCTAGTGTACAGGATGACGATGGGAGAAGGAACGTAGGCCGGCCAGCCTACCGTACATAGGTAGCAACTTAAGAAGGGGCAGTGACAGCTGACGGGTAGTGAGCTAAGGCACGCTGGGGGGAACTCGGAAGGGCTAGGCTGGCTGCCGGGCTAGCGGTTAAGGTAGGAAACGGAGGCTACCAAGTGACGTGACTTGGCAGCAGTAAAGTTTTGCTTTGGGCATGCACAGCACGGTAGGTAATTACCGGTAGGAATTCGACGTCGACCCAGCAAGCCCAACCCGATGTGACAGATAGAAGAGGTTGCCGAAACGCACCACACCTCACAGCTAGTAGGTAGGTCATGTTGCGATGGTCGGACGCCTGGGACCCTGCACTCACGCGAGCCGTTTGCTAAGGTTACTTACAGGTACAGTACACTGCTTCGCCCTTGCACCGCTCTTGTACCGCTCTTGCACTTTGCGCCGACGGAAGGGAACGGAAGCGAAGCGATTCGGTGACGGTCACCAATGATGTGGCATGGCGTGAACACCAGGGTCCCTTCCTCCGTCGAACGCAGGGCTGGGGATTTTATCTTTGGTTGGCAATTTGGGAAACATCAAGCAACAAGACACAATAAGGCCTCTTGGGTGTGTGACCGACAAAACGACAAGTGCGATGCAGGGAAAGACATGACGGGGGCATGGTGGAGGAAGGAACACGGAGAGCCCCGCATCGCTTCATCCCCTCCTTCCCAACTCTCACTCGTGCAAAGCCAAACCCCAGGCTGGTGCACGAACTCAACACTCGAGAGGGAAGGAGCAATGACAACAACCTACGATTTTGAGATGAGACTCGCATCACGAGAGCGACGCTAACGCTTGCCCGGGAGACGCTCCGTTTCTCCCCTTCTCACTGACCGCCCTCTCTTCCACTTCTTCTTCTCCATATCTCGACTTCTCGTCTTACTGGTTCGTACATATGGGTCAATTAAAGCCTAGACCCGGGTCTCAAGACTGTCACTGCCAGCGCCAGCGCCTGCCTCGGTCGCTACTTGTCATCCTGGCCTGGAATCAGCGATAGGTGATGGCATGAGAGAAACGCTGAAGTTGACAAAAAAAAAAAACCCCCCCCAAGAGCCGAAACACGGAACTGCCAACGAACCCCCCTCAGTTTTATTTCATTTTTTACCCTTGCTTTCTTCTTTGCCTGCTCGGCCGATGACCGCAGTTACGGTAACGGTAATCTGACTCAATTAACACCTCGCATGCCGCTCACGTTTTGCCAAGCCTTTTGTTTTCATCAAGGTCACCACCGGGTATCTCTTCTGCCATCCACTGCGCAAAGTGTACTTGGCTTTCACCTTGCATCGAGACGACTCTGCGAGCAATCCAACTTTTCAATGGGGCAAGTCGGGGCCGATGCCAGACAACCGCCCTGCTGCCCTGGCCGTGCCACCGTCCTGCACCTCACAGATGGCCGTGCACCCGTTCCTGGTCTTGGTCTCCAAGGCCCACCCGCCGGAATGCTTCTGGAAGATGTGGACGCTCCTCGTCACATCCTAGCATAAGCCTGGCACCGGCGGTCCAACTGCGTCTTTGCTTGCGCATCAACCGTACTACACAGGGTATCCACAGACAGGGGGGCTGCGTGCGTCTGGATGTCTGTCTGTCAGGGGGCAGCCGCTAGTCCATTCAGTTGCGTGCGGTTGCGTCGGGTTTTGGCCCCCTACCCTCCAAGGAGGCAGCGTCGGTTCGGGCAACAGACCTTCAAAGAAGCAAGCTGAACCAGGCCGAGGTCCTTGGGCCCGGGAGAAATTGGAACGTCAAGAAGCCAAATCCCTGATAACTACTGATAATCCCTGACAGCGTAACCGGCGGAGAACCACCAACCACAACGGTATGGGAGAGAGGTACGGGGGCCTGGTCTACTCCGACGTTGCTGACTTCACGATTGCCTTGGTGTCCGTAAAATACTCCGTACGGAGATATTTTCTGGTGATCACCAGGGAGGGTAATCTGTCTCGAACTGCCTTAGAATTCACCAATGCACGGCTTGGGACACTTGGCCCTGTCCTGTGCTCCAGTCCGCTGCCGGATAATGCCTCAAGCGTTTCTAGTGATTCACAAAAAAAGACATTGGCCATGTGCGGGACAGTCGCACCAGAACGGCGAATCTACATTAGCTTCTGCAGCAATTAACGTACCGTCAAACCATGTCCTATACGAATCAACCACTCGCATCTCCGGCCGCCTCTCGTCTCTGCGACCCCTCCTCCGCCCCGAACCTCTTTTCGATACTAGCGCACCGCTACAGAGCAACTCTTTACCTACAAAGAATTCAATGGTCTCCATCCAAACATCCCGGCCCCTCTCCTCACAACAAGGCTTCAGCCGCCCCCACCGGCACGCGACGACGAGACAGGTCCGACGACGACCACGACGACGACGACAATGGGACGTGGGCCTTTTCGCCTTGGTGGATCCTCCGAGTTCTAGAGCGAGTCAACAGCCCGGCCCCCATCATGTCCAGGTCGTCCCACGTCGTCGTCTCCCGGGCCCGCGTCCCCTCGTCTGCTTCTCAACCAGTCGTTTGTTGGCTTTTCCCATGGCCATTTCTTCAAGTCCCATTCCCCTACCCTAGTCGATCGCTAGTGCCCAATCGTAGTTGTGCCCGAGTTTCTAAACCCCCCAAGTGCCAGCCCGTCCCGAGCTGTCGGCAGACCCAAGGCCAGCTACCCAGTTCCAAAAGCATTACATTTGGTACGAGAGGTAGGCAGCCGTACTGGCAGACACCACTGATCAAACCACAACATCGTGTTAGAGGTGTTTAGGCTACCCTCAGTATCATGTGCGCCGCGACGACGACATAACCCTCGAGTCTTGTCTTTGCTAGCTGGGGCATTTCCCCACCGAGTGTTCGTAACGGTCAATGGACCGACCTTGCCGTCGTCGTGGGACCCATGAGGCTCCCTTTTTCCTACTTTAGATTGAATTTGATTTCCTCTCTCTTTTCATCGTTGTCATCAACCACTCAGCATCGACACATTACTAGTGCCCGTGTCAGTGTCCAGCGACCCGCCATCCCACAGTAAACAGGAACTTTACTAGTCGTCCCGTGCTTTCGTTTTTTTTTTCTTTCTTTTTCTCTGTGTCCGTCGTCTCTTGCCACCATCGACCTTGGAGGGTGCCACTGTCGGTAGAATCTGCGCCGTGCTAGCAGTCGTTCGTGTGTCGTTCATCAGCTCCCGTCAGTCCGGCCGTTGGTGCCATCGTTGCTACTTACCATATGCAGTTGGCCAACATCATCGACAGCCAACCAGACAGGCCACCCCATCCCAAAGCCGGCCCAGAGTCCATCAGCACCAGCATCGAATCGCCCTGTATCGCATCCGGCCGGGACTTTCCACGCTTCTCATACGACGCAAGCCTGCACTTTCCGGGATCCCCGCCCATCGTTGCTGCTTAGCCCGAGACTGCTTTCTTCTTAGCGTTCGCGGCAGGAACTTCTCTGTCTGGCATCTCTCTGGCCTGCCATTAAGTCACTTTTTCCTCCTCGTTTGGCAACTTGTGGGTTGTAGTTCGTCTTCGTCCTCGTCGTCGACACACTCTCTCGTTCATTTCCCCCCGTCCACCACCCATCGCAGTCGCACTTGCATTAGATCGTTGTTGCTGCATCCGCACCACCCACCCACTTATTCACACACGCCCACTTTGCTCTCGCTCTCTCACTCACACACACACACACACACATACGCTCGTCACTCTTTTACTTGGCTCTCCTCTCCTCCCACTCACACACACACTCTCTCACGCACACAACTATTATTACCATCACATCCATACACCTCGTTTCCCAAAACAACACTTTAATCTCCTTTTTTCCTTCTTTTTTCTTCTCTCTCTATCTCTCCCTCACTCGCACGCGCCTTCTTCCGGGCTTCTAATTTCTCTCGCAAATCGACTGCTTTTCCCGTCGTCCCGCGCGGCCAATGGTTGCCACCCGAAACAAAGCGTATCACTACTCGGAAACCCTTGTTGATTACCTCGCGGCCGAGTCTTTCTTTTCTCTTCCCCCCCTTTCAGGCCTCTACTTGATTGCGCCCATCTCTTCATTGGTGAAAACAAACAAGACCCGGATACGGCCTGGGGAGAAGGGGATACGTCATGACATCAATAGTGAGTTTGCTTTTCTCTAATCTTTCTACCTATCCCTTCTCTTGCCCGGCAGTGCTACCTCATCCTTTCCCCCAAAGTCAAGTTTCCCCGGACCAGCAGCCAATCTCGATTGCAGTCTATTGCTGTCCACGGCCGTCAAACCTGCCTGCCCGCCGTCATGTAATTGGTGAGAGCCGCTCGTTCACCGCCTCACCGCCTCCCGCATATCAGTGCACATCCTCTCCGTCTTCCCCGTCCCTCCAGACACTCAGACGAGCCAGACACGAGACACCGGCAATCAGGAAAGCATCCCCCATGACCGGGGCCCTGCCTGTTGCAACCGGCCTCACCTTGCCCAACTTCTCATCCCAATCTTCTCCCATGTTCGAATACCGCAATATTGCGTCTCCTAATTAGCCCCCTTCCATCTCTTGTCCTCCCCCATTCCTACGCGCAAGCTCATTCACTACCATCACCCAGACCCCCTTCAAACTTCCCATAAGAGAGGGAGACTGCGCCGCCATGGCCTCTTCCATGCTTGCTCACAAATACCCTGCCTCACACACATACACAACTCTACCCACGGGCGCATGTCACGACTCGTATCCTCCTGTCCATCATCGTGCCCTTCTATACTCCCTCCCCCATTTACCTTGACTATAAGCTGCACCACGACCCCCCACCAGCTATACTCCCCAAATATCGTCATGGCTGGACTTTTTCTTTGAGAAACCTGTTTGCTCTCCCTTGCTGCGCGAGACCTTTGTTGCTGGAGCTACCTTTCCCGTCCCACCGTCCAAGGTCGCTCTTTTCCTCACGATGCGCGTCCCGTCGTTTGAGGATACCCTCGCCACTCCAAGCGGACACACTGCAACAATGCCTCAACCACCAAATTATCAGTCGCTAATGACCGGCCTCCAGCTATGCCTCGCTCACTACTGTGACCAACACGGCCCGACCCCGCTTATGGTCACCGAGGGCCTACCCGTCCCATGCACCACATGCTTCGACGATGGCGCTACCGGCTATGCCGATCAGGACCAGCTCCGACCCCGGACCAGCGCCCCAACGACCGCTGGATCTCTGAACCAGACAGTGGCCATGTCCGATGCGCTGCGCCAAATGCACCTCAACGCCCATCGCAGCTCGTCGCTGCCCGCCTCCGAGAATGAAGCCCAAGTTCAACGCGCCGCCATGCTTCGTGCATCCGCCACCAACTCCCCAGCTTCCCCGTTGTCACCTTCTGCCATTGAGACCCCACCCGAAAGCCCTCGCCGCATATCGGAGCAGCAACCACAGCCACGACGCGACTCGAGTTTCCGGCGAACCTACGACGAATACGTTACGAAGCGTGCCGGCCCTTGCGAGAATTGCGCGTTGACACTACCGCAGCGACAGGGCGGCAAGGACAAGACCGATATGAAAGCCGAGCGTGGCCCTACCTTGCGCACCCGCGCACCCTACGCGAGAGTATACGGGCAGGCATCGCCACCAGCCTCGTCTGCCAGCGATACCGACGGAGAAAGCCAGCCAGAACGAATACATCGAAGAGCAACAGGCTCCTCCACGACACGGTCCAGCACGTCCTCCGGGAGACATGCGAGCCATACCCATTACCTTGATTATACCTCGACTCACGAGCCGCTCATCCCGACTTCCTTCTCCATCGTGCGATCTTCGTGCCTGCGTACCCTCTCGCTGGAGACTCTCCCTCGCGCGCCCGCAAATCCCACACCCAGCGCCTCGCCACAGTCCAGCAATATGCCTGCCTTTGTCACGACGCATAGCGCTGGAGCTGCAGCCTCTGGTGGCCCTATTTTCTTCGGAGACCCAGTCAATGGGTACACGACAGCTTACATCTTTCGCATCCCAGATATGCACGCCCGAGGGCACAAGCGGGTATATGCCTTCCTTGCACTAAGCACACACAAGGAGCGGCTCGCCATGAAAACGTTTGGGTTCATGGCTGCCGCCTTCCGCGATCTTGCTTCGTGGATCCAACAACTGGCAGAAGCCGAGGCAGAGAAAGCGGCCGAGGCTAGCCCTGTGGGAGGCCCGCAACACCACAGCTCTTACCCTACGGTGAGCAGGCCAGATAGAGAGGGACCTGACCGTGGCGGCAGCAGTTTCCTCACCGGAGGGGCGGGTTCTCGAGACGAATGGGTGGCGGTCCCGGCGGTGTCTCGCTCAAGGCTCGTGGCCTTGCTGAGCTCGTCGGTATGCCCGATTTCTTTATCGAGCTACACACCAAGTTTGTCAAGCTCATGCTTGAACTCGGTGTTGTGCTAAGCTCCTGATCACTCGGGTGGCTGTACATATACGTTTGCGACATGCTGTCACATCGTGTGCCCGTAGCCGTGAGCTGGAAAGGCTTTTCCGTGAGCGGATATATCAGCGTACGACATTCACATGCATGCATGCATGCATACTCTTGCAGGTCCAGCCCGTATACGCTTTGCATTCTGCGTGAGCAGTACGAGGACCTCAAAACAACAAGCAATAATGGCAATGATAATGGATAGTTACCTTTGCTCGCTGCTTGGAACGGCAATTAGGAATAGGAGAAGGAGAGGTTGTGAAGGGAAAGACGGATATACCCCCTGTTGAGATGGATGGCATCTCATGTTGCACCATGACTTTCTGCATCAGCGACGGCAGCATCTGGAGTCTTTTTTTCCCCCGGTTTTTATCGAGCCCTTTTGAGCGTTTCACGAGTGAGCAGACTGGCTTTGCCACGGACCTGATCGTGTTTTTTTTTTTTTGTTTTCTTGGTTGTTGAATGGGCGGCTTGATGGTTTTTGTCACGGCTTCACGATTCATGCTCTCCTCCTTTATGTTCCTTCCTTGCTCTCCTGTTCTTTTCCTTGCAGACGTTTTATTATCTATACAGAAAGGCTTCCAGGCCGATGGCACGGAAAATAGGAAAAGGGAAAAAGGTACATACAAAGGACGGAAGGGAAAACACTATTTAGAAATAGGAATCCGGATTCGGGAAAAAAAAAGGGCAAAACGGGTCTAGCAGAAATAGAATTCTTCCAACAAGTCAAGCTGGTGTCCATGTGTCCGTGTCGGTCTACGTGACGTGTATCCCAGATGAGGTAACCGAGACCAAACCACGGAACCTGCACCTCGCATGAAGTCCAAGTTTTTGTCGCGGCCGAGCTGTGATTCGCAACTTGCATCTCATCTACGATACGGGTTACTCCGGACCATGACCAGAAGGTCGGGAATGTGATATGTGATGGGGATCCGGCCGCCCGGGACGCTACCTTGACGCTCGAGAGAAAACTCGAGCCGTCGGGAGAATCCGAGCTCCGGGACCCGAGAGACCTTGTCCTCTCCTCCTGCGCCGTCTCGGCATGTTCCGAGATTGTCCGGCGGCCGGACCATGGCGGTGGTCGCCGGGCAGGAGAGGTTGCAAGCTCCGGCAGGGTGTCATGGATCAGGAGCACCCGACGAATCACCCGTGGGTTGCTCATGCACGCATCCCGGCACTGTGTCCCTTTCTCTGGGATTGTACAATCCCGTCCGTGCTTCGGCCTTTTCTCAACAGGGAAGTCATCGCATCAGCAGCAAGTGTGGCAAGTACCAGATCAGCGAACAATTATGCAGACGGCGGCGCGGATTCCTTTATCAAGTGTATTGTACAACGCGACGCCGAGCTTCGCTCCCTGAAGCCCTGAAAAGTCTATCCCTTCCTTAGCCGTGTCCCGTCGTGCTATTACATCGCCAGCCTTGCAGCGTGCAGTGTTTAATTCCTCCCACGACACGCCTCCTCGCCTCCACGCGCGTCCTCCGCCTCCATCTTGTCGGCGCCCGCCGCTTATTTGTAAAAGTCAAACTTGTTCTCGTCGCTCGTGCCCTTCACTTGGCTTGAGTAGGCATCCTCCAGGTCGCTCTGGATAATGTTGTAACGGTTCTTCCGCACTGCGCGGAGACCGGCCTCCTGCATGATGGCGGCGATGACGGCACCGCTCAGGGGTCGTTGCGGACAATCAGTGAGTCCAAGTCGACCTCGGGAGCAAGACTCATCTTGCTGGCGATGGTTGAGAAGATGAGGCGGCGCTCGCGTCTGTCTCTCAAGCTAGGGAACTCGATCTTTCGGTCCAGACGACCGGGACGGAGAAGGGCGGGGTCGAGGGTATCGGCTCGGTTGGTGGCCATGATGACTTTGACGTTGGCGGTCTGATCGAAGCCGTCCATCTGGTTGAGGAGTTCCAGCAGGATACGCTGGACTTCACGGTCGGCACCAGTCTGGGCGTCAAAACGCTTTGTCGCAATAGCGTCGATCTCATCGATGAAGATGATGGCGGGGGCGTTCTCGCGGGCCATGCGGAAGACGTCGCGGACCATACGGGGACCCTCACCGAGGTACTTCTGCACGAACTCGGATCCGACCACACGAATGAAGTTTGCCGTTGTAGAGTTCGCCACAGCCTTGACCAACATAGTCTTTCCCGTTCCGGGAGGTCCATAGAGCAACACACCGCGAGGCGGGTCGATACCGATCTGCTTGTAGAGGTCGAAGTGCGTCAAAGGGAGCTCAACAGCCTCACGAATCTCCTGCTTCTGCATGTCCAGACCACCAACATCGGCATACGTTACATCGGGCTTCTCATCGGCACCAAGCATGGCAATGGAAGAGTCCGCTTCGGGCGGGAGGATATCGACAAGGGCGTTCGAGTGGCGGTGGAGGGCGACAGAAGACGAAGGCTTGAGCTTCTCGCGGTCGAGAGTGGAAAGGATGCGGACGACATAGTTGGAGCCGGTGGAAGACTGCACGATTCCGGTGCTGCGACAGGTTAGCTATGGTAGCTCGAGTGAGGTTGGGAGCTGTATGCGGGGTCTACGTACTTCTGGTCAATGGCCTCCATAAACTGCCCGATCACCAGTGGAACACTCTGAATCCGCTTGATCTCCTCCTGAGCCCGAACAAGTTCGCGCTTGAGACTCCTGTGACGTTGGGTCAGCAAACCAAATGACGTGCGGCGATTCTGAGTGAGTCCCACCTCTGCTCATCCTTGATGTACTCCTCCTGCAACTGAATATACTCAAGTTGTCTTTGCAGCTTCTTCAATGTGGCATAGTCATCGCCTCCTTCTGTCGAGATACCCTCGAAGTTCTCGATACTAGGGATTGTTGACGGCGCCGTCTTCTTGTGAGGAACGGTGTGGTTGGCCGGGTTTTCCACCAGAACGTCACCCATTGTGTCGGAAATTCGGAGGGAAGTGAAGTCGTCGGGATGAGGTTTCGGATTCTCGGGATAACTCAGCGATCAAGCAAGCTTAGGGTCGCGGGGAGATGGACGTTGTCGTTGAAGATGGCGAAGTTGTTGTTTTCAAGCTCGGTGGTGGTGCTTGCTTGCTCTAGCTTGCTGTAGGCGTCAATGGATACGCATGCAGCGTCTCAGCCCGGCTTAGTCAGGAAATCCGTCGAAGCTCAAGTGTCACGTGAGAGGAGCTTCCAAAAGGCAGACCTCACTGGCTCTTTCCGGCTAATTGATTGGCTGAGCAGGTGACCTGGAGCAGGGCGGAATGCCTGCGGCACGTTACCCAACACGTAGGCAGCGAAGCCCTCCGATTGGCCAGCTTGGGGGCGCCTTCCCCCCATATGCATTGTGGAGACGGCCTAAGTTAGGATCCCTGCCATGATGATGTGAGGGTCTCTCCCGCAATCCACTGTTAGAGCGGTCGGTGAGCGTCACTGCCGGACCTTAGCACGGGCAGCGGCGTCGGCACCTATCTCTTATCAACCCCCATGGGATGATGTGGGCGGTGATTCACCGGATGCCTCGTTAGGCCTCGTCCCAGCAAGCAACCTAGCACTGTACAGTATCAGTCACAGGCACACCTCTCTTCTCTTCGGTCTCGTACCTTTAATCCCAACTTTGACTCCTTCAACTTCTCCTTCGCTCTGACGACACACACCACTGGTCCCTCCACCCGACAAGTCGCCCGGTGTGCGTCTCTTCCCGTCCTCACTTCAACCGTTCCGACTGCTTTCAATCATTCCTGGAGTTTATTGTCTCACCTCGGAGTCCTCCATTTCCCCTCTAATACCCCAACCATCATGTCGTCGTCTATTGCCATCCCGATGACGCCGTCGTCGGCCAACACATACCACCACCACCAGTCCGCCCAGGTCCGCGGTGCGACCAGCTCTTCTTCTTCGACGTACTCCAGCTCCCCTCGAACTTCTTCCCCGTCGTCCGCTCAGAAGCAGAAGATGGTCCACGCACGCCGTCCCAGCCTCCTCAGTATGTCCCTCTGCCTTGTAGTTACAAATCCCAGCCCTCACAGCCTAGCCTAGCCCGGGCGTCTTGGAGTCGTTGCTGGCTGCTTCTGGTGACTTACTGACGTTTTGCGCAGGCTCCGCCTTGTCGAAGCAGGAGAGCACCGTTATCAACATCGGCGAGCCAAACGGCACTCCGCGCCTGGTAAGACCACTTACAGCCCTTAATAAGGGATACTGGCTGACATGAGCTACCAGATCACCTACCTCTCCTCGAGCCAAGGCTTTGCGTGGAACCCAGGTATGTTCCGACTCCAAACCAACCTCTATCCCACCTTAAGCTCACTGATCATCACAGAGATCTTCCTGCCGTCCTACGTAGACTGCGACTACGTCCCCCTCGAGAACCGACGGGAGCCCGTACACGAGATCGTACTTAGTGATGAGGAGATCAACAACATGTTCCCCCAATGACGGTCCCCCCCGCGCCGGCGACCATGACGCTACACACGAATATCAACGTTCTGCGTGCTTTAGACCGATGATTCTCACGAGACACCCCTTCCATTTCCATACCACGGCGTCCGGATACGACCTGTAGCCCCTTATCCATTTCTTCTTCAACCTTTCTCACCAGACTGCTTTACGAACTACGACGGCGGATGAGGCCATGCCCGAACCGGGAACGTACGGGCATGAGTACACACTGAGTGGAAGCACAGTACATCCAGCATTTTCCTCTTTTATTGGGACGAGGACCTCTTATTAGTACCTGGGCTTGGGGATCATCGGGGGAGTTGGGACTTCTTTCGGGCGAGACGGGGATTCATTGAGCCTATTTCTTATCTGTTTGTTGTCGTTATTTTGGATTGGGGCGTTCCTCGGTATTACCAGCACATACCCTCTTCTCACCCTCGATCGTGTACTATGCCGTCTTTACTGCGGTTTCCCCTGACGTTGCCTTTGTACCTTTTCCATAGTCCAATAGAGTCACAAGACACTATTCAAAGTATGTTTTCCGTCACCAGTGGCCCCACTGGCGATTCCTGTGACTATCGGCCTATCAAGCATGTTCCTGACTCCCATTATTATACGAGAGTTCGGACAGCCAAGGTTGCACAAGTCGGCCGCTACACAACATCAGGGTCACGGGTTGCGTCGGTGCAATTGGACCGACCCCTCAACCCCTACCACGTTGGACGCCAACCAACCACCTGTGCGATTCCAAGTCACCAACAAGCAGGTATTCTCCACAAGGCATATAACTCAAAATGAAGATCTGGTGAATAATCGTAGACGGCGTCTTGTTGATCTCAAATTCTGGTGAAACGGCCCCTTCGATGTCTGACTCGAAACCTCTCACCTGAGTAGCCCCGGCACAGCGCACTGTCGTCCGGTGGCCTGTTTGAACGCCATTCCGCCCCAGATGGCGTCGAACCGCAGAGGTGAGAGAAATGGGAGGGTCCAGTTTCCAGCTCAGACCGACCGGCACTACTGTACGGTGTACTCTACCGCACACCCGAACGCTACCATTCCCCCCCGAAAGGTGCTCCGCTTTTTGGCCTGGCCTGGCCTGGCCTGGCCTTCCCCGTGCTGTTCCCCCCCAAAAAGGTGCCGCCAAGCAGCGTGGACCCCTTCGTAACCGCGCCCCGCATAGCAGTGTCCCGCGCCGGATTCACAGTGTTTGATTCGACACTCTTGCGACTTTGCGGTCCCCCCATGCAGGTCCGTCCCAGTTTCGCAGTCATAGCGCCGAAAGGCATGATCCTTGAGAAGACTTGGATGAGGGACGTCGCCGGATGGCAAGTTGAGTGACAGGTCATTCCTGTTGGCTATTCCGGTCCGGCCGGTGAGCTAGGTACTCAGAGCCTCTCTGTATGTCTGCAAGGGAGCAGCCAAGTAATTCGCCCTGTCCGGCTGACGTAGGGGTGTAGGAAAGGGTAGCCTGTCTCTCTCGTCGACATTGTCGTCACCAAGTGGAATGCAGTATTATGTGTTGCTATTTTCCAACAGCGTCATTGTTCCATGTCTCTCGTTGATTGACGGCGCAGGAAGCACCGTCGATCCCCTTCACTGGACCGTGGACCCGCGGGAAACCATGTCGCTTGACCGCATGAAGTACCTTCTCGCTGTTCATCCTTCTTGCCCCCTTCTCTCGCTTTGGAGGTCCAACGGGTCGGTCGCAAACAAACAAAAGAGAGTTTTGGGAATGACGAGCTCCCTGTCTTCGTATCTGGTGACGATTCCTGCAAAGCAAAAAGTCAATTTTTACAAAAAGTCCTTGAACTCTGAGTCCGTCTTCTGCCCCGTGTTCCACACCCCGGTCTGGCGCCGTGGTAGGTGTGTTTGGCGCAATGTCCGATCTCGGCAGTTTCCGGGGGATTGACATTGCATTGGCGAAGCAGAGAGGGATCACATGCTGATAGCGATAAGATAACAATTCGCCGATAAGAACAGCGCGGGTGAGGGGCCGCCGGAAAGGTGGGCACGTCGGACGACGGGGCTTGACGCGCGCCGACACTCTCATGGTTCTCCCGGGCCGTCGTCCGACGTAAACAGCGCGCCCAATCCCAACTCCCGGCGCATCGAGACGAACGCCAGACAACCGACAACATTTTCAGCCTCATTCCTTGTCGAGGGGGTACGCGTTGCCTGTTTTCCTCACTTTCTCTGGCCTAGCCCTTCGACATACGATGGAGTCTGCGCACAGGAAAATCGAGCTGCAGTCCCACGAGGACCTCGCGTTCCTCCTCAACAACGTCCGACGCGCCGCGCAGGACCAGCTCGACAAGGCGTTCCCGCATATTGAGGGGAGTAATGCGCAGGAGGATGAATTGCGGACGCCTATTGAGCGTCTCGTGAACGAGGTACGAAGGCCCTTTTGTTTATGTCTGTGTGGTTCTGTTTGGAAATGGTTTTCAGGGTTACATGGCACCGAGTTACCTTTTGCATCCTGAAGAACCCATAACCAAATGACCTACGGGCCGAGTATACTCAAATGTCATGGTCAAAAAAAACATGGGATCGCTAACAGTGAATTCCCCAAACAGTACATCAACAAAACCTTCACCTATGCCGGCCCGAACCTTTCCATAAACGGCCTCGACGCCGACCCTGCCACCTTCCTCTCAACCAACCCCTCCGACGAGCCCGAAGAGGCCTACGAGCCCTGGGACGCCCGCCTCCGTCAGCGCGTCGAAGACCTCGCCCGCGAGGAGGAGGACCTCCTCAACGAGATCGCCGCCCTGAAAAAGTCTGTCCCCGGCGCCGTCGCCGCCGCAGCGACGCACGACTTCAAGACCGCCGCCGCGGCGGATGAGGCCGCGCTCGATGCCGCCAAGAAGGCAAAAGAGGACGAAGCGAGGGAGATCGAGGCCGAGGTTCTCCCGCTCGAGGAGATGGAGAGGAGGGACGAGGTCAAGGAGGCCTTTGGGGGCGCAGTTGGGGCACTGGGGAGGCTGAAGAAGGAGATGCCCGCTACGGTCGCCAAGATGGAGAGGGCGAGGGTCGCGGGAGAGTATACCGTGACGGAACGATCGTAAGGGATTTCGGACGGACCGGCTATGAATGTTTGGGTGTTTCGGCGTTAGGGGGCTCTATACCACTAATTGGGAGTCATTAAGGTCTTGTCGGGCTTGACAACATCATTGATTTGAAAACCAGGTTGAGGCGAATCATGCAGTCAGCATCACACTCGCGACATAAGCCATCAAGCAGTCAACGCAGAACTATTCTATTAAGAATGATCCAGCAGTTCAAACGAAAGTATGTATAACGAGAAGTAGCAAATCTGCCAAAACCAACACATGTATGAGCGATTCTACATAAAGCTCTTGTTTTTAACCATCCCCGTCTTCACGCCTGTTTCTGCTCAACCGGATGCAACAACAAATCTGTCAACGCCTTCTCTCTAGCTGCTCAACCAGCAGCGCAACTCAAATAACAATCATCTCCCCGGATCGATGCCCGCAAGCTTTCTGAAGAAAGCGCTTATGCCGCAGCGGGGGCCTTGGCGTCCGCAGTAGCATCAGCAGCGGCGGCGGGGGCGGGAGCGGCACCGTCAGCGGGGGCAGTGACGGTCTCGCCGCCCTTGTTCTCGATGACTTCGCCAGCAGGGGCCTTGGCCTCGGGCTTCGCCCACCAGGGCTCCTTGGTCCACTCCTTCTCGTGCCACGGGCCGGCATCGCTCATGTGGCAGCCGCCTGCGCACTCGCACTTGCCACCCAGGGCCTTGGGCAGGTTCTCGGCGGGGATCTGGTTAAGAAGCTCCTTCTGGTAGCCCGAGCCGAGGATGTTAATCTTCGAAACGGTGACGGGGTCGAGCCAGCCCTTGACGACACTCCAGACAGTGGAGAAGCCCCAGGGGGCGTTGATCATGTAGAGCTTGCCGAGGCGCTCCGGGTAGTAGTTCTGGGAGATGACGGAGGCCTGCTTGACGTAACTGTAGACCTGGGGCACGCGCGTGATGGTGACGCCCTTGAGGTCCATGATGGTGCAGCAGGTCTCGACGAGGTGGTTGTACTTGCGGGAGCAGGCGGGGAAGCGAGGGTCGGCGCACTTCTCGTACTCGACGGCCAGGTTGGTCAGCATGCGCTCGGCGGTGGTGATCTTGTACATGGCGTTCAGGTCGATGCCGCCAAGCTGCTCGATGTAGACGGGACGGCCATCCTGTGGGTTATGCATCAGCTTACGAAAAGAGACGACCATTTCACCAATTCCAGAGCCTTCATACCTTGTCGTTCTTGTGGTAGTACTGGGGGTAGAACTTGAAAAGCTCTTCCTTCTCGGGGTACTCCCAGGTGGGGATGGTCTCGTCAAGCTTGGTCTTTTTCCGCCAGTCCTCGAAGTCGACGAACCTAAGAGTATTCGGTCAGTTGCCGGTGCATCGTTTATCATTGGGAACAAAGCTTTGCTCACATCTGCTTGGCCAGGTTGACATCGAACTTGCGGGCGCGGAGGAAACGCAGCTATAACGGTAGTCTTAGCAGTCTGGACAGGGACTAATGGCCACGCAAGCCGCCTCCTATCTTGTGGTCTAGCTTGGTAAGAGGAAGCCTACCAGAGTCAGGGTGTCGAGACGCTTGGTGTAGCCATCAGTCTCGAGCATCAGGCGCAGCTGGGCGACCTGGGCCTTCTGCTCAGGCGTGAGGTGGCCAGGGTGACCACTCGCGGCCGTCGCGGCGACGGTCGGGAAATCGTACTGGTCGTACTTCGGGTCGAGTTCTTGCTGGGACATGGTGGGGCTCGTTTAAGGGTCTTCGGGTTACGTGTGAAGAAGGGTCGGTGTGTAGGTGAGAAGGAAAGGGATTGAGAGGGATTTTTGCAAGAACGCAAAAAGGCGGGGTGGAAGAATAAATGGGATTCGCAATGGAAACAAGGCACGGGATCAGTTGTTGCTCCTGGAGAGATTCGAAGCCAGGATCGTAGGTGTGTTCAAGGAGGAAGAAGCTGGGTTGTGGGGAAAAAAGGGAAGGAAGATCTCTAGCGGGAAAGCAGCGGATGCTTGGGAGGTCGAATTAAAGTGAAGTTGCTGGCTGAATGCCAGAGTTCGTCATAGCGACGGTTGACCGGTCCCGCACACTGCTGTTGCCCCCCTGGCTGCCCCTCAAATTGGCTGTTCGCCGACCGTCTACACCGCACTTATGCACCCGCATCTAAGATCCGGGACTACGTATGTCTTTGTATAGTGGCCTTACGTAATGCCTCAGAACCCACCCACGAGCACCCAGAGACGCTGAAGATTGGTGCATCGTGGCCCACCACATACTGGCAGCCCTTCGACGCTTCAGATCGGCTCGAGATGTGGCTTGAATTGTCATGGTTCGGTCACTTTGTGCGGTGGCAGTGGCTGTGAGAGTGGCATCACATCTAGGTGGTCAGCGTCTATGGCCCGAAGCATCTTGGCTGAGCCTGGACTGGGCTGGACTTCGGATGATCCTAGGTACCAACACGTTCTCTGTTGGGTGTGCATGACGTGCCATACTTCACGCGGCCAAATACGCTGTGTGCATTAAGTCTGTGGTATTGCACACACGATAACGATGCTTTCATTATTGTGATAGTTGTACTGTCACCCAGAGGGCTCCGAGACTTCAGGCCCGAACCCGAAATTAGGTCATCTTCGCGCCCCTTGCTGAGATTCGTAAGCCTGCAGGGCCTTTACTCCCTGAGGTCGGGCTGAGTGCCAACGCAATCATGGACAGGCACAGCTCAGGGGGTTTTGCATAGCAGTGAGGCGCTGTTGTAAAAGTGCGAGAACCATCAGGTTGTTTTGTTTGGTATCGAGTATTGCATCAGCCGTTCGCCTTGCTTTCATCCCCTTCCTTCTTGATGTCCTTTCCTTCTTCCTTGTCTTTGCGCTTCTGGACAACCTCCCAGTTGTACACCCTCGCAATGGCAACCTCCATGGTCTATTTTGAATTAGCATGCTGGGGACAGCTATATCAGACGTCAAACGCACCGTAATCTGCTCTCTCAGGAAGTCCAGGTCCTCCTCGCAGTTTGATAAGCTCGTCTTCGCCGTCGACAGCTTGGACTCGAGAAGCGTCTCGGCTTCGTCGATGGGGTACGACAGCATCACGTTGGCCTGTCATCTGATCAGCTCCAGTTCCTCACGTCTGTTCAGTCACGACGCGGGAAACATACGCCTAGCCAGATGTAGACCTCCTCGGTGGGAGGGATCTTTGCCTTGGAGTATAGCGTGTCGTTGAGCTCGAAGGTCGTCTCAATTGGTTCATCATCACCCTGAGTGTCATGTCAGCTCTACTCTCAAGCTGGCATATCAATGTGTGACTCCCACCTGTCTGAGCTTCAGGAACCGCACGGAGTCGAGGGTCTTCTGGATATCGGGGATCTTGTCCTTCAGTCCGGCCATCCTCTTCTGAAGGTTCAGCTCCATGAACTGGTATTTCCTGCGCACATCGACGTGTTACCAACAGTCCCCATAGGTCGCCATGCACGCCATCGTCTTGCTCGTCGTCAGAGCTTTGGGTGCATGCCCGGCGGGCCCAGCGCGTGCGCGCGACTCACGAAATCATCTCCTGGAAGTTGCGCATCGTCGGTTCGACATCCTCGCGGGTGGTGACGTAGTCCTCGACCTTGTCGACAAACGGCGCCTTGGGGATACCTCGAGGGTTGCTGGGCGTGGCATCTTTGCTGCGGTGTGGTGAAAACTGTCAGCGTGGTTGCAGCGGCCATGAGTAGGAAGAAACTTACCCAGCCGTATCCAGCTTTTTGCCCTCTGCAGACATTGTGGAAGTTAGCAGATGTTGGCTTTAGCGCACCATCTGTTGTTGGCAGGAACTCGCGATTTTTCGTAACGGTGTGGAGGGGAGCTGCAGTGACGGTCCGCTACCGAGCCGATCCTACGGTGGCCTGTTCACCGAGGTGAGGGGTATACGCTTGGTGGGGTAGGTAGGTCCCCAACATTGACGCTGGAGCGAGCACCTTTCACTCTTTATTGGTTTCGATGACATTCTTCCGCAACTCAAGTTAAGATTCCAATCGGTTATGAGACGAAGCTTGATGGCTTCGCCCACGTTTTCAAAGCTTGTGAGTTGTACAAAGCATTGATTAGATTTTTGGGTTTTTTTAAGCATTCCGTGATTGTCTAGCATTGCGGCTAGATCCGTCTCCTCATGTTCTCACTTAGGTACTCCAGTCTGAGGGTGGACAACTAATAGCTGTGATACTGCTAAAACACGGGCTCTCCTAGTGGCTTGCCAAAAAAGAGAATTCACTCCTAATGCCACCTGGCTTTGCGACGTCGGGCTATTCTTCCAAAGATCTGGTCTGACGGCACTGCCAACTGAAGCTAGTTACTCACTGGGTTGACTATGACCCGGGAGCCCTCAAGTTAATGCATTTGAAGGGGAAAAGATCCGAACTGAACCTATCAGGCTAGCCTCCGACCCGAAGAAGCTCTTCGTTGGGTAGGGTCCAGGCTCGATGAGGCCAGGACACCTGAAGAGGTTTTCCAGTCCTTGCCTCTAAACTGTGAACAGCCAATAATTGACGGATGGAGGACAAACTTAACAGCAATGAAGAGGACCCTTCGAGCGAGAGAACTTCGTCAGTCTAGCAGATGCTTTGTGTGTAATCACGCACAGTAAAAGATGAAACCAATACTTCCCCGACAGTTCATCGAGACAGCCCAATCAGCTTACTCATCAAGGTAAGAACACACCGTCGCCCCCAACGGCCAAGCGGCAGCACGCCATGAGCACCCTGCATGTCCACGTCTCCACAACCCAGCTAAGCTACCTTATCTGGGGAGCCGATAAATAAATCCCATTGAGTTTAAGCCGGTTAAGTGACCAGTCTCCTTCCAAAAACCTTCCGTCACCGACAAACTCCCCGCGACCAATTGATCCCTTGCGCTCTCTTGTTCTCTATCTCAATTTCATCTGCGTCTTGAGCTAGGTGGGATTAACAGTATAGGCGACCCTTTTCCCAGAGAACTATTGAGGGCACCTCGATCATCGGTGGCGGGGTAGTGTTCAAGAGCTCGGCAAGCAAACCGAAAGACACAACAATGGCGGACGCCGTGGTTGATCCCGAAATCGCAGCCGGCGGCGCGCTGCAGACAGTCAAGGACCTCGTGTCTGGCGCTGCAGGCGGTGTTGCTCAGGTCTTGCTCGGTAGGTTTCCTGTTTGCCCACGAGAGATGCTGCGAGGGAGAGTCGGCGACGTGAGCTTCGAGCCCTTGAGCCGACTTCGGAATGACACCCGAGTCTCATGAGCGACTCACTACCATCACCACAATCTCACTCAATTCCGCTTTTCCTTGATGTGAAAGCATATGCAGCATACAGCGCATACGTTTAAAACGAGAGAACTAATGTCCCCCCAGGCCAACCCTTCGATATCGTCAAAGTCCGCCTCCAGACCTCAACAACACCCACAACAGCACTGACCGCTGCCACCCAAATCTACAAGAACGAGGGCGCGCTCGCGTTCTACAAGGGCACGCTCACGCCCCTCCTCGGTATCGGCGCCTGCGTCTCCATCCAGTTCGGCGCCTTCCACCAGGCCCGCCGCTACTTCGAGGCCCGCAACGCCGCCTCCTCCCTCGGCGCCAGCCCGACCCTCAGCTACGGCCAGTACTACGCCGCGGGCGCCTTCGCCGGTGTCGCCAACTCGGTCATTTCGGGCCCCATCGAGCACGTCCGTATCCGCCTGCAGACCCAGCCCCACGGCGCCGCGCGGCTGTACTCGGGACCCCTCGATTGCGTCCGCAAGCTCTCGGCCCACGGGGGCGTGCTAAACGGTCTCTACCGCGGTGAGGCCGTGACGATCCTGCGTGAGGCCCAGGCATACGGCGTTTGGTTCCTGGCCTTCGAGTGGATGATGAATGCCGACGCGGCGCGCAACAAGATCGACCGCAAGGACATCCCCAGCTACAAGATCGCCTTCTACGGCGGCTTGGCCGGCGAGGCGCTGTGGCTCAGCAGTTATCCCTTTGACGTCATCAAGAGCAAGATGCAGACGGACGGGTTCGGCAAGGAGCAGCGGTACAAGACGATGCGCGACTGCTTCGCGCAGACGTACCGCGGCGAGGGGCTGCGCGGGTTCTGGAAGGGCATCGTGCCGACGCTGCTGAGAGCTATGCCTGTTAGCGCCGGCACGTTTGCGACAGTCGAGCTGACCATGCGGGCCCTCAGCTAAGCTATTGTCATTTATTTGTCGTGGGGTGCTATGTTAAGGGGAATTTGTCTCGAGCCATTTACTAGGAGGTGCAAACACAGGGCTTGGCAAAATAGAAGGTCCAGGGGCAACTTTTCTAGAGTCTATCGTTTTCTATTTCGATACTACGGCGTTTGTGCATACATATCCTAGGCATCGTTATGTCGGCGTAGACCTAAGCACAGAAGCAGACCGTCTATTCTTTGTTCTCGACCCTGCGCTGTAAGATATGTCTCGCGTTTGCCGGAGTGAGCGTGTCGATATCCAGCTCCTCCAGAAGCTTCTTGGCCTCGGTGTTGTCCGTGAACACCCGGTCCGTGGCATCCTTAAGCGACAGCGTACCCTCTTGGGGTTCAGCGGGGAGATTGAGCAGTTTCAAGGCGTCAACCAGGCTACCCAGCGACCCTATACCGTTCGGGATGTACCTCTCGACCAGGGAGAAGATGGCGTTGAGGTCGCGCGTGAACTGCGCTGCACCAAATGCGGTGAAGCTCTGTCTCATTAGAACCTCGCTCCAGAGCAGGTCTTGGAGCTTGTCGAGAGCCGAGCGCCACGTGCGCCGGAACGCTGCAGTGCCAATAGCCTTGAGCAGAAAGTCGAAGTTGCGCTTGAGGATCTGATACGGGTTAGGGACGGCTTCTCCAACAGGGGCTTTGACAGGACTCACTCTTAGAGGCTCGTCCAGCTCGGGCGTGACAGCTAGTTGTGATGGGTCGACTGTATAATGGTTAGAGATGAACATAACTTGACTTGTATACCAAGAAACTTACCTTCTGAACCGCTGTCGCTGATAGTTGTCCATTGCGTTCTTGTCGAGTATGCCCGGAAGGCCTTGTAGTGAGAATCAGCAAGGGCATTTACCAGGAATTCCTGGGCCGTCTTGCGTCTAAGGCTGTACGCGGCAATCGTCTCATCAAATAGAATTCCTTCGTCGCCTTCCGAGCCCACAGCTGCAGAAGTGCGGTCCTTAACCTCCTCGTAACTCATTTCACCCGACATCCTCGAAGTCTCGCCCTCCTTGGTTGCGCGACCTTGCAGCTGATCCCATAACGTCACAAAGAACTCCTCGTTACCCCAGTCCTTGAGCGTGTTGACGACGTAGTCTGCACTGCCATACACCTTGCACAGCGACTCAAGACTGCCGGTGCCTTCGAGAGCAGCAAGCTGTTCTTTGGTGACGCCGTGGAGTGTCCTGCCAACTGTAGATGTAAGCGCTTGGTAAGCCTCCAGAGAGCCACGGAGACGATCGTGGAACTCGTCCAGAATGTCGAGCTGGATGCCGATCAAGAATCGAATCTTGTGCTTGAAGGTGCGAACTCTCTCATATTGGGTCGTGATCGACTTCAGAAGATCGGTGACCCGTACAGCCCCGAAAGTCGGCTTAGTCTTGCCCGTAGCAGCATAGTCATAGTCGATGTTTCTCGCATCTGGCGTAGCCATGATGGCTCGGAAACGCTCCAGCGCAAACTCCTTTTCGGCCTGGAACCAAGGTTCAAACCAGTCCTCGAGAATTTCTGTAGCAAGGCCGGGCCAGCCTTGATCTGCGTTGCCACCATCGTAGTTGAACTTGGACCGGATAGCCTCATCAAACGTCATCAGCTGTCCCATGAAGCTGCTCAGAAATGCAGGGTTCTTCGCCGTATCGGCCACTACGCCCTGGATCTTCTCCCTCATAACGGGCAGCATGCTGGTAATGAATGCGCACACTGGGTCGACGTAGACCAGACTGTTCGCTGCAGACGTGTCACGGAATTTAGCAGCTAGGATGAAACCCAGGTTGTCCCTGTAGAAGTCTTCCCACTTCTCGATAGTCGCCAAAAACCAGGGAAAGCAGTGTGATCCAACAGCATCGGGCTTGCTCGTAGGCTTGTCGCTAAGGAAGTGGAAGCGGAACTCGGAGACGAAAATCTTTGACATGACGTCGAAAGGCAGTAGGCTGACGGTGGACTTGCTCAAGACGACCTCTGGAATCTGGAGGTCAAGCAGCTTCTCGAAGCAAGCAAGCCACTCCTCGTCCATCTCAGAAGTTGGCTCGACCATGGGCCACGACCTCTTACTGAGGACAGCCTCCAGCTCGCTCGACATTGTCTTCTTCATCTCCTCCCACAACGCATCGGCGACGCTTCGCACGTGGTTAACGAGATGGACCGCAGCGTCGTCGGCCGGGCCTGAAAGCTCCTCCAGGCGTCTTGAAAGTTGCTTGAGTTTTGAGTACGGCTCCAAGGCCGCCTTGGGGCTCTCGGGGAGATGCGATCGAGCTTCGGTCCGCAGTTTGTCGACATCTTGCAACAAGCTAAGGTATTTCTGGGCAAGTTCGATTGTTTGCAGCTTCTTCATAGGCTGTTGCAGTCTCGCGATGGCCTGGTTCGGGGCGTCGGACGCCGCTGCAATCTTGACACGAATGTCGATGCTGTGTTGGAGCTCCTGGAAGTCTTGAATGCGTTGAGCAAGCGAGGACTGGCGGTCACCGGCCGTGCGACGCGCTTCGTCGAGCTGTTTTATGGCATTGTCGAGCTGGGTCTGGAGCTGGCTGCGCTGAACCTCAACGTTCGCGATCAGTGAGTCGAGGCTTTCGAGATCGGTCGTAGACTGAAGCTTGTCGTCGAGGAAGTCTTCGACACGAATATCTAGGGCGCCGGTCTGAGCGCGACTGTCGGGAATTGTGGCCATCGTGGTAGGTCCTTGTGACTGCAACTGGGTAGGCGCATCGACTATCGAGTGTTCGCGATGTGTGGTCTGAACAATGACGTGGAGCTCAGCACAATCAACGGCGGGGTGCATGCAATTACCAAGCTTGGTCGGTATGCACTTAAGTGAGACTATTATTTACTTATCCAGCCTCCCATTAACCCGAGGCCATTTCTCAACAACCAACCATAAATGTATCAGGAATTGAGCAATTCAGGGGGAGTTCTTCTTACGCAAAGGAGAAAGAAGGCATCCTCTGAGCTGATCAGCAGCTTCCAAGGTACGTTGTGACGGCTGATCTGGCTCTAACAAAGATTGTTGAAGGCGGACAGTAGGCTCAGCCTCACTAGGGTGCACTGACCTCTTTCCCAGCCACACAACACTGAACTTCAACACCTCTGATCTTGAAGAGAAAAGACAGCCTTAGAGACCCGTGTGGCGCGCCGTGACTCCGTCACCAGAATCTCTACAAGACCCTCGGCTCATTGGTAAGTCATCATGGCATTAGTTGAGAGGCTGTTGGGTCTGTTCGAGAAAGACAACTGTCTAGTGTTATGCCCGTGTATAGGCACTGCCATAACAAGCAACGACAGAGTCATAGACCAATTGCGTCACTGGCTTGCAGCAAATCGTGTTCCATCGCGAACGGATGTCGATGATGACAGCGTTCAGCACCATAGCGTAAATTTACTACAGATGGCAGTGTGTTGTTAGATAGTTGCCGGGCGAAGCCATCACACTGGTTCCCGAGATCTGCAGAGGTCCGGCAGCTCGCACTTCACAGGCAGGCAGCGCTAGCGTCCTTCGGGAAGCAGCGTCTGTCGTCTATGCGGACCCAACAGCCAGGGAAGAAGAACTGACGTTCGGCAGCAGTGACAGGTGTCCGGATATTTGTAGTGCAGCGCGCCGACTACTTGAACCTTTGAGCTGGCTGACCGCCATGTAGACAAACAGAGCGGTGTGTTGGAACGCCTTTCCTCCGCAGAGCTGATGGAGATAGGACTTTGCATGGTGGAGATGAGAACCCGATGGGTCTCGATGGGAATCACGGAGCCGTCTGGGGTTCCTGCAGTAGACGTATCCGCTCGGCACGGGACTGAATTGCGAATAGCTTCAGCTGTCGTGTGCGACAAGGTGACTGACTGACCGTATTTGTGGCAGGATGCCGAGTGTTTGTTTCCGCCAAGGAGGCGAAAATATATCTTGGCTGCCATCCAGCCCTTCAAGGATTCTGGCGCCTTCAATGCTGTCGCCATGCCAACAGGGGGGCGAAGGGCCAGAATCCGTACGACGCCGTTACAACGCATCACCAAGACTCGATACAAGCGAATGGGTGAAAACAAGGAACCAGGCCAATGTACCGGACCCCGGCTCCGGGTCTCGTCTCAAATGCAGGAACGCCCGAAATATGTTCCCGAGTCGAGTCGCGTGCGGTTTGGATTGGGTTAGCTAGACGGCAGCCTGAAGCAAAGCCATGTACAAACAGGGAAGGCTGCAAGATGCGCAAGACAAGTGCGAGCGTTTGGACAGCCCACTTTCGGATTGCGACCGCAGAGCTCTTTGCGGCGGCGCGCAGAGAGGAAACACCAACGGATTCGCATACAACAAGAGTCGCGCAGAGCTGACAAGAATGAAGACCTAAAGAGAAGCTAGGCGAGTAGAGGTTGCGCTAAGATGCGGCCTTAGATTTGACGGGGGACACGGGACGGGGGACCCCTGAAAAGACGTCACCCAGCCACCGGGCTTTTTTCGACCTCTCAGGCCTGTTTCCCGCCCGCGCTGGTGGGAACCGCCTTCCCACTAGGGAAGCGCAGAAGCCACAGAAAGGGCATCCCCCGGACAGTCAGCCAGGGTGAGCATGCGGTACGTACCACCCTTGACCCCACTCTACCGCCCTGCTCGCCCAGGAACCGCTGCGACGCTGCAAATCGCCCTGACAACGACGGCAGCGCCACGAGTAAATAGAGGAGGTTGGCGTAGCTACGTAACACCCCTTCCACTATAGCACTTTCACCTCGTTTGGTGCGCGAACGCCGCACAGTCTCTGGCGAAAAGTGGATGGCAGGACCAATTGCACATCATCCTCAACTCTTTTTCCCTAGGTTCTGTCCCTCTTCTCCAGACTCATCCATCGAGCTCTTCACCCAGCCATCCGAATATTCGATCCGTTCTGCAGACGTACAAACCTCCCTGTCTGCTCCGAACCTGTGGGCATCCCGCTTTCCACTCTGGAACATCTGTTGCCAGAGACAGACAAAACTAAGTCCACCCTCACCCTGTCTGCTGTTCTTCTCTCCCTCCCAGCCATCCCAATATTCCACACTGCATCAAACCACTCCCTCCCAACCTTGAAGACCCAACCCGCACACACATTCATTCACTTCAACACTTCACACTCATACACACACATACTTGTCATCTCTCCCGTCCTTCATCCCCGACGACAGCATCAAAAGTGGAAGTTTGTTTTCGTGTCTGACAACAATCGTCAAGTCTTCTCTCTACCCGCAGTTCCAACACCGTCCCGCATTCCTCGCGGTGTTCTCTCCAGCCCTCGTTTCTAGAGCGAACCCAGCAAACCTTACCGCTACATTCCTCTCCATTTGGGGCGACAAACCCGTTTACTCCCACGAGCTTCGCATTCCTCGCCCGTCCATCTTCTCCACCGACCATAAGGAAAGACACGCTGCGTGCCGGCGCTGAGAGTGCCAGGACCAGAACCCCTCCGTCGCTCCGCTACAACGGAGGGCGGCGTGGGTCAAGCAAATACGAGCCCGATCCCTCTAGAGGAGTGGACGAGTAAGATCACACAGTCAACATGGCGAAATTCCAAGTAGGCTGGTATCGTAAGTTGCTCCGACATCTACTCGCGCGAAGAAGCAAATCGGACTAACATGGCGTCTTGTCAGGATTCGTACCGTTCCTGGGATACCACCATGTCTTGATGATCTTGATAGCAATCGCCATCATCCTTCTATGTAAGTTTCTTTGGAACCATGCGACGCGACTCGTTTACTAACATCGTCCGCAGCACTACTATTGGCAGGTTGCTCGTCATCGTCACCTTTGATGCCCGATATCTTCCTCCTGTCTCTGTACTACGACAGTTACACAGCAGTCCCCTCAACAGCGCAAGTTGACTACAATGTCCACACGGCCATCGAGAACATCGCCGGCGACGCCCGTCTCGCCTGCCGGGTTGGTTACTTCGGAATCTGTATCAGCCCCGACGGTGGCAGCTGGCTTTGCAGCAACAACGCCACCGCTCTTGCCAACGAAGTTTCTGTCGACCAGGATCCCCTCAACCTGATCTGGCTTGCTGCTCAGTTCAAGGACATGATCGTGTTCCCCTACCTCATGTAAGCTCGGTCGCTCGATCCCCGTACAGAAACAGCGTACTGACCCTCTTGCCAGCATCATTGCCATCATCTTTGCCTTCGTCTGCTTCCTCTTGCTCGCTACCTTCCCCGGATGGCACGAGGAGGAGGACTCCGAGGGCTCTGACCGCGAAGTCAAGCCGTTTCCATCGCGACCCGTTTCCCAGATCTCGCTGGCCATCATCTTCATCGCCTCCATCTTTGTTCTCGTGTCTGTGCTATGGCAGCACACCGCCTCAGTTGCTGCGTCCATCATCGCTCAAGATTTCGGGAACGGTGCTGTACGCTCTGGTGTCGGTACTTCCGCCATGGTCCTCGGTTGGTTCAGCTTTACCCTGCTCATCATTGTTACCATCGGTCTTTTGGTCATGATCCTGAGTATCCGTGTTCTGAGCCAAATGGTCGACTAAGCCGAGGCGCGCATCACCCGAGTTGGAGACGGTAGATTTCGACGACGACACGTGTAGAAGATGGGCCCGAAGCCCGCGCAAGAGAGAATGGAACCTTGTACATGGAGGGATTTTTCGAGAAGGGCACATTTCAGACCCTCTCCCCATCAGCACATTCATCGTCCAGCACAAAAGACCATCAGCATCAGGGAATTTGGCGTTGTATATTGCGTTTGTGTTTTGCTTTTGCTTCTTTATATTTGGCATTTCATTTTGGGCCGGCAAGGGGTGGGAGGAACACATTGAAGTCGCACCCACCCTCCGCCATTTTAATGTTGTTTGCTCTTAGCGATAAGCGAGAGCGCGGACGACCCATTGACGAGCAGCAGTATGCCCTCGTTTCTTCCAAAGCAAAAAAGAAAATACTGTGGATGGGACCGTGCCGAACAGGGGCCGGCGAGCAGATGAATGGGGAACGACTTGGACGCACAGGAATATGGAAATGGGAAATGTGTAGGAGTATGTCATGAAATCCACCATGACGACGGAAAGAGTCTCCGAAGCAGGACGAAGGACAAGATTAGATGAGTGAAGGAAATGAAATTGAACATGACGAACCAAAACGGGGCCCCTTGATTCACACTTGAATCGCCATGTTGGTGAATGCGTACATGGAGTGCAGAGGGGTAACGAGGAATGCATGCGTGTTGGTCGTCAACTTGTATAGCTTCATCACTTGGAAAGACAGGATCAGGACAAAACACATGGGAATATAGTCAGTTCGTTGCTGATTGTCATGACCTCTGTTTTTCAGACCATCTTCAAGATAGCCCCGGTTTTCTTCAATTTATACAACGAAGAATTGCTCAACAAGACAAAAGTCGACTTTAAAAGAACAAGAAACCAACAAAAAACACGCCGCAACGCCATGATAGCCCCCACCCCGTGATATCTCATGCCAAGCTCTAATGCTCTGTGCCCCCTTTCTCTGCTAGACACACATGCTCGTAGGGAGCCTCTATTCATGCCTTTTCTCATCTGGGGAAATCTGACAAGGTCTAGACGGGGCGCTTGAACGGATGCGCCTCGGTGTTGAGCACCCAGTCGTCAAGACTGACGACGTCGGGCGTTGAAAACAAGAGATAAAAGTACTTTAGCGTCTCAGCGACCCAGAAGCTCTCCATCTCGTCCACGGGTTTCGGCTCCTCGGACAATACGTCGTCGATGGCGCTGTTGCCGTACTCGGTCCGCGTCGCCTTGATGATGGCCTCCCACATCCTCCAGCCCTTCTCCTGCCATTCAGGGTCGCCCGTGATGCGGTACATGTACCACACAGACTCGATGGCCTCGGGCCTGGTGAGATGTTAGTTTCAGAAGACAGAGAAACATTCCCATACGCGGAGTGTGACTTACCGAAGGATGTAGCGCCTGGCGTTGATGTTGACGAAGCCAGGCGGAATCTTCTCAAGCTCCAGCTTCTCCTTGATAAACTCCTCGTGCGATTGCGGCTTTGGGTCGGGCACCTCTTCCGCTTCCTCCAGCCTGATCTTGCCTACGATACCACCGCTGACCGGCGCATCGTTGGGGACGCTGCCCGTGTTGCCGGCGCTGTTCAAGTCAAGCTTGTCTTTCAGGGAGTTGCTGGCGGCCTCCTCGGCAGATCCCTGGCGAGGATCCTGGGATGTAGGCGGGGCAGGATCCCGCTTCTTCAGCAAGTGCTCATCGACGTTCGAGGGGGACTTGTTGAGGCCAGGCTCAGGAGCGGGGTACTCAGTCTTCTTGGCCGATCCCAGGTTCTTTGGCTCGTCCTTGGGGACGTGAATGTCGGCAAATGGGTCCTTCTTCTCCGGCGCAGGCTCGTCCTTGATGGACTTCTCAGCGGGGTTGCTACCGGTGTGATCGGTCTTGCCTCTCTCGACAGACTGCTTGCGGAGCTCATCCTGCTGCTGCTCCTTCTTCTTACGCTGTCTCTCCTCCCAGTCCTTGACCTGTGACTCACGCCAATCAGCGGACGGGTCAAGGTGCTCCCACCAGAGAGTCTCGTTCCAGGGGCAGCTCTGCAGAGAAGCGCATGGCACAACAGAGGCGCCTTCGGGCATAATACCAGAAGGCATCGATTCGTAGGCCCAGACACAGCCATCGGTGAGTTTCTTGGCGATCTCAACATCCTCGGGTCTGTCAAAGATCTTGCCTCCAAGGCCAAACATGCCACCAATGAAGCAGGTGAGATGCGTCACTTCGTACTCAGTTCGTAGGTCGTTCTCAGGGTCACCAGAGGTTGAGACCTTGGCCGAGAAAAGAATGTCTCTTTCCTTGGGCACCATGGGTCTGTAGAGAAGCCATTTCTTGACAGCCTCGACTGTCTTGATGTGCATCGTCTTGTACTTGGGTTCAAGACCACCAAGCACCAGATATTCCTACGACGAGTTAGTACGTGTCCTGTTTGCACATGCCAGAACAAGCCTTACCTTTGGGAAGTACTCGTAGGTGGAATCTTGGCTTCCACCCATGCTGTACTGCTGGTAGCCCCAGCCACCAGGAGCCAGACCCTGCTTGATGCATTCCCACGAGGATTTATCCGGCGTTGTGGGAGACGGTCTACGGCCGCTATTGCCGGGGTAGATGGCCTGCTCATTTTCCACCACAGTTTCACCAGCTTGGTCAACCCCGACAGCCCGTCTCGCGAGCAGGTTGACCCCCTCCGGCTCGCTGCCATTCCCCTTTGCCAAAGAGGTCTCCAGAGCAAGGGATGCGTCAGCTTCAGCCCGCTTCGCCTCCGCAGCCACTGGCTCGTGTCCCTTGGGTTCGCTGAGACGGGCAGCGGCAGCGCTAGCGCTCGCGGCCGCAGCTTGTTCCTCTTGATATACGATCGCCTCGGCCGTCCTGTTGCAACCGGAGGCATCAAGCTGCTCGGGGAAAATGCCATCGATGGTGGTGCCGCGGTTCTGAAGGTCCTCAAAGGCATCGGTGATGCGCGCGATGGCGTCGTAGTACTTATCCTCGCCGGTCAACTGTGCGAGGCGGGTGAACTCCATGGACATTGAACCCAGCTCAGCCACGCCGACAGTGGTAGCACGGTGTGGTTGAGACGCGTACTGGGGCTGCCAGTTGTAATACAGGATGGGCATGCGGTTGGGCGTATCGAAAACGCCCATCAAGATCTCGGCGAGCTCGAGAGCCTTGTCCAGCAGCATTTCATAACCACCCTTCTTGCCGCCACTCACGTCGTAAGCAGCAAGCAGACCACCCAGGTACCTGATGATGGTTTCGAATACAGGGATATCGCGGCGTGTCGGGCTAAAGGTAAAGTCAATGTCCTTGACGGCCTTGGCGGCCGCATCGAAGTCGTCCTTCATGCCCATAATCCAAAGCGTGTCGAGGCCGTCGACCAGCGTGGCGGCCCAGCCGCAGAAAGGATCACGGAAGCGGCCACTGGCGGGCGAGAGCTCGTCATGCATCCAGGCGAACTTGCGGTATCCCGCCCAGGAGCGTTCCATCTCGGCCTTGACCAGCGCCAGTCGTTTTTCGCGCTTCTCCTTGGCCGACTCCGTCTCAGGCTTGAACGTGTATTGTATTTTGGGAATGTCCTTGGGCTTGCCGGTTGGGAGAGGAATGATCTCGTCCGTGGGAACCGGGAAATGCTCGGAGACCTTGTGCCAATGAATCTGCGAGGTCGATGTCGACTGGTTTTCCAAAAGGTCAAGTTCGGGCCGGCCGGGAGGGTTCTTGGCGTGGATATCCTCGTCGAGGGACTTTGTCGGCGCTTCGGTAACCTCTGGCTTCTTCGTGACCTTGACAGCCTCGTTGGGCGCATGGATGGACAGCGTGGGACCGGATAGGGTCTCGGTGGGCGCGGCGGGCTTCGCCTTTTCGGACTTGAGCTGGGGGATCTTGACCGTCGGCCTAGCCGTCTGCTTCTGCGGGTTCTGTTCAGGTTCGTCCTCCTCCTGGTCGTGCGGGTGCTCGTGATCGGGAGGCGGGTTGTTGTTCAGATGCTTGTTCGAAGCCGGATCGTTCGCCGTGGGCGGCTTTGCGGGCGGCTTGTGGGCATTCTGGCCCTTCTCGAGTTCGCTGGGCTTGAGATTGCTGGTATAGCCTGTCGCATCCCGTTCGGGATTCTTGAAGACCTGGTACAGCATGAAGACTATGACAAGGGCGACGAGGAGCACATAACGGCTCTTCCGGCGGGGCATCATGGTTGCGGACTTGTCGGAGCGTGTCTTTCCAAGTGCGGTTCGAGGATGTTGGCGATGTCGCGTGCTACACTGCAGGTAGCGCTAGACCGTCGGGATCTTGGGACCGCGGGGTCCGGCCGAGTAAAAGAGCAGCAAGGATGATGGCAGGCTAATACGATGTCATCTCTCGGATTGCAAAGTGGCTGTCGTCGTCGTGGTTGGGAAAGGAAAAGCCAGAGCAGCACGGGGGGCAAGGAATGGAAGAATGGGAGGGAAGTCGGCCAAAGAAGGGAGGCAGGTAAGATGGCAGAATAAGAAATGGCAAAGGTACGTAGAGAGTGAGATAATTGGGTGGACGAGTGAGAAGGCAAGGAAGTTGGAGGTAAAGGCAAGGCCAGGTCAGGTAGGTGGCATGTAGAGATTGGCGTGTAGGAGGGCACGGAGCTTGGCCAAGATAAAAACCCAAGCCTTCTAAGTACGCGAGCTGAACTTTTTGGGAGGGAGGGAGGGAGGGAGGGGGGAAGGGAAGCGCCTCGTCGGATCCTTAGGTAAGGTGGGCAGAGAGGAAGAGCACCGCTGTCTGTGGTACGATGTACATACAGCAGGTAAAGGACAACAGTGAACACAAGGAAGGACTCGAAAGGTTGGGATTGTCGAGGTCGCATGCTCTACCCTGCCTCCACTTAGTCTACATTGCCAAAATAAGGTACGTAAGGTAAGGTAGGGAGGAGTCTGGGTATGCCACCCGCCACCTGGATAACGAGGACAAGTCTCGAAAAGGACAGCAGCCAACAGGCAGACAGAGAGACAGCCAGACAGACGGCGGGCGCAAGCAGGAGCCAGGAGCAGACTCTACACTCTACTGTCCAGGACGGACCGGTACCTACGATAGATACGGTGTACACTACCTAGGAACTCGTGCGCGCCAAGACGCGAGATCTGAGCTTTCCCCGTGTCGGATTGAAATGGCTGGTCAGGGGTTCAACACGCTTTTCAGTCTTTTCCGGGTCCAACTGGAGCACTTTACTAACGACTAGGACCCTGTTAGGTGCGGCACCCGTATCGGACCCGGTTTCTCCTGAGTCCTTGACGATGGGCATGGCCCGGTCCCGTCGCTGCGGATTTCGAGATTGCCCATGTCTGAACATCGCCGCTCCATCAAATCAAACACGGGCGTGAACTCGACTCGCCCCCGACTCTGTAACATCGTCCTTGTGTAGCAAGAGCTCAATGACATGAGGCTTCATCTCAACTCGCCTGTCCATGTGTCTCTCAGGTTTTAGCTCGGTCTGTAATGCGGCGCCAACTGGAGACTAGAAAACGCACCGACTCCCCACGTTCCTTTGTACCCCAGACACCACCACCACGCCGCCCGACTCGCCTAAGATGAAGGAAAAACTCTCAGCGCAAACAGCCTCCCGAGGCGGGTCGCACCCCTAAGTGATGGGCAAAGGCAATGTGCCAATGAACCTACCCAAGGTAAGGTAGGCGATGAACTAAATCCAAGGGTTGGGGGGGGGAACGGTGTATGGTGTACCCTAACGGCGGGGCCGAACGGATGGATCCAAATGGGCCTTATTCTCTTATTCTCTCCCAGGGCCAGGGGAATGGTGGACTCCCTCGCATCTGATGGTGGTGGTGCTGCCCCCAGGCTATTTCGCCTGCCCGTCCGTCGTTTTTAGCCAAAAAAGGTTGTCACTCTCTCGTCTTGACCTCGATCTTTCGCCCGGAGGCCGAAGTTCTCTTTCTGGTCGCAAGGTGGCATCAACAGTGCCAACTCGATCGCCGTCGCGAAAGTGCCGGGCTAGAGCCCAAGTGCTTCCCCCCCAAACCTCGCCTCAGCTCCAAAAAAAAAAAAGGTTCAGTCACCCGGGACTTCAGCCAAGACGGATGCCCTCCGGCTGTTTAACCGGACTACTGGCTTGGCACAATTGTCTACCTTAGTTCCGCTGAACTCGAGCTGCGTCCGCCTATCCCAACAGCGAGCGAGCTGCACTCGCTACCTACTCTGGCACTGGTGCCTCCCAGCTCCCTTTTGCCTGCGACCTCTCGTGGCCCCCTCCCCAAAACGAGGTCCTGTGACGTCCCTTGACAGCAAAAACATTGAGACAGAAGGTCTCATGTTCCCAGGGCGGACCATGGACCAAGTCCTCAAAGTCCCCAAAGTCCCCGGCGAAAACCACACAATCAAGCCTCTTCCTCGACAAGAAACCTAACTCTGTTTGCTCTCTCTCTCCAACAGTGGTGAGCTCATGCCGCCCGCCGTCCACACAAATACCCATGGGCTGCAAGATGACATTCCACCGAATTCAGAGACGCGGGAACCCACTTGGGTCCGCTGATCAGAAACGCCATCCTTTAAAGCCGAAACACTAGAGCTTCTGTATGACTTCGGCAGAGCTCCATCTTGCATCAGAGCAGAGATAAGAAGAAAGGCAAATTGTTAGAATGGCATGGCGAAAAGAAACAAGAAAAGATGCATAAGGGTCGCTTCAGGCTGATGGGGGAGGAGGGGGGGCAACTCTCCCGCGCCGGAACAAGGGTCCACCTTGTCACCATCAGATCGCTTCCCGAGCCTGATGGGTTGAAAAGCAAGATTCCGTGTCCCGTTGAGGCGTTCAACAGGACGGGAGGCGAAGAGTAAAGTTGGGAGAAGCCCTGCACAGCTGCACTTTCGCGATGCACGTCTAGCATCGGCCTCCCGGGCTCTGGCCGTTTCCCCATTCGGGTATATGGGGCCCTGGTTTGAGTCTGGCAATTGCCGCTCCGCGCCGCATCTGACGGCATGCACGCGACTCCCATGTGACGTGCCAAAAAGGAACGGCCGGAGAAATCCCACGATGCGGGTTTGTGTAGTGCAGGTCGATCAATTCGGGAAGGTGATGGTGTAGTACTGTCACTGTCCGGTACTATTGAGCCACTGCAACGTCGCTTCTCCGCAACATCGATATTGGCCGCTTCTTGGGTTCTTGGGTTGTTCTTGGACCTCGACTCCTCGGCCTGAGAACCTCTCGATGGGTAACGTGAAGCCAGTGCACTAAAGGATGAATTGATCTCGGCGACGAGAATAGTAGTCTTGACAATGGGGTGCTATTGTCTTGCCCGGCGACTCGAGAGCGCTTCCACGCGACCTACCCTCTCGGCGCTAACACTTTCTTACACCCGCAGCCACGTCGTCAGTCGGTGGTGAGAGGAGCCAAGGAACCAGATATCATTCCAAATTCTAGTCCGCAGCTTGCTACTCCAGAGGCTAGACATATCGTTCCTCGTCGGCTGTCGGTGCGTACGCACTCGCCGACGAACAACCACGCGTGGGACGACAAACAATGCAATTGTGAGGGGCGGGCCATGTGCAAAGCAATAAGGCACACGAGGGGGTAGAGCAAGAAATTTGCTTGTCTGCCGCCTTCCCTTGGTATAGGATCATGGGACCCAGACCTCGTTCTGTCTCTTACGAAGTGGCTTCCACAGATGGTGCTCAGAGAAGAACGCAAAACACTGGCAGTGGGCCTATATATAACTATATGCTTAGTAAGAGCGAGAACCTTTGGGAGAAGTAAAGAGATGGCGATGTTGACGACTCGACGTAGCCGCTCCATGACATGAGAGTTTTTACAGCTGTCGATCCGATAACGCATCATCAAAGCCTCCAGAAGGCTCTACGTTTGTGGCCAAGGTATCATTCTTCATTTCCTCTGGTAGTGATCCTTCCAGCTTCCACAGCTCCCAAGACTGATGACGTCGCCCCGTCTTCCGTCACACCCTGGACCAATTCGAATGCTGAGCAGAGGGAGACACGCAACGGTGCGCTAGCCCAAGGAAGCTTGAACCTCGTGTGCTTCCCCTTCCACCGTCGGCGGGAATTGGCCCAAAAGCGTTGAGCCTAGGAGAGGGCACCAAAAGTCACAAACTGCATCAACAAATTATCAAAAGGCCTCGCTTCAAACCCCTTGCATGAAGCAAGTGTATGATCATCGGTCGAGGCCAAAGTCGAACGTCACGGTATCAAGACATGGCAATGTTACGTCGGGACCGAGCCTTTTCGTCTCCAATGCAATACGATGATTCACCCCAGAGATATATATCGCACCAGAATAAAGCTCAACCACCCCGAGCCCTAGGCAAGGTAGGCCGGCCGCTTCGTCTCAATATCCAATAATCTTTATATAAGGGAACCCAAAGAATGAACTCGTTCCGCGAAACCGTTGAATACCCCAATGCGTTGCCTTCCTTACGCCATCGCTGCAAACCTCCAACGAGCGTCCCCAAATGGTTGGGTTTACGAGATTACGATTCCATTCCTCCACAAAAAAAGCAGAGCGCTGGCAGCAAACATCCGCTCAGGGATTTTCCCGTCTTCCCCTTTTGAGTCACCATCCGATTTCTCTCCCTCCTGCACCTTTTCGTCGCTCCTTAAACGTCTTTACCGCGAATCTTGGAGTACAGCTCAGTATCAAAGAAGTTGTAGTTGGGATCTAGCTCGCAGAAGGGATGCTGCGATAGCAGCACGTCTGCCGTAGGCCGCTCGAGCGGGTTCCTATCAAAAGGTTAGCCGTGTATCTTGCAATCAACCGACACCAAACTTACACAGTGAAACAGTCCAGCATAAAGGCAATGGCCAATGGACTAATGGTTTCCCGAACCTCGTCAGGAATAGGCGGCGTCTCGCCGTTGGCGATCTTGTATATAGCGCCCACAGCTTCCTCCTTCGACCAGGGTCGCCGGCCAGCGAACATCTCCAGCACAACGCATCCCAAACTCCAGATGTCGACCTTGGCACTGTAGCCCTTACCCTCAGAGCGGATAACCTCGGGCGCCATCCAGAAGACGGAACCCTGCATCGAGTTTGACTTGTCGTTGCCGTAGATGTTGTCCGTCTTCTTCGAGATACCAAAATCCGAAATCTTGCAAGTGCCGTCGAGATCCAACAAGATGTTGTCGGCCTTCAAGTCACGATGCAAGATGCCTTCTCTGTGGAGATACGCCAGACCGGACAGCATTTGTCGCGTGAGTGATGACACGACCGACTCCTCGAATTTGCCGTGCTTCCGCAGGCAAGATCCGATACTGCCACCAGAAATGTACTCGAGGAAGATACTGATGGATGTTTCCTTGCGCTCACATCCGAGGTACTGCACAATATTGACATGGTCGAGATGCTGCATCGTCTCGATCTCCTGGTCGAGGGCCGCTACCAGTTCGCGCATCTTGGCCTTGTCTCCCTGCGCGGCCTTCGGGTTGACTTCGACCTCCTTGACGGCCAAAAACTCTCCGGTCGTGGCATTCATACCGAGGTAGACGCGGCCGTAGGTTCCCTTGCCGATGAGCTGACCCTTGAACCATCGGAAGGTTGTCTGGCGCTTGGGAATGGTGTCTTGGGGGATCTGAGGCATTACCATGCTGCCGCGCTGGTCCGGACGGATTTGTACAATATTGGCATTAAACATCTTTGTGCTCTTCCTCCTCATGAGTGCCGTTGTGTTCTGAGTAGCCTGACCGGGTTGCGTTGTCGTGGTAAACCGCTTGTTGGCCTCGTGGGCGCCGCGGGCAACCTCACGGATGGACTTCATACGGCCGAGACCGCCTGAGCGTCGAACGCTCCTTTGCGCAACCGACGCGACCGAAGCAGGACGCTCAAGTGCTTTAAGAGTAGACTCATCCGAACCCAGCGTATCGTTGTCGTTGTAGAACGACCGGTTCCCAGTGATAGCATTGCGGAGGCTTGGCGCTGGCTGAGCAGGCGGCGGGGGGCGTGCGGGCGCTTCCTTCTCCTCCCCTTCGGCGATGGGCGACGGGGGGTTGGCTTCCGCCTCGCCCTCTTCCAGCACCGGCTGGTCAAGATCCAAGTTCGGGAAGAAATCATCAAGGTTGTTGATAAGGGCATCGGTGGTCGGACGGTTGGCCCATACATCCTTCTCGACAAACGACTTTCTTCGGCTTAGCTTGCTATCCTCCGATTCCCAGCTCTCGGAGCCAGGGGTGTTCGGGGTTCTTCGCGAGCTCCTGCCGCTTCTGGCACTCATCACATCCTCCTCGCCTTCGGGTGTCCCGTTGGCATTGACACTGCCCAACGACTTGGGAGAATTAAAAGATACCGAAAGCTGCTTTTTGGATCTAGATGTGTTCACTGTCAGGTTAGGCCGCTTGTCGTTCGACTCATCAGGCGAATCGTCGCCGTCGAAGATGCGAGTAATTTTGGTGGGCTTGCGAGCCGATATAGGGATGGCAAACAAGCCATCATCCGAGTCGTCTCCCGAATCGTCATCCTGCTGAGGGGCAGGCCTCTCAAAGTTGACGTCCGACTCCAGAAAGTCAAAATCAGGCCCATGTGACTTACGCCGATGGGGCGGAGGCGGTGCACTCGGGGGAAATTGTGGTGGGCTCATGGTGCTGGGGCTTATCTCTCGTGAGGGCGCTCTTTGTACTGCTGGGTTTGTTTTAGCTGCCATTCCTTTATTAGATTGCCTTCTCGGTATCGGAGTTCCCTCAGGGGAATAGTCCGGCACGACAAAGGGCGTGTTCCTACGGCTCCAGGTGAGAGTGCCGGGTGAGCCAGACAACGCCGACTGGGGACTGTCCCTCCCCGGTAAAGACTTGACAAAGTCGACTGATGAAATAGCTCCCTTACCTCTGTCTGACTGCTCGCTACCCAGGACTGGTTGCGAGAATTCTTGGTTGGGCGACTTGGACCTACGGTTGGCCGTGACGCCAACCGCTCCGAGGCCTCTGCCCATCCCGACGAGTGCTGCGCCAATACCGGCGACGGGCTGGCTCGATGTCTTCTTCTTCCTGTCTCCGTTGTTCTGTCCGGGGAGCTTCATGTCCTCAAATAGGGTAGAGGGCCTTCGAGGCGCAGACAGCCCATCTGATGACCGCATTGAGTGGCCCGACTTCCTGCTCAGGGAGTTGGCTTTGAGCAGCGTCGCCGATGGGTCGCTCGGTGGCGCAGGGGGCTTCCGCACGGGGAACAGCACGTCTGGCTTCTTGTCTTCATACGGCGACTGGCGTGGCTGATCAAAGTCGACGGTCCTTCCATGGATGCCGTACGATGTAGTTGCGCTATCCGGCGTGTTGCCTGAGCCAGCCGCTCGCCGTCTCTTCTCCAGGTACTCGCGCTGCTTACGCTCCATCTCAGCACGGTACTCGCTTGCTTCTTGTGCAAGCATCTTGTCATCTATTCTTTCCCCAGTCAAGGTGTTCTGTCTCGACGTCGGTGGAGATGAACTAGACCTCGTCCGTGACACACCGTTCAGACGATTGTACGCTTCCTCGTCAAGGGATGTATGCGATTGTACGTTGTTGGGATTGGCAGGGCCCTGAGGCACAGCGCCAGCAGGACGAACGAAGAACTTGAGGGACCCTGTAGCATCCGCCCTGTGTTTGCGGTTGTTGAGTAGTTTCTGGTCGTCGAGGGGATTGTCATGGTTGGACTTGCCGAGCTCAGTGAGGTAAATCTGAGAACTTGCGGCGTCCGTCAAACCCAGGTTGCTGCAAATAATCTGGCGAAGGTCCGCCGCGGACTCGGCTTCGGTGATGTCGCACATGCGATAGTTGTATCCGTCCATGGTGGCCAACACGAAGACTCTGATCGGCCCGGGACGCCTCGACTTGGCTGCATCCTTCTCGTATACGTCAAAGCTGGAGCCAGGCCGAATATCCAGAGATGTCTCGCTGTTGTTTCCAAAGCGGGAGCCGAACGAATGAGCCTTGAAATTGAGTGCTGGAGAGGTCGGCGACTCCATATCGTCAGGGCTGGGGAATCCATCTTCCTTCTGCTTCTTCTTTCTCGACAAAAAGCTGAGAAAGCTCTTGGAGTCCTTGGCGGAGGAAGGAGGCTCAGTGCCAGCGGAGCGGTCTCCATTCGACTCCTGCGGCGAAGGACGGCCACCGTCCTGACCGAGCCGACGGGAATCGCCATTGCTGCGGGTCGCTTGGATGATGTCTGCAATGTTCATGCCGCTGCGTAGCATCTGACTAGCCTCAGGCGGCACACCTGACCCGTAGATGGCCGCACTCGACGACACGGAATCTGTACTGTTCCTCGACCTGTGCCCGAACTTGGTCGAGTGCGGGGAGGCCGACATTTGGCCGGCGGAGGAAGGAAACAGGGTTGCGCTCTGAGGGTTTGGACTGCCGTTGGGGCTGTCGGTTCGCAGCGGCGGCGGACGAAACGTGCCCTCGCCAGACTCGCTGGCATTCGGGCTGTGTCGACGGGTGCCGTCTACATCGAGTTGCTTCAACATGTTTCTGTGGTTAGAATCGGAGCTCATGGTGTTGTTCAAAGAGGGCATGGTCGTGGACCTGGTTTGCGAGAATCGCCGCCCGCCGAATCCAGGCCCCGGCGCCTTGATCGGCGTCTGCCGTCCATCAGCCTTCGCATGTTCACCCACACGGGTTATCATACTCACGTTGGGGGATTCTGCCATGTCCGACCCAGCGCTAGGCAAGTTATTGCCGTGGTTGACCGACTCTTTCCGTCCATGCGAAGATACTTTCGACGGGTCGGCCGGCCGGCCGGTCACGATACTTCTTATGAGACGTCGCATTCTCTTGCCTTCCTCCCGCTCCCGCGGCTGATCCCATCCCGTCCCGCTGTTTGTGCATTCGACGGCCAGCCTGGGGTACACCTGCTGGTGCATCATACCAAAGTTTCCTCGGCCGCCATGTGCACTGCCAAGCTCCAGGAAGTGCGCGCCATGCAGGTTGAGTCCCTTGAACGTTTCCTGCCAGTCCTTGGAGAACTGATTCGAGGCGAGCCACAGCAACACCTTCTCTAATGGCCATTGCGCCGCCAGGTCCGGATGGATACTGGAAGCGATCGTCGCAGTCGATGTGGTCGACAATCCGCGGCTGTGCATAGCCTGGGCATAAAGTCTATCCCTCCCAGAGATGTCGTCTTGCGGTGTAGTCATCATCGTGTCACCGCTGGCCTGGCTGTTCGTCGGCCACGAGCCCTGGGACGTTGCCGAAAATGTGCCCGAATCGTCGAAACCGCCCAGGCCCGGTATCCCTACTCCTTCGCCGTACGTGTCGCCTTGTGGTATGTACGTTGCAGACATCTGCCCATGATCGCTCGGTGGAGGCGGTGGCGGTATCGACAGTGTGGTGCCCGGCGCAACTTGTGCATGCAGCTTGGGGTTGTAGGCCTGGTGTTGGCCCGGCGGGGGAGGGGGCACGTTGAAGCCGCCACGGCCATCGTACATGCGTCCAAAGGCACCGTGCCACGGCGCCTGGCCGGCCATTGCACTTCCGGGCGGCGGCCCTGGAGGCGGGGGAAGCATCATGCCGCTCCCGCCCGTCGCACCGGGAGCAGAAGGGAACCTCGGGGGCGGAGGGGGTATAGACATCATGTTGTTCATCTGACCCTGAACGGGCGGCGACATGGGGGGCGGCGGCGGAGGGACCTGGAATGGCCTCGAGGGGTCTGCCGACGAGGCATGTCGTTGGGTGTTTTGATACATTGGCGGCGGTGGAGGAGGCGGGCCAGCTCTGGTAGCTGGCCTCACGGGTTCGTGCCCGAGGAGAGGAGTGGTCGGCACAGAGCTCGCAGTCGAGGCTCTCGGGCGAAGACCGCCGGCAGAGAGAAAGTTGGACGAGTTTCTCGGTCGAGGGTACGGCGATACGGCAGAGGTGCTGTTTACAGTTGGAGGCACGGGTCTGGCCGTTGTCGTCGTCGTCGTCGACGTCGTCGAGGTCTTGGTCGAGTTGTGGCTCGGCAAGTCGTTGACGTTGAAGACGAGGCCGTCGATGTTGTGAATCTCGTCTCTGGATCGTGGTATGGATGGGAATGGGCTCGAATTTCGGTCGTGGGTATCAGATCGGGTCGCAGAGCGCTGGCGCGAGCTGCTACTCATGGTATGCCAGGTATGGTTGGGATAGTATGGGTACGCGGCACATGGCAGGGGTGGTGTGGGCCTTTAGACCGTGGTCATGTCGTGGATGCGGTGCGTAGTGTAAAACGGTATGCCGGAAACTGGATCGTTGTTCGCCGTCAACTCGAGGAGAAAAGGTAGGTACTGTCTAAGACTGCTTTTTCCTGTCTTGTCTGCGCAATCCTGATCGTCGACAGGATCCGTCAGGCTGAAGGTGTGGAATGTGGAAAGAAGGAGACCGAGACTACCACCGCCAACTGAAGACTTTAGAGAGAATGAGAGGGACGCAGCGGCGGACAGTAGTAGCGCGCTTAGAAGGACCTGCTATTGATCCCTTTGGACTTTGCAGGAGGCTGGCGCAGACGAGACTGGCGGGACTGGCGTTGGCTTCGGCTCTGGCGTGGCGTGCGACGTGCGTTATCCCACGCAGGTCTGGCGGGGCGGATGTGCCGTGCAGATCTCCGAACCAATGAAGACAATGTGATGAGGAGGGGGGGGCAGAGGAATGGAATCTTGGTTGGGTGTGTCTCTGGTGCAATCGTACTGGATAAAGAGTTGGTGGTATTGATGATGGAAGTCGTCGACCCTTCGGTGACGGGCGGACGGCCTGGATAAGATTTGGACAATTGATGGCGATGCGGAACATAGGATGGGACGAGATGAGATGTCTCGCGTGCTGCGCTGCTTGCTGTCTTGGGCTGACTTGGCTGCCCCGAATGTTTGTTGTTCTACCGAGTACACACGCCCGTCCAGCTGGACGAAGCGCAGTGCAACCAGACGGAAACGAAACGTTGGACCATTGGCCATGAACCAACCGCCCTGTGCCCTTCAATTCCTTCCCTGAACGTACTTGCTTCTGTACCACTCCTTCAGCTCACCCAGCTCAGCATCAGTGTCTTTGATCTTTCAGTTGTGTCTGCAGTAATTCCCGAGCTTTTTCTAGGCAGGGGGGAAAAAAGAAGAAAAAAACCAATAGCAGGCACTCGCTCCCGAGCCCCCTCACAAATCTCCAAATTCACGACTCCGGTCTCATGCCATCGCCCGCACCGAAACGCCCAAGACACACACCCGCAAGAGACGGGCCCAGCCCCAGAATCACCGGCCGCTGTCCGACCCAACACAGGGCCTCCGATCGTTCATTTGGGCCTTACTGGGGTCCGACAGGCGCGTACCCACATCGGCCGCTCCTTGCCGCTCTTACACGAGCAACTCATTTAATACAAGTCGCAAAGAACGGATACCGACACTTTTGAAATGGTTCGAAATGGGTTTTCGCGAGATGAGACTGTTTGCAATTTTCAAAATTTTCTTCCGCTACTCCCAGCAAACGAACACATTGCCGGAAATCCTCATCTGTGCCCCGGGTTGAGGCAGTGATACGCCTCCTGGCTTGCAAGATCGACTCGCTGGGTTTCTGCCAGAGTGAAGTATCTCCTCTCGCGACTCTGAGTCGCATCACTCAATCTCAACTACAAACCAGGCCTCGATATCGTGCGGCTCAAGCCAAAAGTATGGTCGACGAGAAAACCAGTTCCGGTTGAGACAGTATTTCCCATACGTCGGGTTCGTTGGGGTTCGCATCCAGTAGCCTGCCTGATGCCTCTTCACCTTAAATGCAGCTCACACCACCTCCCACACACCACGGCGGTCCACGGACGGGGGATCCCATCCTGCAAAACTGCAAGCAGCCGCCCCCATCCCAGGGCCCCTCATTTGCCAGAATCCGCAAACGCCAGCTTGATCTCTCTCTTGCCGCTACCGGCCTAGCGTCCGAAGTCGTCGGGCCCTCGGCCGGGGTGGGGGGGACGGTGGTTAGTTGATCTCGGGCCCAACTGCTATTCCTTGTGAAATAAACGATTCCACTCTTTCGACGTCGGATATCGTGTCTCGACGAACCAGTTGGAAACCTGCTATTCCATGTTCAACAGTCTATATCAAACGATCAATATAGCTCCTATGCGACCCGTAAATTCCGTGGGAGAGGGACGGCGTGATCGACGTCATTCACCCACTGCTGAAACGAGACAGCCCACATAGCTGGGCATCAAACGGACGGCCATCTTGCATCTCGCATCTCGTAGTTCAAAGACACGTTCTCTCCAGCTTGAAATCCTCTCTGAGGTGAAGACCAAATCGCCATTGTGACCCGACGGAAGGGCATACATCTCTCTCCGACGTAAAGATGTAGGCAGCGTTTCTTCCGGCAATCCTTCACTCCCCTTCGTCGCTCACCCCGATTCACTCATTCTTGATCGCGACCAACATGCCGACGTCTACTTAGGACGTAGAGACGCGACACGTAACCCAACTGAGCCAGACTCCGACAGCCCGGCCGAACCCCACCTCTATCCCCCGGGGTCCATCGATACCTACTATGTACTCGGCAAGGCCTTCCTTCGGCAACGAACTTCCCAACCTGCATGAACCGCCCACCGCCCCCAATGCCGCGCCAAGAGTGCACGTCACGCGTGAGACGTCCCGGTGCGGCGCCGACAGAAAAACCCTAAATGCCTATCAATACCTCCCAAAGTACCTCGTTGCTATAGGATACAAGCTCAAGGGGCAAGCCTGCATGCAACCCCAGGCCAGTGGGAACACATCAGATGAAGAAAACGCCGTGGGTGCCTGCACTATGCGCTGCCAAAGTATCTCTTTCACCGTTCAAACCAACGTCGCGCAGCGCATGCAGGGTGGGATGAGTCGTCTGGTTGCGACGTAATATATGCTTTTTGTTTATTAAACCCGACAGAACCTTCCGGTGGTGCCCGACGGGGGGGACAGTAAATCTGGAAGAAACAAACAAAAGAGTGCCAAAAGCCTACTATATAAGGCGAATACCATGCTTGCCAAAAAACCGTCCCCACCTCTCATCCATAACATCGTGGGCTACGCGCCCCTAAACGCTTTCTAGACAGACTGTGGCCCTCGGGCATGAAGGAAGACAAGCTCACATGACGCTGCAGTTGGCGTAGTTCTTCTGGCACTGCTCCAAGTACCCCATATCCTCCTCGGACCCCTCAACGATATTATGCTGCCTCGCCAACCCCATAACCTTGAGCGTCTGGACTCCGTCGGCGTGCCACCACTTGAGCTTCTGCACCAGTGGGCCCTCCTCGTCGTCCATGCTGATGGCCCACTTGCCGGAGCTCACCTCGACCGTGCAGTTGTCCTGCGGGTAATGGAACTCGGGCAGGAACACCACGGTCGGCGCCGCTTCCGAGGGAGGCGCCGAAGCCTTGAGCTTGAGCGTGAAAGTGCAGCTGCGCAGATCGAAGCCGTACTGCAATACGTCGCCCGCCACAACCCACGGAGACGGCCGGACGAAGGCCTCGGCAGCGCGGAGGCCGGGGGCGTTGGTCAGCTCCGGGTCTTTGGACGGTGCCGACGTTATCGACGGGTTTGTGATGGTGTTCTGGAGGTTTTCCGGCGTGACGGTTGATTCGTCGGGAACGTCTCTGCTCATGGAGTTGCGCTTCAGGTCCGAAGACTGGTTGGGTGATGGGCTGCGGGGGAGGGGTGACATGGGTAACGTCTTGTCGTCCAGTGAGAAGACTGACAGATCCTCGCCGTTCCAAAGATCACCGTACTGGTGTGTGTTCTAGCAAAGACGTCAGTAAGCGTTTGCTTGCAAACATTAGACGACTCGCGTACCTTTGCAACGTAAACCCAGAGGCAATGGCCCTCCATACCCGAACCTTCAACCCCATAGTAGTTGGCGTCCAGGGCTGCTGACTGATCCGCGTAATCGCCCGTCTTATACGCCTTCTTCTCACCCATGTCATATGGGATACCAAACTCCGTCATTACGCAGGGATGGTTTCCCATGCGATCCAGACCTTCTTGCCTCAATGACGCCAACTGGTCTTTGAAGCAATTGCGGATGGCCGTCTCGCCGACCTTGACCGACAGAGCCTCGTGCCAGTATCGTCCACGCAGCACGCCGACAACATCCACGTTCCACACCCTATTCCAGCGCTTTGTCATCAACGTGATGCCGTCGTACCAATGAGGTGAGAACGCCATCAGTGGGTCATCATCCTCAGTGCCCTTAATCTGAGGCGGCAGCTCCAGTGTTGGGTACTGCATCAGCATGATGCAGTTCTTGTGGATCGGGCGGATAGCGTCTCTGTAGAGACGGTATGAGTGCATGAAATAAGTATTAGTAAACTCTGGGTGGTCAATCGTCTTTCCCGTGTGGGGGTTCTTAGAGAAGTAGTCCTTCTTGACCAGCGTATCGGTCTTGGGGTCCCAAATGCCGTGCTGGGCCCAGATACACTCTCCGAGCTTCCATCCCTCGTCACGCTTCCAGCCGTATCTCGAGTCGTCGTAGTCGGCGGGCAGCCAAGCCATCTCGCCATGAGGATCCACCAGTGAGCGGCCGACCTTGTACGGGCCCATACCGCCCATATCCCACGTGTCCACCTCGCACGCACGACCAGACCCAGTCAAGAGAGTCTGCCAGATGGTGGGACATGAGCCTTTCTTCAGGTTTTGCGCCTTCGGGATGACACTGATGTCCTGGTATCCAACCAACCCGCAGCCCGGCTCGTTCATGCTCTCCCAGCCAATGACAACCTCATTCTCGAGGTCGCCGGCCTCGTGTATGCGCTTTGCTAGATGGGCGCACGCCGCCACGAAGTGACCCTGTAGGAAATCTTGGATGTTGATGCCGTTGATGATACACTTGGGCGCAAAGTCCCTACCGGCAAAGTACATTGTGAAGATGGTAGCCGCTGCAAGGCGGAAGTAGTTGGTCGACCAGATCATCTTGGGGAACTCCTCGGGTTTCGGATACGTGTTATGCACAATGGCCGCCTCAGTCGCAGAGAAACTCTGGGGGTTGAGACCGCAAGCGTAGATCGTCCACATGGGCGCGCCAGAGCCGCCGCAGAACCTAGACCACTTCAATACTGTTAGGATGCGAAATGCGCGAGATGTACGTGAACGGCGAGACGTACCACGTCCTGATGGGGGTCCATAAAGATGTAGAAACCGTAGTCCTTGGCTATCCTCAGAATCTCAATCGTGTGCTGGATCCATTCCTCGTCGTAGCGCCCTGGGCCCGCGGCCTCGATAGCCTCCCACGTAAAGACATAGCGGATGGTGTTGTAGCCGTAACGCTTTATCCTCGAGAAGTGAACGTGAGCCTCCTCCTTGGGAAACGGGCGGTTGTGGAACTTGACATTGTCGCCATCGAAGAAGTCGTCGCCAATGTGGGAAGGCTGGTCGGGTTCGCTGGGGAGCTTGGCGTCGGCGGCGACGTTGAGGCCTCGAAGCACAACTTGCCTGCCGTAGCCGTCGCGGAACTGGCCGTCCTCGATGGTCAATCGTAACGAAGACATGGCGGAGCAGTTTTGATTCTGGCTTCTTCAGTCTTTCGTTTCTCCCACTGCCAAGACAGATGACGGTGTTCGGGAGCGTGAGTAGAGAGGGGGGAGGTTGTTCCAACTTCGAGATAGGAGACGCACAAGGAGACGACGACGGAGCGGCCGCGGCGGACGGGCTGCCAAAGGTCCGGGATTGAAACTGGGACGGGTTCGATGACGTCCTGAAGGGGGAGGGGCCTGATAAGTTGGATGCGCAATGACAGTGGGAAACAGTGGGCTGGTAGTGGTACCTTATCACGCCAGTGCAGCACTTTAGCGACCGCCAAGCGCTAATTCAACGGGGGCCTTTTGGTGAGTGCAAATGCTAAATGTCGGCTCGGCCAGTTGGAGGGCTGGTGGGAACAACGAGATAGATCAAACCGAAGAAAAGAAGGAAAGAAGGGGAAAGAAGAAAAACACGCCTAAATTCATATACCTACAGTCCTACGATTCGTACAAGATCTAGTAGCATCTCCTACCACCTAGATGGCCACCGCGCCGCCATTCATCTGAACGCCATGCATGGTTCGTCATGGCTGGCGAACGTGGACGTACTCTGTAGATGGACAATGGGCTTGAACGGGTCTGCGTGACTACACATGCCACCCTCCGCTCGTTTTCGTGCTTGATAGCGAACCAATCATTGCAGTCCGCGGGTGACCTAACCGGGCTGGGCGGGGCCCCGTGGCTTCGGCTCTCGCTTGAACTCCGGGTCGACGCCGCCAAATATCCGGGGATGCGACGGGTTGGGTGGGCCAGACCGGCCAATGGCTCCGTGATGATGGAACATTAGCACCGTGACACTTGCATGGACCGGTTGGGTAGTACGTTGGTGATGATACACTGCGCCACTGAAGCTTTGAGAATGGAATGCTTGGTTCGGCAGTTTCTCCTTAGTCTGAACATGACCCGATCTCATACCATAGGATCGACTAAAGACAAATACAATCCTCAACCCCGGATTTAAGCAGCAACATGCTGCTGCAAGTTACATCACGCTATGCATGTGTGCTATCTCGGTCCGACTCTGAGCTATCCCTCCGTCCTACCGCTTCCGCATCTCCCACACGGGCCCTTTCATCGCCTCCAGGTCCCCAGATCAAGTCGAGATACAAACTCGGCTTTTCCATCCTCCTTCCCAGGAAATACCGCTTGAAGAACCACGGTAGATACTGAAACACCTGATGCCGAATAAAGGCGCGCTTCGGCACTGCAAATACCAGATCAAGATCTTCGAGGCTCCGCCTTTTCGTCTCCTCCAGCAATAGAAACGCCAACACCAACGCGAGGATGTTGAGCCCCGCGAACAGGTACAAAGCCCCGCCGTCTCCCAGGCCCGAGTTGATCCGCGGGAAGAAGACGGAAAGTAACCCCGCGAAGCCCAGGTTGACCGCGATGGCGACCGCCGCGCCGGCCTCGCGGTGTGACAACGGGAAGCATTCCGACGCGTAGGTGAACGGGATCGGGCCCAGACCAGGCGAGTACGCCGCCGCGAACAACAAGATGAACAGAGTCACGACCGCGACCCGGGCATGATAGTCGGAGATGTTGAACGACACGCCTGCAAGGAGCATGAAGAGCGCCATCACCGGCAGCGTCAGCATGAGCCACTTGCGCCGGCCTAACGTGTCGATAGTCCTGATGGCGGGGAGGCCGAAGACAAAGTTGACCGCGCCATATCCCAGGCTGAAAACCATCGAGGTCCGCTTCTCCACGCCGGCCCGGTTGAAGAGCGTGCCTGAGTAAAACGCCAGAACGTTGATGCCGCAGAGCTGCTGCGCGAGGGCCACCGTCGAGCTGCTGATCAGGGCGTTTCGAAGCCGTCTCTTGGAGAACAAATCCCTCCATTGACGGAGGAATCCTGCGACGGTCGAGATGAAGCCTTGTGCCGGCTGTGAGTTCGCATCGCCGCTAAGTAGCTCCTCCTGCTCAAGGGATTTATGGACCAGGTAAATGTCTCGTAGTGCTTGCAGCTCGGTGTTCCTTAGCTTCTTCAGGATCTGGTACGCCCGTTGTGGGTCGTGACTTGGGCTTGATACGCGCATCAAATATCGCGGGCTCTCATCGCAAAACCAGATGACGAACACTAGCAGCGCCAGCGCAGGTACCATGGGGGCTGCCACCATCAACTGAAAGGTCAGCCTCTTGTTTGAGTCCGGCGTCGTATCGAAGATCAGGTTGAAAGCGAAGCCAATCATCATTCCTGCAGCCACCCACAGTTGCCACGCGAGGATGGATGTACCACGCCAGAAACCGACTGCAGTCTCACTGGCGAGAATAGGAGTGCTGACGGCCTTGAGACCCATCCCTGTGCCTTCGTCAGTCTGTTTCTTCTAAGGGAATTGGCACCGCGCCTACCAACTCCGTTTATCAGACGGATGCCAAACAGTTGTTGCCAATTCGTGGCAAAAGCCGAGGCAAGGGAGCTCACGAGAATCAAGAAAGCCGCAACCACCATGCCTCCTTTGCGACCCAAGTAGTGGTTCACGGGAAGTGCTAGGGGACAGCCCAGCACCGCGGCGAATATGAATGGTGATGCGTTCGCGGCCCCGAGCTTCCAGTCATCGGCTCCTAGCTCAGCGTGGCTTCCAGTTGCGGTAGCGCTTTGCTTCTCGGCGGTAGTGTCGAGACCAAATTCGGTGTCGTATAACGACGAACCATTGAAGGAGGCTTGGACGTGACCTGATGCTTGGTTAGCGCTTGGTCGTCAAGACAGACAAGAGGATGCGGGTACCTTGCAGAAACGCCGCAAGGGATACTGTGATGATGATGGTCCACATCCCCTTTTCACTGAATGGAACATCACGTTCTCGTACAAGTGCACGTTTCTCCTCGTTCGTCAGTTGGACTGGAAGCTCTCTGCCGGCACTCTCACTGGAGTTTCTGGCAACTTCATCGTATAACCTAATATCCTTGGCCACGCGTGCGGCTCGGAGAAGAGCTGCCGTGTCGACGTTCAGACTTGCCTTGGCGAACGACGTGACGTCTGCTTCCAACTGCTCATCCGTGTAATCAGCTAGAGCTTGTAATTAGCAAGAAAAAAAAACCAAACAAAAAAAAACCAACTAAACCCCAAGAACTATCAAAGCATTTCTGTTTGGATTGCAGATGTGAGCCGTGTAGACGTACCAAGAGGATTCTCAATTACTGCTCGGTCATTTATCTGTCGACGGCGGGCTTGTTTGGCCAGTCGCTCATGACCCGAGTGCTCATGGCCAGAATTCGACTCAACCTTCCCAAAAGTGTCCATTTGATACATGTAGGAGTTGAAATGGATGAGCCGGGAGGGAGTAAATATTGATGAGCACAGCTCAATATCAAAGTGCCATGGAAAGCGTCAACGTAAGGCTGGGATCGGTTGCAAGCCAGGCCCATCCCGGGGATTAGTTCAACGTTTGCCGGGTGGTTCATCCATTTAAGGCGCGCCATTTGACAATAAGTGCGAGACGGCACGAACCATCGGTCTGGAGCTGAGACTCTTGGATCCAGTAGGATCGAGTATTCCGTCCCGCATCTTGCGAGAGCGGGTCTTGCTTGCTGCCCACGCTTCTCTCAGCTGACGGTGCACAATCGGGTGGCAGCAATGCACAAGACCGTCATCTGAATCCTTTCGGTGACTGATCGACGGTACGTTACAGGGTGACTCGTATATTCCCCATTGGGATTGGGGTGGGCTCCTGGGTATCCTCACATAGGGCTGGGGTGGCGGAGCTGGTCCTTGGACCTCCCTTTCGTACTTTGAGGCAGGCGAAAATGGGTTTCGTGTCCTTGCCTCTCAATCATGCCCCAGTGGCGCTGCTCTTGATGAGCTGAAAGCCTTGGGCCGTCAAGCCATCTGGCATGGCTTTCCCAAAATAAAGATCGGTGAATAAAACTACTCAAGTCGAGGAAGAAGTGCCAGATGACAGCCTCGTCTCGGGCACAAACGTCAACCTCCTCAAGCTTCATTTCCTCATGATCCCAGTCCCGGTGTGAAAGCCCGGTGTGAAAGAAAAGAAAAAGGAGCTGCACTATTTCAGGCAGCACTTACGGTGTGGCTTTGCAGAAGCCAATGACTGCCTTCACCGAGAGCGTTTGCGGTTTTCTAGGATTGCCAACTTGCAGATCTCAACCAGGGAGTTGTCGTAGAGGTAACAGACAGTTCGTACTACGGTGGTTGATTTGCTGGTTTCTAGCTGCGCCACACGACTGCAGCTCAAAACCAAATTCGCCCTTGGTAATTGGGTCAAGCCTACTACGAACACCCCCATGCTAACCCCAGACGAACGAAATACCCCGCGGGGAGCAGTGGATCAGCTCGGCTGGTAATTGTGGCAGAAACAAGCTTGAATATTGGGTCGCGCCCGGTGCTTCATCGTGAAAAGCCACCCACATATCAACAGGCCTATTTGTACTCGAGGAACCGCAGCACAACGCCAGCTGAGGGACATGGTCACACATGCCGCATTAGCTGCATTTCTCGTGCCCGGAATGATAGTCCAGCTATGTGGCCATGCCCCCCTCCCCCCAAGAATTCAAGGCAGAAACCTGTGTCTCGGCGCGCGAGATTGACATTGGTTACTATCTGTCGATCGCGGGGTTTGCAGGAGGTTTACCTCATCACTGGTTAAGGAGGGGAGGACCTGGGATAAAGGTCTTGGGTCGCTGTTGTTGGCCACTGTTGAAGTGTCCCTCAGGTGTAAGTGTTCCTTCACACGGCGAGTCTATCCATCGCACCCAGAATATGTGCCCATTCGATTACCACGAGATCAACGGACAAGGCTGTGGGTCAGGCGACTGAACAACCAGAAACTGGACCTTGAATAGGAAACGCTGCTACGGCCGACAAGATGGACCCTCTCTCGATCGCCGCGTTTACACTTCAGATGGTCGGTATAGCTGGCAAGATCATTGAAGGCACCGGAAAGTTCGTACAAGAGAGCAGAGTCGTTCATTCGAGTATTTCCGACTTTCTCGAAACAATTAGCAACCTACACGCTGCTTTGCGTAATGTGGCTCGCATCCTACATCAGCACCCGCATCAACTTTCCTTTGAAAGGGAGCATCATCAAGACATTTATCGGATTCTCCAATCATGCAGAGGCTCGCTTGACAGGTTATACGCAGGTTTGCCTGAGCTGGCGAAGAATCCGGGACCGATTGACAAAGCTCGGGCAAGCTTTGCTATGACCTTAAAGTCGAACGTAATTCGGGATTCCGTTTCCCATATAACATCTTACACTCAAGTTCTTCAACTCAGTCTAATAACTCTGTCACTGTGAGTCGTGCTTTACGTGCAATCCTTTGGATGGTTCAAATACTGACATTGGCCAGGGGCTCGTTATGGACCCAACAAAAGTCACAGGATCAGGTGCACATTGAAATCAGGAAGCTCACCGACGCTATTCGGTCTGCAAATCTTATACCGCGAGCTAGCACAAGTCAGAGACTTTCGTCAACTGAGTGGGACGACGATACCGAAACCAGAGTTGATGATTCTGTGTCGGTGACGAAGGAGATTCAGGCATGGCGAATGTCGGCCGACGAAGTCGCCGCTGCGGTCACCCTGCAAGATGCAGACCAAAGCAAATCGTTTCTCTCATTCGGCTCTTCTTTCTCCAAGCTATCTCTCAACTATGACCTTGGAACGCAACAGGTGCCACCTGACAACATTAACTCGGATGACTGGGACCCCGAACCCGATCATCCAGATGGACCAAGCAAAGACATCTTGAACCACCAGTACGAAGCAAATCAGGAAATAGTCGAGCGCCTGGTGAACTGCGGCATCTTCCTTCGAGCGTCACTTTACCAGAAGCGAGGGATTGAAATCCGAGAACAGCTGAGCCAACCTGGCTACAACCTCGGATTTAGTTTCGCAGAGCAAGCTGCTATGAAAGAGAGACTTGCTGGTATTCTTTTGAGAAGCGAGACAGACGAGGAAACTGTTGAAGCGAAAATCATACTACAAAAGCTCTTAGAAGAAGAAGTCAAACAACCCGAGGAGTTCAGAGATGTTGAGCGCCGTAGCCGCTTGTATCACGACCTTGGATGCCTCTACATCAAGCTTGGAAACCTGAAGCAGGCCAAGACATTTCTCAGTCGAGCTCTTGAAGGGCGAAAAACCCAGGAACCTATGCCAGTCCACTTGGTACAAGAAACGGCCGACTTTTACATCAAAGCCCTACAACTTGACGGAGCTTTTGATGAAGCACGTGGGGTCGAAGTTTGGGTCAACACTGTAATCATGCCCATGACTAGTCGACCAGCATCACCACCAGACTCGGATTCAACGCGGGGCCCCAGAAGACTATCGTCTATGGGTGAGCTATCTCAAGCCTTTGCTTGGTGCCGAGAGAACGGCTTCGACATCGACACGCCAAGCGGGTTTCGATTCGATACTTGCGACTTTATGACGCGGACATCGCCACTCCACAAAGCGATCCAGGATGAGAATGTCGAGGTCCTAAGGCAGATGGTGGGGCATGTTGCCAGCCTTGAGACTGGCGGCGATCTCGGTGTCCCGACACCATTGCTACTTGCGGCATCAACCAAGAATCGTGATAGTGTTGGTTTGCTCTTACGAAAGCATGCCCGTGCCGATGTTCGTGATAGTGCAGGGCTTAGTCCACTCCACCGATGTCAAAGCAAGTCCGGTGGTGTTAATGTGGCCAAGCTCCTGCTCGAAGATACCCCTATTCTGTTGGACATCATCGACAACTCGGGCAAAACAGCGCTGTTCATGGCTTGCGAGATGGGAAACGAGAAGATGGTTCGGTTCCTCCTAGACCAAGGAGCCGATCCCAACATTTGCCATCAGACAAGGAGAGGCCCAGCATTGTCTCCCAATTTGAGTAGCACCAACGTGTGTACTCCATTGATTGCCGCGATCCAAGTGGTAGCAACAAGAAGCGCGCGCAAGATCGGAATGATTAAAGACTTGTTATCACATGGAGCCGACCCCCGCCTCACTGATGCCAATGGTAGAAATGCTTTCCAAGCAGCTAACAACTCGGGGTTGGCTGGGTCGGAGATCAAGCGGCTCCTCCAAGAGCATGGGTCGACACCATCTCGGAAGTCCAGTGATGCATCTTCTTCGACGACAATACTTACCAGGTCCTCGAACTCGAGTGATCAAATTCAGCATGCATCTAGCCGGAGGAATAATCTCATAAGATTTTGGAGCAAGTCCGAGTCGACCCATTCAGGAGTCGAGTCAGTTCCAGAGAGGGAGTAAGCGAGTAAGGTAGCAGTTCGCGGTAATGTCTGCTTTTGGATACCCTTGATAGCAATAGTTAGCTTTTGCAATGTTCTAAATTCTAAACAAAAGACGAACACGAATTCATGTCCGGTGAAGTTGAGCAATGTCGAAGGGCAAGTAGTTCTTCCGGACGTGATGGGTGGAGCAGGTACCTTACTGAGCTGAACCCTCCTTATCTTATCGCGATGCTGGGTTAGCTGCAATGCTCGAAGCGGGGCATGATGTAACAAGGGAGGTTCTGGTGGGGCACTGCCCTCTGTAGCGCTCACCACAGACAGCTCACGCCTCATTGAGCTCATTCTCACCTCCCAGACATAAGGCTACCACACAGCAAAGGAGCCGACCAAAATCTCACATCGCCCAACTCCAACATCAAACACCTGAATTCTATTGTGGGCAACTCATTACAACGCTTGTCTTCGTTAAGATTTTTGTTTCCTTCCCACTTCAGCGGACATTCTTTACCCTTCCATACAACGGTGATGCCCCACCATTCGAAGAAGACCTCACTTTCATGATTCACGATCCTAGTCACTCGACAAAATGTCAGGTGCCAAGGCTGCCCTCAAGGCTATTGGTGACTCTGTGAAGCAACAGAAATGGGACGATGCCATTCAGAAGGCAACTGAGTTCCTCGAGAAAGAGCCAAAGAACTACCAGGCGTATGAAAACACCATTTTTCTCTTTGTCCTCCAGACGAGGCTGCTGACACATCTCACAGAACAATCTTCCTAGCCTTTGCGCTTGACAAGAAGAACCGCGTCGATGACTCCGAGAAAGCTTACAAGTCGGCTTCATCGCTGCGGCCGAACGATAGCCAGGCATGGCAAGGCCTCATAAAGCTCTACGAGAAGCAGGACCGCAAACGCCTGAGCGCATATCAGCAAGCTGCCATCAGCTTGGCCGAGATCTACCGCGATGCCGACGACATGTACAAGTGCCAGGATGTTATTGATAAGTTTATCGACTTCGCGAGATCTCAAGGGGATACCTCGCAGTATGTCGAAGCTCTTAGCGTCATCCTTCCGGGGAGCCCCATCTATCCTGCCCTGGAGGGCCGGGTTCCGCACCCAGCCAAGACTTACGAAACGATGGCACAGATCATTGAAGCCGACGAGAAGAAGCGTATCAACACCCTCATCGGCGAGCGCCGGACGAGAATCGGCGCGCGCTTGAACGATGTTACACTTGAGGTCAAGCGCGAAGTCATGGGCCAGAGCAAGCTCGAGTTCGTTTACCAGCAGCTGATCAACTGGACGAACGATGACGAACTTCGGCGAAAGTATGAAGAGAAGCTCCTTCAATATTGCTACGATCGTCTTCTGGTATCACCCACCGGTCCAGAGAAGGGTGCGGCTCTCCAAGCTGTTTTGAAATTGGCCCTCGACATGGTCATCATCAAGCACCCGTTCAGACTAGCCTGGGAAATTGCCATTGACTGGAAGGATGCAAAGGAAATTAAGGAATGGGACGTCAACATGTTGAGAGACTACTGCACGTTCTTCCCTGAGACCGACCTCTACAAAGTCATCACCGGCTTCTTGACGAGCAGCATCTCGCCTTTCCCCAAGCCGACACCAGCGGCCCTGGAAGCGGAAGAAACTGAAGACGAGAGTGAGGATGACGAGGGTGGTGGTGTTTCCATGGTGCCGCTGACGGAACAGGATAGAATCCTGATGATGACAGAGGGTATCACTACGTCCAACTCGCTCTTCGCTCACCGCTTGATGGGAGAGTACTACCAGCATCTGGAGGAATATGAGATCACCGTGGAGTTGATGCGCAAGTCGATGGAGCATCTCAAGACGGAAAGGATAAAGACTGGAATGACCTTCCAGAACACCCACGACGCTTACTCCTTGTACCTGGCCACGGCTCTGGTCTTCTACCAGTCTCCTCGACACCACGCAGAGGCGAAAACCCTGTTCGAGGGAGTCCTCAGTCACGACCCGTCATCAACTGCAGCACTGATTGGCGTTGGTCTTATTTATGAAGAGGAAGAGGATTATGACGACGCTATCGATTTCTTCGAGCGTGCCTTGAAGAGAGACCCCTTCAACCTGCGGGTTAAGACTGAAGCTGCATGGGTCCAAGCTCTGAAGGGGGATTACGAGACGGCCAAGACGCAGTTGGAAGACTGTCTGCCTCTTATTGAGAAGGTGTCGCCGCCTGCCAAGGAGCTCCTCGCGCAAACACAGTACCGGTTGGGATCCTGCGTCTGGAGCCTCGACACATCAAAGGCAGCCCGCAAGAGCCGTACGGGTGCTTACATGTACTTCTTGGACGCGCTGAAAAACAACCTCAACTTCGCGCCAGCCTACACCAGCCTCGGTGTCTACTACGCTGACTACGCCAAAGATAAGAAGAGAGCCCGGCGCTGCTTTCAGAAGGCTGTCGAGCTTTCATCCTCCGAGGTTGAAGCCGCCAAGCGTCTTGCGCAATCATTTGCGGATGAAGGCGACTGGGATCGAGTCGAGCTCGTGGCCCAACGTGTGGTTGACTCGGGCAAGGTCAGGCCGCCTCCGGGCTCAAAGAGAAAGGGCATCAGCTGGCCTTTTGCTGCGCTTGGTGTTGCGGAATTGAACAAGCAGGATTTCCACAAGTCCATTGTCTCTTTCCAGTCAGCTTTGAGGATTCACCCAGAGGATTACCACTCCTGGGTTGGCTTGGGTGAGAGCTATTATTCCTCAGGCCGATTCATTGCAGCCACCAAAGCCATTCTCAACGCACAAAAACTTGAGGAGACCATACCTGCCGAGACGCTTGGCGACACATGGTTCACCAAGTACATGCTTGCTAATGTTAAGCGTGAACTGGCTGAATTCGATGAAGCCATCGCCCTCTACCAGGATGTTATTGATGGTCGTCCCAACGAGGATGGAGTTGCTATTGCTTTAATGCAAACCATGGTCGACAATGCACTGGATTGTGTCGAAAAGGGCCTTTTTGGTAAGGCAGTGCACCTCGCCATTGACACCATCGACTTTGCCTCAAAGGCAGCCGCCACTGTCATCGAAACCTTCAACTTCTGGAAGTCTCTCGCCGACGCTTGCTCCGTTTTCTCCGCCGTTCAGAACCGGGCGGTTGATTTCCCGGCAGAGTTGATCATGACTCTCATCGATGGTGGCGACAAGGAGGCATACACCCTCTTTGCTGATGTCGACAACGTCGGCACTGGGGTCATTGCTGCAAAGGGACTATTCTCCGAAGATGAGAGGCTTGGTGTTGACTTGACAAGATGTATCCATGCAACAATCCTCTGCCACAAGCGCGCTATCCATGTCTCGGCAAACGACCTTCATGCCCAGGCAGTTGCCTACTACAACTTGGGCTGGGCTGAGCACCGAGCCCACATTTGCTTACCTTCGAGCATCAGGAAGAAGTCGAGCGTGTACTTGAAAACTGCCATGAAGTGTTTCAAGAGAGCCATCGAGCTTGAAGCTGGAAACTCTGACTTCTGGAACTCTTTGGGTGTTGTGACGAGCGAGGTCAGTCCCGCCGTGTCGCAGCACTCATTCGTTCGAAGCCTACACTTGAACGAAAGAAGCCCAGCAGCCTGGACCAACCTCGGAACCTTGGCTCTTCTGCAGAATGACATGCAACTCGCCAACGAGGCCTTCAACCGGGCGCAGTCTACGGATCCCGACTATGCACATGCCTGGCTTGGCCAAGGCTTCGTGGCTCTCCTCTACGGGAAGACAAAGGAAGCAAGGGGCTTGTTCACCCATGCCATGGAGATCGCCGAGGCTTCATCTGTCCTCACCAGACGCCAGTATTCGGTGGCTGTATTTGACCATATCCTGACGACTACATCCATCAACATTGCGTCTCTTATCCAGCCGATCTTCGCTCTTGGCCAGCTCAACAACTTGAAGCCCCAAGACTTGGCATACGGACATCTTGCGACCCAGTTCCTCGAGCGAACGCAAGATACCGCCAAGGCGGTCCAAATTCTGGAGAAAATCTGCCGCATATTGGAAGCCGAATATGAAGTAACGGAATCGCCGCAGGCACTGGCCCAGTTTGCGCTGGCCAAGACTGACCTGGCAAGGTCCTACCTGGCTTCCGGTGCTTACGAGCAGGCCATCGAGTGCGGCGAGATGGCAATTCAGCTGAGCAACGACGAGTCCGACAACGAACTGACCAAGGAACAACGCAAGAAGGCGCGTCTTTCCGCCCATTTGACGGTCGGATTGGCGCAATACTACAGTGAAGATGTCAACGAGGCGCTTCTTTGCTTCGAGTCGGCACTCGAGGAATCCGACAACAACCCCGACGCTGTCTGCCTCCTTGCACAGGTTCTGTGGGCGACGGGCGCAGATGAGTCTCGTGAGAAGGCTCGTGGAGCTCTCTTTGAAGTGATTGAGAAGCAGCCCGATCACGTCCAGTCCGTTCTTCTGCTTGGAGTCATCGCCGTCCTCGACAACGACGAAGAGTCTGTCGAGGCGGTTGTGGCCGAGCTTCAAGGCCTCCGGACCAGCCACAAGGCTGGGGATATTGAACAGTCTCACATCGGAGAGGTGCTGGGGGCCATCGCCCAGCTCGGGGAGACGAGCACGGATGAGGATGTCATGACCCAGATTCAGACAGACATCATGCTGTGCCCTCACTTGCCTCACGGCTGGTCGAACCTGGCGGAGTTTGGCGGAGAGCAGCATGCTGCTGAGATGGCGTTGACGGTGGCGAAGAAGGGAGCGCCGCCTAGAGGAGCGCTTGAGGCAGAGGACCTGGCCAAGGCATATGCGGGTACGGGAGTCGCTGCGGATGCCCAGACGGCCATCTTCTTATCGCCCTGGAAGACTGATGGATGGAACTCGCTGCGGGAGGCTGTTTATGGCAACTAAACCCCGGCGGCCATTGGGGTTTCTGGATCTGCGCCAAGTGTATAGACACCTGTAAACGCATCTCAGAGCGATACCAGACGAGGAAAGCTTTGATCTCTCATCAGGAGAGCTACTTGTAGTTGTTCACAAGACATAAATCCTAGACAAAGGCCAAAAGAAAAAGCTCATACTACTTCATCGTCAACAGACTAAGGGTATCAATGCCAAACTCCGAGTGATGCTATGCTGTTTGCCTCTCTTTTCAGGCTTGTTCTCTTTCACCTTCCACAGCCTCCTTCAACCTCGCCATTCTCCCCTCAGCCCAGGCTCTCTGCCACGCGTCAACCTTCCCGCCAAGCAACACGCACTTATCCGGCTCAAGCAGCACCGTGCCCCTCGCGATGACGGTACCCTTTTTGAGCATGACCTTCTCACCAATATTGGTGCTCCCAATGCCGATCCTTTCGATGCGTCGGAGCTCCATCGCATACACCTTCTGCCCTTTGAAATCTTGCAACACGAGCCTATGCGTCGCGTTTCGTCGCTGCTGCTGCTGCTGCTGTTGTACTTGTTGCGTAGCTCTTACCCCGCCACCAGCAGCACTGGCCCCAGAGCCCGCGTCGAGATTATCATACTCAGGATCCTCGGCTGCAGCTAGCCTCACAACCCTCCTGCCCGTCGTCTGCTCACCCCTTGCCACGGCCTCGAGCTCCTCGACCTGCTCCCAGCGCGACAGGCTCAGGTTCTCGACGTCGAGGACCTGGCACGGGACGTCTTGTTGCAAGACCGCCTCGGGCGTCCCGGGGTTGATCTGGGGGAGCGCAGAGGTGGAGGAGGGTTCGAGAAGACCCGCCGTCGTAAGATCCGAGGCGAGGAGTCGCGCTTTCGCGGTCGCAATGAGAGAAGGAAGGGGAGGGGTAGGGACGCGTGAGGTCAGGGTCGTTGTCCAGGGGACGGAGGGTGTCGGGAAGGATTGAGATTGTAGAGCGGAGCGGATTTGGCCTGTGAAATCCATCATGCGAGGACTCTAGGGAGTCATCAACATTGTAAAAGTGGTGGTTTGTGAGTGGGAAAAGTGCGAGATGGGTTGAAGGTGGGAATAGCTTCAGTGGGGTACCTAAACCTACCCCAAATTCTTGGAATCTTGGGAGCATCGACCCCACTGTAGATCTCCAAAATTAGCATGTGTCACTTAGCGCAGCCTTGCTGTGCAGCTGGAGTTCAGGGGATGCCCCCACAGGAGCTTTTCTTAGCCTATCGCCTGCATCCCCGTCTTCCATCGACGCCAGCCTCGTTTCCTTCGATCTGTCACTATCACGAGCTTTCAGAATCCATTCGACTCGCTTTGACGCAGCCCTCAATTGGCTCTGGGGCATACCGAATTCGATAAACAAGGGATTGAACTCTAAAAGATAGGGGCATTCCCACACGCCAAAATGTCTACGATCGCTTCCCCCCGCGAAGCGCCCACCCTCACCCGCCGCGTTTCGGCACAACCGCATACCCCGACGTCCTCGACCAGACCCTCCCTCGATGTCCCGCGCTCCCTCAATAGCTCACCGAACCCAGGTTCAGCCGCGACATTTGGAAATGGCACCGGAGGACCGCCAGCCGCAGGACCCTCGAAGCGCGCGAATCGGGCCGCCCTCCGCGAATACTACAACCTCAAAAGGGCCGCCGGTGGTGCGCCTTCGCTCGAGGTGACTGAGGAGTCACCCGACCGCAGCGGCATCGCAGAATACTCAGAGGTCCCGCCTAGCGAGCTGGACAGCCCATCCTTCGACGCCGATGCGTACGTGCGGAAAGCGCTGGCGGAGAACACGCTCGACGATTTGCTGCGGGTGTACACGCGAGTGCTGGGGGAGATTCGAGCGCTGGACGCGGAGAAGAAGGCATTGGTGTACGACAACTACTCGAAGCTTATCTCGGCGACGGAGACAATTCGCAAGGTGAGCATTTATTTCACACGAATTTTACTGAACAAGGCGGGTTGCTAAGACTGGGGCCGAAAGATGCGTGCCAACATGGACCCCCTAAACCCGATGGCCTCGACGCTTGACCCGGCGATCGCGGGCATCTACGCCCAGGCGAGCTCGATCCGTGATTCTCTGCGCAAGACCGTCGCGGCCCCCGAGTCCAAGGAGCGGGAGGATCAGGTGGCGGCCGCGAGGCGACGGAGGACGAGGCAGCTCGCCAAGGAGGTACTGGGCACGCCGGAAAAGCTGAGAGCGCTGGTGAGGGAGGGGAAGGCGGAGGAGGCGAAGAGGGAGTGGGAGATGCCGCGGCGGCTGCTGGAGGTTTGGAAGGAGAAGGGGGTCGGCGGGAAAGACGTGGTGGAGTGTCTCGAGGAGGGGGATGCGGCGCTCCGAGCGGGCACAGGGGAAAGCAGCGTACGGACATCCAAGGATAGTGTCAGCTCATAAGGACTTGTTTGATGATTTTGATATAGGGATTGAGGCATAGCGAGGGAGTTTCTGGCGTTGGGGGTCTGACCATTGACGGATCCAAACAAGTAACATTCCTATCGAACCGGAACTAAAGATTAGAAAATCCAATCCAATATAGAATACGACAGTGGCAATTTCACCGGTCACTTTGAATCAGTATCACGAGGCTCACGAGCGAGCACGGCTTGCAAACCATGCAGGAGGTCCAGCCAAGCCTGCGTTGTGTCCCTGACTTCGAAGAGTACGCTGAAGGACCAGAGAATGGTCATTCGACCGATCGATTCAAGGTTTTTTCTTTAATTCGTTTAGAGGTGGCTGGCCCGGGCGTGTCTTTGGCCGCATGTAAGCCATTTTCTCTCCTCTTTTTTTTATATATTTTTATAGAGGCATCTCATGGTCAGTATGCAAGCCAACAAACTTACAACTCGGAGATGTCCACGATGTTGAACGGATCCCGGTCGGCCTCACTGACGAGGACCTGAACACCGGCCTCCTTGCCCTTCAGCTCGCTCTCTAACAGCGGCTTCATCACCTCTGTCAGGTAACCCCTCTCCGAATTGCTGTGGAACACCGTGATAACCGTCTTGCCTTCCTGCACGGCCTTGAGGGCGTTGTGGTGGGTCATCTCGCCCGTCACGACCACGTCAGCCGCAGCGCTCTTGACGACGTCCCACCCACTGCCCGCGCAAACGGCCACGGCGTCGACGCGTGCCGTCGAGAGGCGGCCCGGGTCCGGAGAGGCGACCATGACGCGGCGCATGCCGACGCGCGAGGCGACACGGCGGATGATTTCGGCCAGGGATTCGGGCTGGTGGAAGGTGCAGAGGAGGCCGTAGCCCGAGCCCTCGAAGCCCGCGGGAGCCGGACCGGAGAGCGGGTTGATGACGGTGCGGGTAGAGGGGGCGGCCGTGGAGGATGAGGAAGCGGGGCCGCCGGAGACAATGTCACCGAGCCAGGTGTTCAGGCCGTTGGGGGCGGCGTCGATGGCGGTGTGGGGGCAGTAGACTGCGATGCCGTTGGCGGCGAGAAGGAGCAGGGTTGCTTGTTGCGGGTCCTTTGTTGTGATGGACTTCAGGCCGGAGAAGATGAAAGGGTCTGGAGAGTGTGTTCAATAGGGGTGGTGGGGTCTGAGATGATTCGGGACTCACGGTAGCTCACAATGACGCTGGCGTTCTTCTGTATGGCCTCCTCGGCGACGGCGTAGGTGAGGTCGTTGGTGAGAAGCACGACTGGGTTCTTGGGCTTCCGGGTCTCCGGGACTTCGATGTTGTCCAGAAGAAGGCCCACGTTGTCCCATCTTCTGTCAGCAAGCTCTTCGGGGTAGCTGGGTGAGGCGGTCAGTACGGGTTTGTTCATGAGACGGGGTGAGGTTATAAGGCTTACTGCTTGCGCATGGCATCCACCACCAGCGCGGTGAAGCTGGGGGAGGAGTACTTGTTGCTGGCAGCCATTGTCAGAGTTGTAAGCCGAGGTCGGTCAAGGTGCGAAGCCGTCGTGGAATTAGCTCTAAGGGTTGATTGTCTTGTTGGGTGGTAAATCGGCTGGGGTCGAGGTGTGAGTGCAGCTCCGCAAGCTCGTCGACTTATATGCGCTGATGCCCTTGCGAGCTTGGTACTCATGGAATGGACAGAGGTGCTAAAGCCAGTGAGCATTACGCCTCATGAATCTCATGAACAGAATCCTCGAGACACACTCTTTCCAATTGACTTCAATTCGACTCGAAAGATTCGGGTTTGATGATTGAAAGCTTGGTCGTTTGCGGTAAGGTGTAGAAAGTCAGCTCAACGTTGCTTGAAATATCTAATAAGTGCATATTGAGATTTCCCCCTCCCCAGAGCTGCGTCTCGCTGGGCTTGGTCGTATGACATAAGCCCCGCAATGACACATAACCCACTTCCAAGGCATGTCTTGATTCATTCTCTCTTAATTGGTTTGGTTTCTCCGCCTCCTTGTTTGGCATAACGTGCTGTCAAAGTCTTGGACTTGTCTAATCCTTGATGAGAGACCAATCATCTATTTGAAAGTAGGCTAAAACAAACATGACATCAACCGAGGATAGGTTGAGGGTAAAAGCAGAATGATGGAGTGGAGTCTTGGTATATAGATACAAAATTTTGCATTTGAGATATACAATCCGATATGGTGTAGTGGCCAACATGATGCCCTCTCATCTCCAATGAGAGGTTAGGCATAGCCCCGAGTTCGATTCTCGGTTTCGGAACATTTTGCTTTTTGAATGAATAACTTCTTAATCTATTTACTGCCGATCCTTTATGTTCTGGCGCGTTGAGTTTCTTCGTCAGCGATCTGTTTTTTCTTCTCTTGTTTAACTCATAATGTCTGGAGGCATCTCGTAATTTGCCGGTTGGCATCAAAGCGTATTGGATCTATACATCTGGTTGAACCATTCCCTACTTCCGAGTTTGGGCATATATATCCCCAGGCAACCTGCCATCATTGTGGAATTCTTTGCTGCATTCGTCGCAGGCAAGTTCGTCGAGGTAGAGCCCGGCAAAAAGACTGACTGCAACCTGTTTTGTGTAGTTGCTCCCTCGATTTCGCAAAGTCGAACGTCGAGAGAGCTCTCACTTTGAGAAGCCTCTAAAAGGTCTTCATTGCCAAGTGTATAATCACTGTAGGGATCTCTGTTGTCTTGGTTGCAGATAGCCAATCCAACAACGAAGCCAAGCACTGAACGGAACCCAATGACGGAACCACTCCGGCAATCACTGCACAGGAACCCCACCATCTAATCAATCTAATCACCGTACAGCCCACCACCACTACAGAACCCAAGCACCTCCGATTTTCGACATCTCCTCCGGCACCCGACCGTCGCAGACAACACCCGCCAAGCCCAAACAACGCCCAGAACCACAGCCTCACACATGATGGCAAACCAAATAACGGAAGCCTCTCTGAGGGCAGTCCTTACCGAGCGCCTGCAGGCGATCCACGTCGAGATCACAGACATGTCCGGTATGCATCCCGCTCTCGCTCTTTTGCGCAGTCCCCTCCCCTTCCCTCCCCTCCAAAGCATTGTAACCCCACGTCATGCCCCGCCATATTAGAAATACAAACGATCCAGCCAGCGTACCGCATCACAATCGGGCAGTGCATACACGGCGACTCCTTTCCACCGTATGCACGTCTTGGGAAAACTACATATATGTTTTAGAAACTGACGTCTTTGCCATTCTTCCAGGCGGCTGCGGTCAAGCCTTCACCTCCACGATTGTCTCCCCCGTCTTCGAGAAGCAAACCTCCCTTAAGCGCCACCGCCTCGTCAACGCCGCCCTCAAGGACGAGATTGCGCAGATTCACGCCTGGAGCGCAAAGTGCCAGACTCCCGCCGAGTGGGAGCGCGATAGGGCCGCCGCCGGCGGGGCCAGCGAGGGCCCCCGATGGACGGGACCGTTGGGGGAAGAGTCGAGGGCGTTGCTCAGTAGATGGAAACTGAACAAGAAACACAAAGTGAGGTCTCCAAACCTTAATTGCACTGGAAAAAAACGAACGGCACCCGTGCCTCGACAACTGTAATTGGGCAGGTGGCACGAGGCAATACACTGGATACGAATCGAATCAAGGATATGAGGCATCTTGGGGTACGGCGCGATAGGTGTTTGGACTAGACACCCCGTTTTCGAGTATATACATTTGGCTTCGCGGAAAATAGAAAAACTGAAGCAGGCTTTTCGTGGCTTCGTTCTTGTCATATATCAACCTACTCCTAACAGCATGCCTGGACCCCCAATGACCCAGCGCCCATTAGTCACAGATCTAGAAGAGTCCCAGCAAGTCCTCGTTCGTCTTCTTCCCGTTTCCTTCGCTAGGCTGTTGTGTCGGTGGAGTCGGATGTAGTTGCATGGCGGCCGGCAGGGGCTGGCCCGATCCGGTGTTTCCAAAATCAAGCCCAGAGAAGCCATTCATCATGTCATCCATGCCACTGCCGCCTGCGCCAGGGCTCATTGGGTTGGCCATCGCCTGCTGCTGTTGCTGCGGCGGAGGGGCGTCAAAAAGACCCATCATATCGGCCATGGCACTCGAAGTGGCACCTCCCGAGGGACTAGACACTCTGTCTGGAGTGTTAACATTGCTCTGCTGCTCGGCTGACGCAGGAGCGGCGCCATCGAAGTCGATGTCAAGCAGGTTTTCGATGTTGTTTTGAGACGCGGTGGTGCCGTTGGCCGCGGCCGCCACTGACGCTGCAATAGGGTTTTCGGCCGCTTCTTGCCGTTGCTCGCGGATGGCCGCACGCTGGATCTCGTCTGCCCCATAGCGGCCCTTGCCAACAAAGGATTCTGGTGGCTTGTGGTACACCGAGGCGAGAGTGGAAAGCTCTCCAAGGAGTTGCTCGAGGAGAGCTGGTGGGAGGCTGGTCATGGTTGTAGTAATGGCAGGCTTTTGCGAGAGAACAATGCTCTTGGCGACATCCAAGTCGCCTGACAAAAGACGCCAGTAGACGTAGGCTCTGTCCCTGATATCAGGGTTATCGTTATCTGTTGTGGCCTGTTGGAGGACTTTCTGAACCAAGCTCTGGGTGTTGCCAGGCTTCTTGAGGAAGAGCTTGACAACTGCAGTAAGAATCTGAAGTTGCGTCTGCTTCATGTTAGCCAGGTCTGGAGCCTGAGGGGAAGTTTGACAAACCTGTGTAAACTCTTCCATGAAACCCTCCACGAAACTAGCCAGAATGTCGTCTGCGTTGTTGATCTTCTCGGCGTACTCTCCCACAATCCAGATCAGTGATCCCCTGGCGGTCGGCTCGTCCAGCTCATCGATATACTTGCAAAGCGTCGGGATAACACCTTCGTAACCGGGGTACTTTCGAAGGATATCTTTAATCACCACAACCACCTCCTGGACAACGTAATTGACCTTGGTAGCAATCAAATCCAGCAGCGCATTGACGCACTTCTGGCTAGCGCTTTCAAGCTTGATCGCAACTTGGCCAATGGCCTTGACTGCGCGCTTGACGAAATCCATGTCGACTTCAAGAGCGTATTCCTTCAGTTCCGCAAGAAGCTGATCGAAGTTCTTCTCGTTGGCTATCCGTACCATGATCTCGAGCTTCTGGAGCTTAACGTAGGGAGGATCGTTGTATTTGCAGAAGAATACACGTAGCTCCTTGCTGAGGATATCGGGCTTCGCCTGGAGTAGAAGGTCGATGTTGCGGAGAGCAACGTATTGAACCTCAGGGGCAGAAGCCACCAGAGTCACAAGGGGCGGTGCCATCTTCTTGAGGTAAGATCGTACCAACTCCGGGCTGACAGCCTTCATATGGATGAAGACAACCTTGACAGCTGCTAGAACCACACTGGGGTTGACATGCTGGAACTGCGGCGCAACTCTCTCACAGATATGTTCGGCCTCCTTAGCGTCCGCTGCCGGGTAGTCGGCCAGTGTGGTCAGGATAGTAACGCGACCCCACTCCGTGCACTCGTTCAGGGCCATTAACAGCTTCTTCAGCGTCGCCGGGGTCACCACGAGCGCTCTTGTCTCTGGTGCGGTTTCGGCGATCTCTGACAGCGCCTGGACCGAGTTGGCGACCACCATGGGGTTCGGATCACCGATCAGCTCCTGTAGCGATTCCAGAAAGCCGTTCTCTATACACATCGTAGGGTTGAGATCGAAAAGCTTGGCGACACAGATGGCGGCCGTCTTGCGGACATATGGTGATTCGTCTCGTAGTGTCTTGCGCAGCGGTTCTTCCATGTAATCCACCATCTTGTCGACTCTAATGCAGCCCATCGTTCGGATCGCTAGCGCACGGATGAGGGGGTTCGGGTCTTCGGAATCTTGGACGAAAGTGTTGACGGCTAGAATGCAGAGGTCTGGATGCGACTTCGCGTAGTTCCTAGGTTGCCATCAGCGACTGCTTTGACAAGCCGTTTTGGTGACCTGAAATCAGTTTGGAGTGCAAGCTCACATCAGGTATAGATAAACCAGCTTCTTCTGGTCCAAGTCGGCTGTCGCGATGTTTTTGAGAACGTCAGGGAACAAGGCCGACACGTCCTTGCCCAACGTCATCGCCATGATCGTCTTCTGGATCGACTCCTTGCGCTCGTACGCATACTGAGAAACAAGTCCTGCCCGCAGCTCGAAAGTCTCTCCCTTCCTAGGCACAGCAAATGCGCCACGAATCCGGTTGACCGCCATGATGTTTAGTGTTATTGCTGGTAGAGAGTCTCTAGACTGTTCACAGTGTAGGTTAATGACGGAGAGAAGCGACCCGGCGGGATGAGGGAGACAGCCAGTCCAATCAGGACCTGGACAAGCTCATCCAAGTATTCGTGGTACCAGCAGCAGTCTGCTTGCTCTTGTGCGTCGTCGGGATTCGGGGATGCAGCAGATGCACCTCGTCAGTATTCGCCAAGAGGATGAGGTGGTCGAAGAAGTACCTGTCAGTGGAATGCACCCCTAACCTTAATCCCAGCCTGGCCAGCCTGGCAGTGCTGCGCGCTGAGGCACTCCATTCGCTAAGTAAATGGGCCTCACCCCTGACAGCCCCGCCCTTGATACTATGCATGTAACGAGTACTCTGACATATCGGGACCTTCCAGGTCCAGAGTTACAACGGTACCTACCACCTACCAAGCTCCCGTCAGCATTGCTCAGCGCATCAACGCTTCTTCCAACTGCCACAATCAGTCTTCACATTCCATATATCGACAGAGTCGAAACCTGCGTTTGGAAACTCAATAGCGCTGGATATTCCTACACCGTCCCTTCGTTCCTTGAGGAATCCAGCTTCACATTCACTCTCAAGCAGGTAAACAACCAGGATCAGCATGGTAAGGTCTCACCGTGGAAACTTGATGAAAACGTACCTTACCAAATAACCCCTCTCAAGGCCACACTACCAAACTTGCGTCGTCTGTTCATCGAGGCAAGAACGGATGATGAAGAGAGAGAAGTGTCTAGGAAGGCAGTGAGTAGCCCCTTGAAACGATCTGATGAATCCGACTAAGTTGGCCTACAGTTCTATAACGCAGTGCTATTTATGAGTTCTGTGGCGGTCTTCAGCTTAATAGCTCAAAGGATGAACGCTACTAAATGACGAAGCTTGGACTTGAAGCAAGCTTAACCAACGCAAACTGGCGCCAACGAAACCAGCGCGAAGCAGGAGCTCACCACTGCCATATCACAAGAAATCCGGTTCAGAGTGATTTGGCGCTGGTTGCTTAATCGCAGATCTATCAACAGGAAAGGACAGCTGAGAAAAAAGCTCAGCCGAGTAGCAGTTGATACCTGCTATTTGGGGAGGTAATGCCCCAAATATGCTCTGTTGCCTTCTGCGACACATGAGTCACTGAGGGCGCTTGTCAGAATGCTGCTTCCTGTAATCACCCAATCACGGGGCAGGTTCATTCGAGATCGAGGTGTGTACATGGGCCTAGGGCAGCGTCACTCTCGGGGCCTGGGGAGGGATATAATCAAGTGCTCATGCAGCGCCGGAAACGACTGAGCTTTGGACTCAAGTGGCTGTCCGATTCTTTGATTATTATCGAATTACCACTTCATACCGAAGGAGGTGCCCCAATCACTCAAGAAAAGGAATGGAGGAACATTGAAACGATAAGCAACGACTCGACTGCCTGATACCACCCGAACTATAGACTTCAATAACATAGCCTTTGGCAAGATGATCTTCGCAAGTCACAAATGCGAAAGCGAGCATGCGTTCTATGCAAAAGGTTAGCGGAGCGACTCAATACAATCGGTTGTACCATCCACATACGTAATGTCACAACTAGTTATATAAATGGTCCCTTAATATACCCATACGGTTACTCCCTGTCTTGTTTGGCGTCTATTATTTTCTTGGAGTGAACATCAAATTGTGACATGTTCTATGAGCACCTTTCACGACGACCTTGATCTCTTGGCTCTATCAAGTGCACAGCACCTAATGCTCAATCAAGACGGAAGGGACCACAACGGGAACACGGACTACAATTGAACTCAGACGTTATGGTTTATGCCCTGCTGCTCACAGATGACCCCGTTGAAACTGTCCATATCCGGACCAAAGGCCCTCCAAAACCGTAGACAGGGTCGTGAGGCGGAATAGGCACGGCAGCCACCTCCTCAGCAAACCAGCTCTTCTCCGCCAGAGCCTTTTCACCCGTTTCATGCTTGTATCCTGGTGATCCCTCCGAGTAGACGCCGAAATATCGATACTCTGCCTCACCATCGGGCGACCCAGCTACTCCGTCGGCCTCAGAAACGGACGCATTTCCAACGCCGGCTGGAACCATAATGACGTCTCTAGCTCGAACTAGGCATCTTACACCAGCGCCCATTGCATCCGAAACGCCTTGTCCAAAAACCAGCTCTCAGTTACCTTGAAAGACTCCTGCCAGCGTTCGTTAAGCGAACTACATGCCATAAAAGGAAGTATAATTTATCATAGCACTCAACAACTAGTGTTTGGATGGAAGTGCTTCAAGCTGATGGATCCCCAAGTCCCCTATTGAATTGACGTGTTGACCAGCGCTACATTCATACTATCTCGGTGTTTGTCAATGACACATACCGCCTTTTCCCTCAGCCGTGTTGCTGAAGCCTGTTCGAAACGCTGTCTTCATCCAGCGGTTTTAGAGTGCCGCGCTATACGAGAACGGGAAGATCATTGTTCGGACAATGAGTAGTGGGACGCAATGGTATGCCTTGGGTTGGATTCAATTCTCACGACCCGACATTCTACTTTCAGATTCTGCCGGATAAAACTAGAGAAACACGGCGGGCTACTCGTGGATCACACTGGGCAAATGTGTGAATGCAACTCAGTGAGCATTATCCAAAACCGATGCTTTGGGAAATTACCGATATGTATCCTCGTCACGATCTCGCCTGTTCATTAGTGTAGTCGCGACAGCACCTTAAAGTCATCTACCAAATCTCAGATCGTTGGCTCACTGGTATTCCGAGAGGTCGAACGAATGACGCGCCGACGAACCAAGGCACCTGACTTTATCCGAACATCACCAGGAATGGACGTCGGCTCCGAGAATCTATCCATTGGGACGTCTCTGCTCATCTAATAAACAGATTGGTATTTTGGGCTTCAATGACCATCGTCAAACCCCCTGCAAGAGTTCTCGTATCCGGTTGGCTGAGTATCATTCCTCAAGGTCGTCATCTTCACCTTGCCTATCCTTGGTTGGCGCTTTCGCCTCCTGCTTCCTCCACAACCCAGCGAGAAACTCATTTGTGCTTGCTTCATCCATGCTCTTATCCTCCCTCTTCTTCAGAAACCGCGGGAACCGCAGACTCAGCCCGCGATCCTCGCTGACCAAGCCGATCGCAGCAGTGTATGTTGGGCTCAAAGTAATATCCGCAAACGCCATCTCCCACACTTCCTGCGGCTCGAACCACACGTCAGGCTCCGGCCCCCAGTACTCAACGAACGCCGGCTTTTGGGTGCGCGTGTTCTTCCTTTCACCGCCGCTCAACTCGCCATCTTCGTAGAACTCCCTGTTCGCTTTGTAGAACGCATCCGTGAACCCGGACATGCATTTGCACACAACCTCGAGGGAGCCGGTGTGTTCGTTGCGGACGGCCATGAGGATAGGCGACCACCACTTAGACTTCCGTCCCTGTCCGTGCCATGCGGCAACAGGGATCATGTCCAGGGTATCGAAGCTCGCGTTATAATCCTTCTTGACCTTTAACCACGAATCTAAACGTTTATCAGGTTCGTATGTGGCTAAAAGTGGTTTTCGCCGTCCCTTCTTCTTCGGACCACCATCTTCATCTTTGCCATTCTTGGCCCTTGATTTCGATTTCGAAGGTGTGCGGGGTTCTTCAACGACCTCTCCGTCGATCTCTCCAGAATCGTCGCCTTGATATGGGACATCGGTAAGGTTGTCCAAGATCTTGACCATGATGCCCTCGCACTTGATGTCGATCGCCGCCTTGAAGAACTCCAGGACGGCATCAGAGTCTTGTGATGTTGCATCAAGGGTCTTTACCCAAGTAAACTGGTGAGGAACCTCAATGAACATGGACCGCAGAAGCTCCCTTCGTTCTCGGAATGGCCGATCCAATAGAGGCTGGCCATTGAGAAACATGAGGTCGAAGGCGAACATGCACACATTGACTTGTACGCTTCCGATAGCAACATCTTTCCGCGCACGGTTGCTCAGGGTTTGGAAGTTCTTGAGCTCTCCCGTCTCACTGTCCACCGCGACGACCTCGCCTTCCATAATAAAACTGTCTACGCCTTCACCCCGGATCTTAGGCATCAAAGCAACAAGATCAGGATACTTATCAGTCATGAGTTCCAGGTGGCGTGAAAAGATTGTAACCTTGCCCTTCTCGTCGCAATGAATTTGGGCACGTTGGCCGTCATACTTGAACTCGCAGGCAAAGTCCCTGCCTTGAAGTTTGGTAAGCATCTCCGAGAGATCCCTTGTAATGCTACCCAACATGGGCCGTAAAGGGATGTGGAGAGTTAAGCCGCAACGAAGTAGCAGCTCATCGCAAACGCCGATTTCCAACAAGACTGGCACGAGGTCGTTGTAGTTGGGACGTCGCGCGAAGCAGGCTTTGACGATTTCTTCCGGCCTGCTCCATACTTCAGCAAGTTCTTCCTTTTTCAACCTCTGGAGATCCTTCGTTGACCGTAAAGGAAACTCGGCCCCTGGGGGTCTCGAGAGTAGAAAGGCCCGAGAGAGAGCGATCAGCATAGTGGTTTTGACAGCGCCAATACGTAGCTGTTGTCGTATCAGCAAAAAACCGGAATAGGAGAAGTACTGCAAGGCTTACATGCTGGCACAGCGTCCGTACAATGTACCTGCTCTCTTCGCCACCCCGGGCATCCTGTAGAAGTCGATCAACGATCCTCTGCTTGGCCTCCCCACTTCCTTGACCTTGGCTGTTGGCGATTTTAACTAGCGATTGATAGACAGCCTTGATCGTAAGAGGCTTCGGCTTTCGCAAAGTAAAACTTTGTTTCTTCTTCGCTTCAAAGGCAACGTCGCCCGCATCGCCATACTTGTCGTAAATTGTCTTCAAAGCTCGACTGTCCAGTCCACATACTTGCTTGAGCGCCTTAGAGATTGCCGAACCTCCCAAGCCAAGCTCCAAGGAGATGTAAGGGGGCGAGATGGCATTGGTCGCAAGCCATACAGCTGGCAGCAAGCTTTCGGGATCGGCTTCGATCAAAACCCTGATACAATTGACCAGCGTATCCACGATTTTGATGCGGCTTTGCGTCGCATTCACCAGGATGAAGCATCGGGTCAAAAAGGCGTAGGATGCATGACCACCCTCCGCAGCCCAGTGAGCCTTGAGCTGAGGAACGAATTCTGACGGATCAAAAGTCAGCGGGCTTTGATCCAGAGGAATTGTCGTTGAAATGGCATCTTCAGCGTTGGCCACGGAAGACAGTGACAAGGTGTTCTTCTTCGGCGCCTCCGGGAACACGACAGTTGTCGATGAGATCCCAACGTCGGGCTTTCCTTCGCTTGACTGTACTGTCGTGCCTGATTGAGACTGCGGACTTGGCTCCTTTGCGGGCTCTGGGCATGGCGTTGAGTCTGCCCTTTCGTTTTGTACCTCGGCGTCCCATTCCGCTTGCAGCTTCCGTGCAAGTTCCTCATCTGTCAACTCTGGTTGCTGATCTCCCAGCCCCGACCCGTTTGATACAACCTCTGGAGTCAACTCCGGAGTGGCCTTAGCTGTCGATGTGCCATTCTGCTTCTGCTTCGAGAAGAAATATTCCAGTCCCCGTGACGGTACTCCGGACGAGGATTGGTCGTTGAGTTTCCTCTTTTTACTTGGGCTTGGCATGACGAAGGCAAAATCAGAAGAAAATCGACTTCAGAAATACGACATGCCGAGATGAGTGCAAACGAGTGACTTTGGCGAGGCTCTTAAAAATCGACGCGGTATAGCGGCAGCATCACTTCATGTTGTTCACAGCTAGTAGCTTCATTCACTGTTCCATGCGATAGCTCACCCCTGCCAGGCGTCTTAGTCAATGACGCTGCTTCCACCATGCAAACTTAAAGGCCCGTGCATCTTCCTGTCCTGGCAACGGTTTAGTCAGACAGGGTCCCAGTCGGCCAAACCTTTATCCTTTGCCGACGCTAAACCTCATTCGACGACCCAAGCGACTTCCACACAACATCGCACTTCGAACTTTTGGAAATCTTTCGCCAGGGCGGCCCAAGCCCCACCAGCGGCACCGATTTCTTCCACGTCCTCCCCCCCTCCACGATACCTCTCCTAACCCGCCGAACCTCGAAAACCACCACTCCTCTCACACACCCCCCACGCCGACAAAACCAGCAACCATGTTGAACGGCGAAGATCCGCCCGAGCGGCCCGACTACATTGTCAATATCATCAATGGCCTGGAGCGCTACAACCCCGAGGCCGTTGTCAACCTCGAGGCCTACCTGCAGGAGCAGTGCGAGCAGAAGTACTGCGACTGCAATGCGAACCGGACACTCCTGAAGCTGTGAGTCTCCCTCCTTCCCGATACACCCTGCTACTGCGCGTCTATTATCAACGCTGCCAGTTGGCCTGGCGCCTCTCCTTGTGGTCCTGAGCCGGTTATATGATGATCATGTAAACGTTTCCTATTACCTGACATGCACTGGCTGTTCCGTCATGAACCTCTCGGTCGCAACTGAAGTCAGCTTATGGTGTTGCCTGAACGAAACCGGAACACATGTTTCGACCATCAAACCAGCACTCGATCGTCATGGAACTGCATTGCTGACTCGTTGCGCCTTCGCGCTCCTCTTCCCCCAGGTACCAGCTCAACCCCGACCGCATGAAGGATGAGGTCGTTACCAACATCCTCGTCAAGGCCATGACCCAGTTCCCCTCGCCGCAGTTCAGCCTCGCCCTGCACCTCATCAACCCTTCCACCATTGCCCAGGGCGAGCTTGCCGAGGCCGTTACCAAGCTGCGCACCCTTAACACCCAGCTCGAGGGCTCCGAGTACGCTCGCTTCTGGAACACCATTGACGGCGACGATCTCTGCGCCGACCTCATCGCCGATATCTCTGGCTTCGAGGACCTCATCCGCACCAACATCGCCAACCTCGTCGCCCAGGCCTTCCGCGAGGTCAGCCTGTCCCAGCTCGAGTCGTGGCTCGGCCTCGACTCCGACGCCGCTGCCAAGTTCGTCACTGAGGTCGCCGGCTGGACCGTCGGCGACAACGGCGTTGTCACCGTTCCCAAGAACACCGAGAACGAGGCCAAGAAGTCGGAGATCAGGGAGGACGTCAACGTCGACATGTTCTCGAGGGTTATCCGGAGATCATGGAGGAGACTGTGTAAAGGAGAAGAAACAGACCAGTACATTATAAGCTGCTGCTGCTGGGTTTTCGGGTGAGAGGAAGAGAAACAGGAAAGGGGAAGCAAGGGCGAGATATTCCCCCTTGGCTGCTAATAGCTCCGTAAATGGAGTTAGGGCTGGAAGAGAGCATGGCGGCAAAATTACCGGCGTTCACTGTGACTTTGGAATTGGGGAACCATAGAGTATATCCCTGAATATGAGACATGCCACAAAATTTGAGATGTCGTATGAATCCTTCATGCAGTTCCATTTGTTCTAACCAGGTCTAAGACTTTTTGCTTGCTTTTCCGCGCCTTTTGCTGTAAAACACAACGCTCATCGCTTCGCGAGCTCCTCCCATTGAACACCACACCATTCCTCAAGATACCCCGCCTCACCAGCCTCGACCCCTCTCGGCTGGCAGTCCGCCTCGCAGACCCCCACAATGATTGTGCCCCAATCCATGCCCTCGAGCGAGAGTTCTTCAGCCTCGAGCTCCGTAATGGCGTGCGGCGTCATCTGCACCTCAAAAACCCTTCCGGCGCCGCAGTTGCCGCACCTTGGCATCTTTCCGCCGCCACCGAGCGCCTTGCCGACGGCGTCGGCCTTGGAGTACAACAGCGGCGCGCCGGCGAACTCGTAGCGGATGGCCTGCTCCGGGTTCTGCGCCATGCGGTCCGCGAACTTCTGGAACACGGCGTCCATGGACGACTCGAAGATGTCCTTGGTATCGCCACCTGCGGCACCAGCACCGCCCTCATTGTCGACCTCCATCCGCGCGTTCTGCGGCACCGGCATGGGTTCCGGGTCCAGCGTCTCGAACTCGGCGTCCGCGAGGTACGAGAGCGGGTAGGACTTTGGCAGGGCGTCGGCCGCGGGCCAGGGCTCCGGCGGAGGGGCGGGCCGGAGGGAGTCTGCGGATTGTTGAGATTGAGGGTCTCGGCAAAGGTCTTGGGGAGGGATGCTGCCGGGTCTTCGGCCTCCTTTGGCTCGGGCTGCTTAGGTTCGGCGGCGGGCTTCGAGAAAGGGTTCGACGACGGGGCAGCCGTGCTAAAGGGGCTGCTCGACGAAGCCCCCGTGCTAAAGGGATTCGCGTTGCTAGCGAATGGGTTTGCGGCGCCTGCTCCGCCGCCACCGCCGCCGAACAGCGCGCTGCCGAGGCCGGGACCGTCATTCTTCTTGGGATCCTCCTCAACCATTTTCTTCGGCGGCTTCGTCTCGGCCTTCTTCGCTCCAGCTGCAGGTGCGTCCTTGGATACTCTGACACCTCTCATGGCGCGGATGCTGCCCTGCTTGCGCCGGCATGTCGGCCTGCGGCATGCGAAGACGTAGAGGCGGCGCTCGTGGCCGGGGAACTTTTCGGGGAGCTCGCCGTTGAGCTGCAAGAGCTGGACCATGATGTCGTTACACACTTTGCAGCGCGCGAGGGCGGCTGAGGCGGGTTGTTCGGGGTTCAGCCATTCCTGTAGGTAGGCGGCGTGTCAGTCCGTCACTGCGCATGTCTACCGATTGCCGTTTGGTGGGGTGGAAAGCCTGCAGCGAAATACTTACTGGTTGACCACCGAGACGGCTGATGGTGTCCTCGTCGGCATCTTTGGTGGCATAACCGAGTAATACATTGGTCTCGGTAAACTCCTGCTCGGAGGAATCACTGTCGTAGTCTGCCATGGTTCTGCGAGTTTGGCGTGCTTTGCTTTGCGACTGCTTTGGTTGGGCTGGGTACGTGGGGTCAAGATTTTTTGGCCTGTTCAAAATATTTCGATGCGGGGCTTATCTTATCGCTGCTCGGTCGCTCTTCTTAAGGCGAGGGGTAACCACCAACCCTGTGTCTCAACTATTGACCACTTGGTCTCACAATACTTTCGAGATGCACGCCAAATAATCTTCATGATTGGATATCATTCCATTGCTCAGTTTGACAGGTCTAAGAGCAACGCCTTTTGTCTACCGTGCCAATACCTTTTTACATGGGAACCTATCAAACGCATTACTCCTCGGGACCATCCATACCGGGGCCTGGGCCTCCTGCTCTGCCCATCTGTCTCGCCTTCAGAAGCTCGTCGCAGAGGAGCAGGTTGGATGCAATGCTCGAGCTGGAGGCGATGCAGTTTCTGAGTACTCTGAAGGAGTCGAAGATACCCTCGAGCTCGGGGTCCATCGGCTCACCAGTCGCCAGGTCCAGGCCAACAACGTTGCCATCCGCGTGCTCATCTTGCAAAGCAGCCACTGTAAAATGTTAGCCGTTATTTTCGTGTCAGACATGATGTACTTACGAGCATCCTGGATGTCAAGACCAGCGTTGGCAGCCAGGGTCTTCGGGATGATCAAGAGAGCGTCGGCAAAGGCCTCGACACCCCACTTGGCCTTGCCCTTCACCGTCTTGGCGAAGGCATCGCTCTTGAGGTGCGCCGCACATGCGACCTGGAAGGCGCCAGCACCGGGAACGACGCTTCCATCGACGATCATGTTGTAGACACTGCGCAGACCGTCGCGAACGGCATCGGTGACCTGAGTGATGGTGTGTGCGTTGGGACCCTTGATCAAAAGTGTGACGGACTTGGGGTCCTTGACCTCTTCGATAAAAGTGTACTTCTCTTCGCCCAGAGTCTGCTCGTAGACCAAGCCCGCCCATCCCAGGACATCAGGCGACAGGTCGTCGACGCTGTTCTGTGCAGTACCACCGCAGATGAGCTGCAGTCTCTCCATGTTTCTTCTCTTGGCACGACGCAGAGCGAGAATGCCGTTCTTTGCCAGGACGTCGAGAGACAGAGGGTCGATACCCTTCTGGTTGACGATGACGAAGTTCTTGCTAGGGTCGTTTCCGCAGACCTCCTTCTTGAGCTCAACGATCTTCTTCAGCTTAGCGTCGACAAATCTGCGCTCGCTCTCCACCAACTTGTCCCTCTGCTCCGCGCTGGAGTAGAAGAAGCCAGAGTTGATCTCGGACTTCTCGTACTCCAAACTCACGTTCATCGTCAAAATGTAGGCATTCTCAACACGCTTGGGCATATCGGGGTGGCGGGCACCGTGGTCGAGGGCAAGACCCTTAATGAGCTGGGTGTCGGAGGCGGTGCGGTGCTGCATCTTCATGATCTCAACCATGTGCAAGTCGGGCTTGGCCGGGGCCTGGTAGATCGCAAGCACGGCATCGACGATATCGGGGGTGAGCTTGCTAGCAAGGCTGGAGTTGAGCTTTGTGGACAGCGACGTGCGGGCGACGGAAAGAAGCAGCTCGCGGTCGACCTCCTTGGCAAGCTTGAAGTCGTCGAGGAACTATCATCTGTCAGCGACATTTCCCGCATCTGTTAGCTCGCACAACGCGCACCTTCAGCGCCTCGTTCTTGGCAATCTCGAAACCATCCGTGATGATTCTAGGGTGCAGGCCTTCTGAGATGTATCGGTCTGCCTGCTTGAGGAGCTCTCCGATCAACAGAACAGCCGATGTCGTGCCATCTCCGCAGATATCATCTTGTGCAGTCGCGGCCCTGGCAATCATGACGGCGGTAGGGTTTTGTATTTGCATCTCGCGCAGGAGAACGTTTCCGTCTTTCGTCAGCTTGATCTGAGGTCGGCGCGCATTAGCAAGTATCCAGGGGAAGATGGGCAGTGTAGCGCACTTGACCGGAGCCGTCAACAAGCCTAGCATCGTTAGTAAATAGTCCGGTAGATACGGTACGAATTCTCACATACATCTTGATGGTGCCCAGAGGGCCGAGGTTGGACTTGAGGACATCCTGGAGACCTTCACCAGCACTGATGTTGACCTTCAGGGCTTCACCCCGCCGCTATTGGGGTTGTTAGTATTACAAACAATGTCGCCTGGAAAAGGGGGTGCGCACCCTCGATTCGGCCTTGGGGTTGAGCAGTTGCGCCGCGGACATGTTGGCTAAAGGTCGTCGAGAGGTTTGTGAGGGGGTATCGGTCGGTAAGGTTATTGGATTAGCGACCAGACGTGGAGTGTTCTCGAGGTTGACCTGGCCCGGGGAGCTTCAGATGCGGGACTGTGGTGGTGACTTTTTTTCTGCCTTGAGGTGGCAGGCGGTCAGGCACTGGTGGAAGGTGCTGGCTCGCCAGGTGCCTGGCGTTTCGATGCTAATGCTCGGTTCAAGAAACTACTTGTTAAATGCATAGGAGCATTTAAAGCGTTCATAACTTATAAAGGGGCTGCGTATGTCAGCGGCTACGATCCGTGCGTCATTAGCGGCTAGTGGCGACTGCATGCTAAGAGCGGGTCCCAGGGACCTGGGGAGTCGGGGTCCCCTAATGGACCACCACAGTGAAACCTCTACCTGGAGACTGAACCGCTGCTTTACCTCTAGCTGTGCTGAGTGAGAGCTGTCGACGAAGGTAGACGAGGTAGCTTCCTTGAACCAGCCACTTGTCATTTGCTTATACTCGGCTGTCTAAAGGATTTAGTTGATCAGGAACCCACTCAAGGCTTTCAAAGCTCCGGGACTAATAATTACATTTGCCTTTGCCATGGATTGTGTTGCACTCCCCTACCTGATCTTTGCAAGGGAGTTGGCTGTGTGAACCACCTACCCCTGGTGACATCGGAACACGAATAAAGCGGCGGTTTGTTTACTCACTCCGAGTTTAATTCATTTGGGTACTTCCCTAGACATCTGAATTACGAATCCATTTCATGCTCTCATTTCGTCCTTTTCATCTTCCAAGCGTGTCTCAAGTGCCTTCCATCCAGCATATTTTCTCCTCACTCCTTTGTCCCAACGATTGCCTTGACTACTTTACTCCTCTAACACATCGATCCAACACGATCAGCCTACCTACGTGACGTGATGTGGGGGTCCAAGCTCTCAGCTGTGCTTTCTGCGCTCAGCTTAACACACTCTGCGGCTCCTGCGACCGAGCTTGAGCAGGTCGCCACCGAGAGCAACGTCAAGCAAGTCGCCATCATTGGTATGTAAACAGCACATAAGCTCATCTCTGATGGGCCACGAATGCTTCGCATCATGTCGACTCTGTATGTGGTTGGCACCACGACACTGAATACTAATATGGTATCCAGGGGCTGGCGCCGGTGGCTCGTCCACAGCATACTACCTTCAAAAGTTTGCCGAGGCAGAGGGGTTTCCCGTGAACATCACCGTGTTTGAGAGGACCGACCGTATCGGTGGCCGCACCTTGACCATAGACGCTTACAACAACCCGCTCGAGCCTGTTGAGCTGGGCGCCTCCATCTTCATAGAAGCCAATCACATCCTATATAATGCCAGCGTCAACTTTGGACTGCCACTTAAAGAACCCGAATCCGGCAGCGATGGTTTCCTGGGCATCTGGGATGGAGAGAACTTTGTTTTCACCCAGGACGACAACTCCTGGCAGTGGTGGAATCTGGCCAAGCTCTTCTGGAAGTATGGCACAGCCCCTTACAAAGCGCAGAAGCTCGTCCAGTCGACGGTCGCGACCTTTCTGCAGCTCTACGAGAAGCCTCACTTTCCTTTCCGATCTCTTACCCAGAGGGTCTTTGAGCTGGACCTCTTGAAGGCAACCTCGGTTACGGGAGAACAATTTCTTGCCAACAACGATGTACGTGGAATACACGACTTACACTAATCAACGGCTAACATCTAGCAGATTAGCGAGCTTTTTGCCCATGATATCATCCAGGCAGCAACCCGCGTCAACTATGCGTCAAACCTGAAGCACATCCACGGTCTTGAGACCATGGTTTCCCTCGCGCCCGAGGGTGCTAGGCAGGTTATCGGTGGAAACTGGCAGATCTTTGCGACTATGCTCCACAGAAGCAATGCCACTGTACAACGGAACACATCAGTGACCTCCATTGCGCTGAAGCCTGGCCCTTCCAGCTCTAAGTACCTGCTCTCCACCAAGGGTGCTCACTCTGAAGCCGATGCCGAGGCAGACCAATACCCGATCGCCTTCGACAATGTTGTCATTGCTACTCCTTGGCAATATGGCGACATCAGCGTCTCGGAAAACCTGTTCCAGAAAAAGATTGATGAGATCCCATACAACAAGCTTCATGTCACTCTGTTTGCTTCTCCCTTTCGTCTCAGCCCAGAGTACTTCGGTCTGGAAGCTGGTTCCAAGGCCCCGGATTCGGTTCTGACAACGCTGAACCCCAGTGACGACCCGAAGCCCGGATCCGAAGGCGCTGGGAAAGCGGGCTTCTACTCCGTTAGCACCTTGAGAACTGTCACGAACCCGAACACTCTGAAGGATGAGTTCCTCTACAAGATCTTCTCACCCGAAAAGGTCACCGCAGAGTTCTTGTCAAAGTTACTTGGCGTGGAGGTGCCAGAGTCCATCGTCTCGGTACAGAAGACTGAGGAGGGAAGCACGCGCACGGTCGATCCCATTTCTTGGTATCACCCCATGTTTTCAATTCTTACCCCATTGAGTACCCACGCGTGACCTTCCAGGATCCTATTCTGAGAGACGGCCTCTATTATCTGTCTGGTATCGAAAGCTTCATCTCCTGCATGGAGACCAGCTCGTTGATGGGAATGAATATCGCCAGGTTGATTGCCGATGACTTCTCAGACCTCGAGGAGAAGCTAGAGAAGGTTGAGTCAGACAACGCACAGGAAGTTGTTGGCCAAGCTGAGAGGGAGGCGCCGGTTGCCGATGAGTTGTAATTGGTTTGTTATTGCAAGTGGGATAGCATTAGGCTCTTATATTCGTTCTATCAATGTATTTTACCCCGACTGGTTGATATCTGTGTTTTAAATGGCCTATGCTTGCATCTTATGCGAGCTGGGTAGTTTGCTGCGATCAAACATGCCTTTAACTGTAAGTGTGGGTACGCGCTATTGCATGGCCAGGTCTCTAGCTTTGGCTTTTCGTTTCCTCATCCCGCGATCAGATACTCAAGTAAGGCACTATACTCGAAAGGCAGCAAAATATCCAGCTGTTCACTTCTTGGAATTTTTCCTAGGTTTGTATCAACACAGCTCGTGTAATTGGACATTTGAGGCGACTACCGTTGCTTACCTTCGTCACTCTCACACTTTCGACCTCGTCCTCTCCTGTCTCTCAAAAGAGGATGGGCGAGACAAATAAAGAATAGGACCCAAGGCCGTTTAGCTCTCATTTGCTGCGCACTTTACTTCTAAGAAAGATGTGAAGAGCATCGCTATATGATAATTCTGTGCGCACTGGTACTTCAGGATTCATTCTAGACTCTTGAAACAAACGATATTATCAGAATGAATGTCTACACCGTGAAGTCCTATCCCAGGTTTATCCCAAGCCCATGATCTTTCGGTTTCATGCTAACACTAGCTGCCAACTTTTCTAGTTGGTTAAAAAAAAGAAGGGTATAACAAGTTGGGAAAGGCAAGTTTTCTGGTATCTACAAAGTGGAATTTCTCAAGATGTATTGACCACATGGCGAGTCTCATCCTGCCACAAACATTAGTCCGGTTGTTGAGGCCTCTTGTTATCTGAAGCTGTTCCCCAAGGTAGTGCATGGGGGCCGGAGGCAAGAAGGGTCCCGGGCCTAGACCAGCCGCTGCTGGGAGCCCCATGTGATACCCCCGGCCCTGTGGCGTAACACCGGAGGGGCACCTTGTGTTGCCGTGGCAAAGAAAAAGGGAGGGAAAAGGGACGTGCACAGCCACAGACCATTTCACCCCTCCATCATCTGAACCATCCAACCCAAAAGCTACCTTGCTTCTTATGACGCATTTTCTTCCGTAGTGCCTGATCACACTTTTGTTTCGTGGCCAAGGTCTGGGACTCTCCGTCTCTTTGTCCTTCATCTCACCCCAGCGGACGAGACACCTTTGCAGAGATTCTCCAACAACCGCAACGGTTCTCTGCCCACGAACAACTTGCTTCCAAAACAAGCCCCAACTTCAAAATGTTTGTCCTCAGAAACGGTAAGTTTACCCCGCCTGTTTTCTGTCACTAATGACTTCTGCTCTTTGCTTTGTCGTGCGATCGACAGCGAGGCGCGTGTGAGCCGTTGGTCGGGCCTCCTTCGTCATCGCCACTTCGCAACCAAGAATTGACGATTTCCGACTTTATCGACTTTTCGCATCACCCCTACCACACACATTCATACTGACTCATTTGTTTTCTCTCGCAGTTGGCAAACTCATCTTTGGATCTAGCAATCAAGAATCCCTCATCGAACTCCCCCAGGGACAGCTCTACCTCGTCCGCCCACTCTCGCCCAAGGGCTACTCCGAACTAATCTTTAAAGACGCCGCCGCCCGAATCCGACGAACCGCACAGGATTTCCAGTACCAACTCGTGGTACAGAGAGTTTACGAGGAAGGCGAGGCTGAGCTTTTGGCCGAGGAAGAAGGAGAGGACGCCGAGATCGACGCGCTTGCCGTCGCTGAGAGAGACGAGAAGACCTTCCTACTCGACGAGGCTCTCCACTTTCGCATCGAGATTAGAGAAGGCTCTGAGAAGGTTCTCGCCTGGAGGGATCTGAGTGGTGACACCGGTGACGTCTACGAGTTTGTTTGCGACAACGTCGTGTCTTCCGGCCAAGTTGCGCAATTCGAGCGCATCGCAAAAGAGTGCCAGTACGAACGCAAGTACCGCAAGCCGCACACCACCGCCTCCGACTTCGACCTCAAGCAGTTCGAGTTCCAGGACGAGCACCCTATACCCCCCGCGAGTCCGATTCATAGCCCGACTCTTGTACGGTCGATAGAGGCAGCTGACGGCCTTTTCGTGCCGCAAAGCCCGGTCGGTACACCTACCAAAAAGGAAGAACAGTCCCTTGTCCAGACTCCTGTCAAGACACCTGGAAAGATGCCCGTCACGCCCGAAAAGACAAGAGCGACTGGCCCGCCTAAGGCCGCCGAGGCCCCTGCAGCTCTCAGCACGTACGCTGCTGAGAGTGCTGAGCTGCACTTCTTCGATTTCCCGTCGGGTTCTTTTGTCCAGCAGGACGGCTCTGTCACTGCCACCGTCACAGAGGTTGGCAAGTGGGAATACTGGCTGCAGATCGAAACCGAGGATCGTGCATGGCTTGGAATTCCCATCGTCGCCGATATCAACCCTGTCTTCAACTTCGAGTTCCTGTCCTTCATTTTCAACCAGTTCTCTCCTGATGGTTCGGCATACTCTTGGTTGCTGCGATTCAAGGACCAACCGACGCTGGAGCGTTTCCAGGACGCTTTACTCCGCGCGCTTTGGGAGCAGCTGAATGAGACCAAGTGGGAGAAGATCAAGGAGAGAGAGCAGGAATACGTCACGGACGCCTTCAACGATTTAACTATGGAAGATACCCCGGAGGAACAAGAAGAGGAAGAGGAAGAAGAGGACTACGAAGACGCCGAGGACGATGCACAGCGCAGCGAGCACTACGACAGCGACGAGGAGGAGGATGACGTTGAGACCAGAGACGAGGACGGCAACGTCAACTCCCAACTTGCTGTTGGCTACAAACATGACCGCTCTTTTGTCGTGCGCGGATCCAAGATTGGTGTTTTCAAGCACACAGCAAACAACAATCTTGAGTTCTCCACCAACATTTCCAAGGTCGAGACTCCCAAGGGCACACTGTTCAGCCCGAAGAAGGTCATGCTTCACAATGAGGATCGTAACATGATCCTGCAGAACGAGCAGGATCCCAACAAGCTTTACCGCATGGATCTTGAATACGGTAAAGTTGTCGACGAGTGGAACGTTCACGAGGACATCCCCGTCCTCAACTTTGCACCGGAGAACAAGTTCGCCCAGATGACGCATGAGCCTACTTTCCTCGGTATCTCGAAGAATGCTCTCTACCGTATCGATCCCCGTCTGTCCGGCAACAAGCTTGTCGACTCGCAGCTGAAGCAGTACGTCTCGAAGAACGAATTCTCGGCCGTTGCCACCACCGAGAAGGGTTATATCGCTGTTGCTTCCAACAAGGGTGACGTCCGTCTGTTCGATCGTCTGGGTATCAACGCCAAGACCCACATTCCCGCTCTGGGTGAGGCGATTCTTGGCCTCGATGTCTCTGCTGACGGTCGCTGGGTGCTCGCCACCTGCCGGACGTACATCCTGCTCATCGACGCGATGCAGAAGTCTGGCAAGAACGAAGGCAAGCTCGGCTTCGAGAAGTCTTTTGCAGCAACCGACAAGCCTCAGCCACGCCGTCTGGCCCTCACACCCGAGCACGTCGCTCAATTCGCCCACGAGACCGGCAAGCCCGTGTCCTTCACGCCGGCGCGCTTCAACACTGGCGAGGGTACAGAGGAGACGAGCATCATCACTGCCACCGGTCCGTACATTGTTGAGTGGAGCTTGAAGAAGGTCCTTCGCGGCGCCAAGGCTGCCTACCGCATCAAGCGCTACGCCGAGGAGGTCAAGGCCGACGACTTCAAGTTCGGAACGGACAAGAACGTCATCGTTGCCCTGCCCAACGAGGTCAACATGGTCGGCAAGCAGGGACTCAAGCGTCCCACTCGCGAGAGCATTGCTGGTAACTTTGCGCAGCTTAGCATGGGTCGCAGGGACTCTGGACGCATCGGCACGCCTAAGAGCGGTCGTTACAAGCTCGGCAAGGAGGACATTGTGGCGTCCCCTTACTGAGACGGTCTCTACGGGAACTTTTCTTTGTCTTGTCATACCTCATGGTTTGATGTAGGAACGTGTTTCAACGAGGGCGTACTCCAGGTTGCGATTTACGCTGCGCAATGGCGGGGGAGAACAGAAGGGGATGGACGGGATGGGATTACAGCACAGCACGTTACCATTTCTTCTTGCTTTTCCACCGAAGGCTCTCGCTTTCGCTTCGGCCTCAGGTTCTCTGGTATTTTCTTCGAGACGAGAGACAAACCTCTTTCCTAGATATCTCGAGATGTCTTCTGCCAAGACATAGGACGCGGGCGGTTTGGTTTGGTAGTTTTCAGTATGGGCCACCCACAGCCAGCTCTTTTTTCGGTTCGAGTACAAAGTCCTTGATTGCCATGCGCTTGATTTTGTGAGATTGCTCTGCGTACTTGCGTTTTGACATATTCATTTTGTGATTCTGATGATGGCTTGTGACTCGACGCAGATAGACCGGCATACTCTGCTCTTCTCAAGGAATTATGCCCCGTCAATTTCCAAACCGTCATGTGTTGGATCGCACGTTTTTGTCAAATAGGTAGATAGTCTAATGCTGAACCCAAACGCGAACCCGAAATACATGGATGGCCGTCATGTACGACACGATTCCCCTCGTGTGTGAACCGTCCCGTAACCTCTTCTTCCCTCTGGTAAAAGAAAAACAACAACGCAAAATATCCCGTGGAACTCCGCCCCCGGCCTGATGCCTTGTACTTGAATGATTATGATTTCGCCCCGCTGTATTTGCTTTCCCCATGCCGCAAACCGGGTGGTTTGCTTGCAGGGTAAGAGTCGTAGCGAGGTAGGTATGTTGTTCTTTTCTTTTCTTTCAATCGTGCCTTCATCACAATGGCCGTCCAAGACGACGGCTTCTGCAAGGAAAGTAAAGACAAAGAAAGGTGGTATGCAAGTCGGATGTACAGTGGGCCGTTACGCTTCTTGCTTATCCTGCTTCGTCTCCTCTGCGCCGTCCTTGCTGCCCGACAGGTTCGAAGCACCTTCAATTGCACCTTGCAGCGCCTTGCTGACCTGGCCAACCACGTTCCCGCTGATGTTTCTCAGCGTCTTGGACTGCATCGTCTCCTGGGAGAGGCGGGTCATCTCCGCGACGAAGGACTGGCCCCACCACGAGGATGTGTACTTGAAGACGTAGCGCTCGAGCTTCTTGTAGTTGGTCTCGCGCTGCTCCGGGGACATGGTGACGGCGTCGTGGATGGCGTTTGCCAGCTCCTCCGTGTTCCAGGGGTTGACGATGAGAGAGCCGTTGAGGGACTGAGCGGCACCGGTAAACTCTGACAGAATCATGACACCGTGGCGCTCGCGCTGGGTCGCGATGTACTCGTACGAGACCAGGTTCATACCGTCGCGGGTGGAAGACACAAGGCAGACGTCGGAAACGGCGTACAGAGCCGTGAGCTCGTCGAACGACACACTCTGGTGCAGGAAGTGAATGGGCATGAACTCGATGGTGCCGAACTTGCCGTTGATGCGGCCGACAAGCTCGTTGACGACGGCGCGCAGGTTCTGGTACTCCTCGACGTCCTGCCGTGAAGGCACGGCAACTTGGACCAAGACAATCTTACCGATCCACTCGGGGTGCTCTGTCAGGAAAACCTCCAAAGCATGGAGTTTCTGCGGGACACCCTTGATGTAGTCGAGACGATCGACACCGACAATGAGCTTGACTCCGTTGAACTTGCGGCTTAGAGCTTCGATTCGCTCTTGCACCTTGGGCTTCTTGAGACCTTCGACAAACTTCTCGGGGTCGATACCGATAGGAAATGCGCCGACGGTAACGAACTTGCCGTTGTAATCGACTCCGTTGGGGGTTGTGGGCGTTCCACTTGGGACAAGTTAGCAGGGGACCAAGAGGTAGCAGATCTCGGATTGACCTTACAGGATGCGAGAGCAACTGCTCAGGAAGTGGCGAGCATAGTCGTAGGTATGGAAGCCGATGAGATCACAGTCGAGAACGCCAGTGAGGAGGGCCTCGCGAACGGGCAAGATACGGTAGATTTCGGAAGAGGGGAAAGGAGTGTGCAAGAAGAAGCCAATCTTGACATTCTTCTTGGTGTCGCCGATTTCCTCGCGCAGCATCTCGGGCAGCAGCATCAGGTGGTAGTCGTGAACCCAGATCAAGTCGCCATCTTGGACGTCCTGAACAACAGCCTTTGCAAACAGGCGATTGACTTCACGATAGGCGGCCCACGCGCTCTCGTCGAACGTGATTTCACCGGGGTGATAGTGGAAGAGTGGCCAGAGGATAGAGTCTGGCAAGAATCATTTGTTAGCGAGACCGGAAAAAGACCCGAGGACCAAGGGATGATGCTCCGTACTAGAGAAGCCATTGTAGTGCTTGTCGGCAAGCTCGTCGTCAATGAAGACGGGGTGAGCGTCATACTCCTCCTTGAGACGCTGCTTCATGCCGGCAATCTCGTTCTCCGGGACCTCGAGACCAGGCCAGCCGTACCATTGGAAGCTGGTGGTTTTTGACAGACCACTGAGGCCGGTGACGAGACCGCCAGAGGACATGGAGAATGAGTAGCTACCATCTTCGGAACGCTTGATGGTGATGGGCAGTCTGTTGGAGAGCAGCAGGAGGCGCCCGGGCGCGGTCTCTTCGTCGACGAGCGCAGGCATCTTGGGCGATTTGCGCGGGCGGTATGGTGCTGAAGGAGGTGTTCAGTGGAAGAGGAGCGAAACCTTTCGTGGAGGGGTTCGCTCGAAGAGTGGGAAATGGGGAGCACAGCAACTAAGCTTAGTGGTACTGTGGCGGGAGGGTGCTGTGTTAGCTGAGTTGGGCTGGGATGAGCTTGCTTGCGGGGGAATGGAGGGGTAAATGTAAGGAAGTGGAAGATCAAGTAAGTACCTGAAGCTGAGGTAACGGCGACGCAATAGGTGTGCAGGGGTAGGTTGCGGCTAGCTCTTGTTGCAGAGGAAGACACGAAGGGGGCGAACTGGTGAGCCAAGCTTCGTCGTCCAAATACTCCTGGGCTGCCTGAACGTCGTTCAAGAGGAATAGGGAGTGAGTTGTCTTCCGTGGACGAAGGTGTAAGAAAGGTAAGGTTGGATGGGCGCAAACGGGTGGCGGGAGGCAATACCAAGTATTTAGAGAACCAAGCCGGAGGGCACAGAATACGTAGAGGGGGTTTGAGACGAGATAGCAAACAGTGCAATGCAGCGCAGACTCTTAATTTGGTCGGATGGAAGAGAACAAGGGGGAGATGATGGAAGGCACAGTGAACGCAGCAGGATGGAAAGAAACGGAAGACGTCGGCTAGTCGGTGGTTGGTTGTTTGGTTTGTTGACACAGAGAGGCGTGGTGCTTCTTCATGGGCCGGGGTGGGAACGCAGAGGAGACAGGCGCACGACGAAGAGGGTGTTGAGGACGCAGGAAGATGCTAATCCGGCTCAGAGCAATTGGACGTGATCCAATGCAGACCGGCAGCAATCGCACAGCAGTAAGGTGACTGACAAACAGAACAGACAGACGGACAAGACAGCCCGACCACATGGATGCAACGCTGAAGCTTGGGTTCCCCAGAGGTAGAGGTACTTGAGATGAGTCCCGTTTCGGTAAGGCGACAGAAGTAGAGTACCTACATATAACCGGTGTACTCTGTATTCTAGCTTCTGTTGAAATGGGCAGAAAGGCTAGGAAATGAATGAATAGGCGAAGCCGTGGTTGCTAGGTAGGAATGGACGCCTTACACAGGGGAACGACTTCTGCAGAGCAGACTTGGGCGCTGCTCGGGCGGGTGTTGCTGCGGTGCCATCTACGTAATTCTAGCCCAGATCCATGCAATGTCTGTCATTGCGAGAAAATCCCGACCGACCCTGGCACTTTTTTTTTTCCTCTTGTACTTTTTCCTCCTTGCCATTTTTAGCTGTCATCCACTGCTTCCGTACCCCTCCGGTCTGCGCGTCTCTGCAGCCCTTTTCTCTTTGGTCTACATCTACTCGCGTTGCCGAGGACCCTGCCGGAGAGCTAGACGGCCTGACCGAAGCTTTAGGTGAGCGATATTTTTTTTGGCAGGCCCGTTGAGCCGAATGTCCCTCAGTCCTTTGCAATACACTGGGTACAGCATCATGTATGCAAGATACGGCGCACAAATGGACGAACACATGTCAGGTACCAGTACCTGAGGGGCCCTCGATGCCACCCGCCAGAGAGTGGGGAAACCGGCGCCGAGGAGTGGGCACTCCATCGGCAATACGTAGTACTGTAGAGGAGAGAATGTTCACGATGTCTCTTGAATTTTTCCTTCCATTCACCCACCCAAGCATCCAAGCGTCCAGCGGGCGGCGACAGCTCAGACCGGCTCGACGCTCCACCAGCCGATGCAAGGATGATGGCGCACCCATCTGCAGAAGGCCCCTCCATCCCTATAATGGGTGGCTAAGTAGCACTGAATATCTCTCACTCTGTCTGAAAGGCGGCGTGCGAAACGCCACAGTGGCTTCGGAGAGCCCTCCGAGAAACGAGTCGCTTTTGCAGATACAGAGCAGATACGCATGCTTCCCCTTCAGAGCCTTTCCTCTTCTCTCTGGAAAGAGGTGAGTGCCTTGCATGGATTCACACTAGTGTAGAGACTTTCCCACATGTCCGTCCCTGTGGATCAATAAATCAAAATGGGGTCGCATGTTCAACAGGTGAATAGGTAGTGCTCCGTCGAGCGACGCAACCGTGCCGTCATTCTTCACCTCAAAACCGCTTTCAAGGAAAACTGTTAGCCAGGAAGCTCCTTTTCCGCCAGGCCACTCGAAAAGGAGCTCCAGCCCCGGCTGCGCGACGTCTCAACGGCCTTTAACCGTTGCGACGACCAATGGGATTCATCAAAATTTCAAAGAACGCTCCAGCCCAATCATCCAACCCACAAGTCTAGACAAGGTCCCCGTTTGGCTACCGCAGACTGACATCGGCGGCTCCATACCTCCCCGGACCAAAACGTCCTTGATGCTTCACAAGGTGCGACGGCTCAGCTCCCGGCCCGAATTGGAGCGGCCCTGAGATGATATTGAGTTTCGATTCATCAAGATATTCCCGATTCCAACCAAGCGGCACTGTGGAGAATGCATCCATGTTAACGGCGCGATGCGCAGAGTGCAAATAGCTCTCCTCCATTCCTTGGTCTTGGTGACAGCGCAAATTCATTACTTTCACCGCCTCATGATGGATACGGCATCGATCAGTCTTAAACCGTCTGCTCGGCTACTCATGCACCGCCGAGAATATCACTCAATGGCTGTAGGTCTAGAGGGCCTATGTGGTCTGCTCGCTCACTGCCGGACTCCAGAAACAACCTCAAGACATCTTGGGCGTACTATATTTCCACGAGAGGCATTAGGCGACTGACGTTCTCGATCGGAACAAACGGCGGTTGTAATCATCCCGTGGGGCATTCGACATTCACCGGTCTTCCCCCGGCGCGGTTCATGGCATACGCTCGGACCAGGTCCGACGTGGGCGTCCAGTGACTGCTGCCCCACTCCGGACAAGCCAGTCGCAGCTTCCCCCGGTTGCGCTTGTGCGCTGTCCGCGTCGGCTTTGTCGCTTGCGCTCAAACATTGTCCCTCGACGCGTCCGCAACCGCGACAGAGCTCTCGAGCTCTTGCAATTCCCTGTCGATCTCAGGCCCTATCAACTTCGAGACCCTCATATGCTAGAATCGCAATCGATACATAATCCACAACCGACAGCACTCCATCCCTGTCATTCTGTGAAAGCATGGCCCCATCCGACAAGGAACTCGAGGCGGCGCTTCTGGACACGGTTCGTGATGTCTTCAAAACGGATATAGACAACCTCACCGTCAACTTCATCCGGAAACGCGTCGAATCAACTCTTGAACTTGAAGATGGATTCTTCTCGTCGGGAAAGTGGAAGGACAAGAGCAAGAAGCTGGTCAAGGAGCTTGCCGTGAGTGCCCATTCATTCTTGCTATGCGCGCTCCGTTGCCTTGAGACCCCGCCTAACTGATGTTGACGCAGACCGCTCTTATGGAGGGCAATGCCGATCCCGAACCTGAGCCTGTGAAAGATAAAGAGGTAATGAAGCCAAAGAAGACCGGAAAACGCCAGTCAACCGATATATCACCACCCGCGAAGCGTCGAAAGCGTGCATCTGCCGCTAAAGAAAATCTCGAGAACAGCGACACGGAGAACGAGAAGCCCAAGCCCAAGGCCAAACCAAAGAAGAAGGCAGCGCCACGGAAGAAGAAGCAGGACACTCCCGTGGTTGACTCCGATTCCGAGCCCGAGCAGAGCCCCGCGAAGCCAAAATCGTCCAAGGCTCGCAACGGACGCGCGAGCAAGGTCGAAGACAGTGGCTCGGATGATCTGAGCTCGCCGCCAGACAGCGACGAGGAGAAGGTCGAGAGTGAAAAGCAGACTTCAAAAGATGAGAAGTCCAAGGCGCCTGAGGAGGAGATCAAAGTTTCTGTCGAGACGAAGGTAGACGAGCTAGCCGAAAAACAGCCCGACGCCACCATTGTAACGAAGAATGAGGAACAAACTGTTGTCGACGACACAAGCAGCGAGCTGTCCGACGTGATCGATGAGCCACCCAAACCGAAGCGCAAGAAGAAGGAAGCCGGGGCTGGTAGCAAGGCGCCCAAGCAGAAGAAGGCGTCTACGGCCCCGGAGAACCCTGACGATGCCGAAGTCAAGAAGCTACAGTCTCAGCTGGTTAAGTGTGGCATACGCAAGATCTGGGGTTTCGAATTGAAGCAATACGGAGACAACACGAAGGCCAAGATCAAGCACCTTAGAGACATGCTCAGGGACATCGGCATGGACGGCCGCTTCTCAGAGGCCAAAGCCAAAGAAATCAAGGAGCGCAGAGAGCTCGAAGCGGACCTGGAGGCAGTTCAAGAGATGAATGCGAACTGGGGCGCGGGAGGCCGATCATCAAGGAGCAAGGCGCGCGGACAACCAGCACCGACAAAGGCCGTGAAGGACGACCTTTCCGAAGATGAGAATGACAAAAAAAAACGACGATGATGATGACGAGGAACAGGAGTCACACATCCCATCACGCGCGCGGGGCAAGGCACGAGCAGACCTGGCGTTCCTCGGAGACGACGACGAGGAGTCAGATTGATGTTACGACTATTGGAGGGATTTGCAGTTATTCGCGGCGCATCGTTTGGCTGATTGCACTTGTTGCAGGTTGTATTATATACCGTGGCGCGTAATGTGTCTTTCAGGTCCCATCGCGGAATGTCGGCCGAGGCGACTGGGCCAGGGGGTTGCCAATGGCTGGCAAAAAAAAAACAATTGCACTAGTATCGGATTGCAGTGGGTTTTCCGCCGATACGCAACATGTTAAACACTAATTCATCCATCTGCAACAGCAGAGTGATCCCGTTTTTAGTTCCGTACTCCCACCTTCAAGCGGGCCTCTCAAGTGGACGAGTGTCCATCCGTCACCCCCCCGGAAGTCGGACCTGTGCTTCTCCAAAAGAGACGCGATGCAAAGCTGCTCGTGTTTAAACGCACCAGTCAAATGACAGTATGTCCGCTCGGAACCGGGGCTAGGGGATCTCCTGTGTGGTGTCGTCGTGTGAAGAAGCAGCGGCCAAAGAGGGGGAAGCGTGGACTCCTGGGCAACCCGAGCCGAGCTCCCCATGTCTGTTCTGTGTCTCCAATTTACCCCGCCGTGGGCGAGCAGTCCCCGCAGACGCCGTCATTTCTTTCAGTGGTGTTTTCCCCTCCATCCTCGTTCAACCCCCCACTGCATGCCAACAAGCGCAAATACAAGCAATAATAGCCTGAATTGCACATTTTCGCCATATCATCCAGTGACGGGAAACTGGTTGCGCGCCATAGGGGAGCCATAAAGGGACAGGATTCCCTCTTAGAGAGTTGCGTGATTTCAATCCCACATCATCGTCGTAGTCTTTCGTCTGGAACTTCGTATCTTGTAATTCAAAGTCCTGGAATCACCCTTGTAAAGAGCAACATCGCCAACAAAAAGACATCGCGCATCCTCCTCACAATGGCCGACGCTCCCTTTGAGTTCTTGCCTCTGGGCGCTATCCTCCAGTCCTTCAAGGTCAAGGGGGTCAATATCGTCCAGGGCTTCCCGACCCAGGAGCTCTACGAAAAGTACAACTCGCCCTACTTTGGCGTCACCGTCGGCCGCGTCGCGAACCGCCTCGAGTCGGCCCAGCTCAAATCGCTCAATGGCGGAAAGACGTACAAGCTCGCCGCCAATGACGGCGCTAACAACCTCCACGGCGGCCTCAAGCCCTGGAGCTCCCTCGTCTGGGATGGCCCCAAGCCCGTGGGCGTGCGCGAGATTCCCGGCGTCGAGGGCCTCGAGGGCGGCGAGAGCGTCGAGTTCTCGCTTACCAGCCCTGACGGCGACGAGGGCTTCCCTGGCACCGTCAAGGCCAAGGTCACCTACACAGCCGGCACGCAAAAGATCGACGGCAAGGAGGTCTCCGTTCTGGGCATGGAGTACGAGGCGCAGCTTATCGACGGCGCCGACGAGACGGCCATCAACATGACGAACCACTCCTACTTCAACCTCACTGGCGACGAGACCTTTGCCGGCACCGTCGCGACACTGGCGACCAACGCGTATCTCCCCCGCGAGAACGGTATTCCCACGGGCGGACCCGCGCCGTTCCCCGGCATCGAGGGCGGCAAGCCGTTCGAGCTGGGTGTCGATGGCCCCGCGGTGGACGACTGCTTCGTTGTCACCGAGAAGCCCGGATCGGTGCCCATCGACACGCGCGGCGAGGCGCTGAAGCTTCACGTGCACGCGAGGCATCCCAAGAACGGTGTCAACCTCGAGGTGCTCAGCACGGAGCCGGCGTTCCAGTTCTACACGGGCGAGGGCATTAACGTGCCGGCTGTTGAGGCCGCGCCGGCGCGGGGCAAGAGGAGCGGGTTCTGCGTTGAGCCGAGCCGATGGGTGAACGCGATCAACGTCCCCGAGTGGAAGGACCAGATGCTGTTGAAGAAGGGGGAGACATATGGTACGCGTATCGTGTACAAGGCGTGGAGCGAGTAGGTGGTTAGTCAGGGTTGAAGGTGCTAGTGTGAGATGATTTCATGAAAATAATAGTAACAATGATAAACTTGGATGTATTCTTATGGTATTGACCGATCTTTCTCAAGCCCAAGAAACCTGTAGCATCTCCCTGTGACGAGCAAGCTTCATTGACTCTGTGCGACCCCGATTAGGTTTCACGATGTAATCGCTGTGCAAAGGATTCGCTCCCTTCCGAACTTCTGGACCCCCTCACTTTCTCTCAGTTGGCGTTGGGTATACATTTGCGTGATCCATTTCTGTCCTGGGTGTCCGTGTGCTGGGGAAACAAGCCGATTTGACTGAGCCGGTGACATATCTGTAGCTGTGAGTGGAAAAGATGAGACGAAGACGAGCTCCACGGCTGGGCAGTTCACCAAGGGGCTCTAGCTTTTGTCTTAGCGTTCTGGTTTTTGGCTTACCTATCGCACCAGCGCAACGGTCTCGGCAGGCGCAGGGACGTCTGTCTGGGGCTTTCCAAGTTTGTACTCTACCGTGCCGTCCTCGAGGAACCTAAGGAAGGGCCGCCCGAAGTGTAACTGCCGGACTTGCCCACGACCACGACTATTCAATCACTTGACCAAACAAACCACTCTGCCACCTCTCGAAAATACCTACCGCCTCTTTCGCCAACTCCACATATTCACTGCATTTGAACCCTTACTCAAATATCAACTCGAACAGTCGCCGCCTTGTATCGTCGAACCAATCTCACCAAAATCCAACCGAGTCAGCCGCCGCATAGAACCAAACCCCATTACCGCCAACGGCGGCATCCGACACAATCATGACCGAACCCTTCCCAACCCCATCGACGACGCCGAAGCGCAAGCGAGATGAGCAGTTCTCTTTGTCCCCGATATATACGACCTCGAATTTCTCCTTCCAGCTCTCCAATGCCACAAGCGAGGAGGACGGAAGCGGGAGTCCCCACAGCAAGGTCGTCCACAAGTTCCGTGGTTTGGCGCTGAATGGTGGTGATGGTAGTGGGGCGGGGTAGCTCAGCAACAGACGCGAGATGGGCCATACGACCCGACGGGGGAAGCCCGCCAAGACGGATACAACGACGACCCTTTTGCAAGCCGAAAGAGAGTCAAGGTCCCAGAGTTGGAGATGAAGGATGCCGAAGCAGACTCGGCAGAACCAGTCGTCATTCCCGATCCCGAGGTCAAGAGCGACCCTGTGCCAGTCGCGAAATCCAAGTCGGTCACCGTAGACCCTGACGGAACCACCCAAGAGATTCTGCTGCCCGTTGCAATGACTGCCGCCGCTACCAACCTGCAACGCCCACACCCCTCGATCGACCGGTTGCAAGATTCCAAGTCTAAGGAACGAAGACGCGCCGGCACCCCGCCACTACTGAAGGGCCGCAAGGGCAAGGTCGCCGAGACGCAAGGCGATGATCAGGAGATGAAGATCGTGGACCCAGTTCGGGCCGCGCTAACATGGAAAGAGGAGGAGATAACGATTTACGACCCGGAGGATGATGAAGACGACGGCACGGGTATCAACGGAGTCGGCTTCATGCCGACGGCCGCCATGGCCTACGCGCGGACACAGAAGCGCCGCCTGCAGCTGGCCGAGTACAAGAAGCGGGAGGAGAGCGAGGCTAGGGCCCGGCGCAGTCAGCGTAGACGGGGCAGCGGCGCCGATCTGGGCTCCAAGCTGGACTCCAAGTCATCTGGCAGCGGCGGCGGCGTGCGCAAGGTCCGCTTTACGGAAGCGGAGCCCAATCGGGTTGTGACGCATGTATAAGGGCAGCGGTTATTAGCACGCTTTTGCAATTGGGATATGGCACACTCGCTATCCCTTTTTATGTATGGGTTGGCCGGAGTACGGTCACGGAAGGCGTTGACTGGCGTTTGGGCATGAGCGTTCATCGAACACGAGACTGCATCTATCTTTGCCATTGAGCTCTTCTGGATGCGACTGTCATTTGGGTGAAGGCAAATATGCCCTTTTTTCAATTTTCTTGTTCACGCAGCATGTCACGACGGGAACGAATCGGCATGGGAGACAGAGGGCGACGCGATGATTCAAAATAGTCTTTCTTTTATACCCCATACTGGAATGGATGAAGATGATACAGGTTTCCCTCACTATACACACCGTGTCCAACGCCGCTGATGCTTATGTGAAATGGGAAAGAATATTCATACACAAGGATACAAAGATCCTCAGCCTCCCGACCAATATTTCTTACAGGCAGCGGTGTGTTTACCAGAACTTGTACCAAGCCTTCCGGCTCGCCTTGGCCGCCTCCTCGGCCTGCTGCTTCAGCTCGTGCTGCTGCTTGAGCTGCTCCAGCTCCCGGCGCCTCTTTTCCGCCATGGTCTCCTGGTAGACCTCGACTGTCCTCTTCATCTTGATGCGCTCCTGCCGCCGCAGGTACTGGCAGTACTCATACTGTCCGATGCATCCCACAAGGAAACTGCCTACAGCCCAGTTTGCCGCCTTAATGGGCGAACCTAGAGACGGGTGTGAGTAAGATGTTTGTCTTGATGCTGGAGAGGCTCATTTGAGTGGAAAAGGGGTTTGTTCATGAGACAGTTATAAAAGGCAATAATATGGTAACTCACCTCTCATGACATATCTCAGACCTCCGACGCCCGCACCGCTGGCGATACCAGTGAGGAAGCCATCGCGCGCGCACGGCGTCTTTGTGACGGTGAGGAAGTCGTCCGACTTGATGGACTTGACGGCTTCGCCGATGGACGGATACCCCTGCTGGGCGTTGCCTTCCTGCGGCGGGAAGTTGTTCTGAAACTCGGTCGGGTCGAGCTTCTTCTGTTGCTGATCCGGTGTTGTCGGCGTTGCTCCGGCTGCTGCTGTTGCGGCAGTCGTCGACTCCGAGCCCGGGGCGCCCTCTCCGACATGTCCCTGGCTGGACCGGGACCAGAGGTACAGTTTCTGTCCCTCCTTCTTGGGCGCTGCCGCCGCAGCGTTGTCTGTTGGATCCTGCGCCATTGTGTGCTATGTGTGCGCGACGATTGGGCGCATCAGGTAAGAGTTGCTCGCGATTTATGTCGGCTTCAACTCACACCTCAACCATCGGGAAGCTTCCCTCAAAATCTGCCCGTGGCCTGAGATGACGTCCACCGAATTCCCCGTTGCTGGGCCGGGCGCATGGTCCGTGCGTGCATTTACACGGGTGCCCTGCGTGAGGGATGTTCGTTAATTGATGTGGGTCCTCCCCTACTGCAGAAGCGTGCAATGGCGCGTAAAGTCGCGCCGGGGACGCGTCGATTTTGCTTGCATTTGCCCTGGGCTGGCCCGCCCGTTGCTAGACCCGCGATTCTAGTGTAAAGATTGGATTGAGACCCCGGAGCAACTCATTGCTTTCTTTACACAAAGTGACCAAATCCCACTCTCCCACTCGTCCACTTCCTGGTGTGGTCAATACCCGCCGTTCTGCCTTCTGTGTCTTCTGTTTGTGCAGATCTTCTCTTTTCCTCACAGAATTCCTTGATACCCACCAAAGCCGACTTCGAACCTCACCCTGTTGCGAACCCAGGCGTTTGTTCAGCACTTCTTCGTCTTATGACTCTCTAGACTACTCGGATTCCTCGAGTGTCTCCTTTCTGCCAGAGTCCCTCGACGGGGATCTGCCTCGCCCACGAACGACTCGACTCTACCCGCCTGACACATCACGAACCACCACATAACGCTCACACATAGCGATGCCCAACACAAGCTTGCGGCGCCCGCAAAAGGGCTACCGCCGCGGCGGGAAGCAGGCCTACCATGGCCCTGGCCGCACGACAAGGACCTTTGCCGCCTCGAGCCGCACCGAAGCGACCTCGGCTGACGAGAAGTGGGAGCGCACGCGGCTGGCGCACGCCATTGACGAGAACATGGGCTTCGCGCGCTACGAAGGTGGCAAGCGCAAGGAGGGGTGGCTCGTCAACGTGCAGCCGACGTCGGTGGAGGACGACCGGATACCGGGCGGCCGAGCGGCGCTCGACTGCTACTTTATCGAAGACGACGGGTCGCACTTTAAGGCCACGGTCGAGTACGACCCCTACTTCCTCATCGCCGTCAAGAAGGGCCGCGAGAGCGAGGTCGAAGAGTGGCTCAAGCGCGTGCCCGGTGGCGGCGTCGTCAAGACGATCAAGAGGGTTGAGAAGGAGGACCTGAAGATGCCGAATCACTTGATGGGCTACCGCCGGACGTTCCTCGAGCTGCGGTTTGCCAACGTCAACGACTTGATGGCGGCGAGGAAAGACATAATGCCCATTGCGGCCAAGAACAGGAAGAACGTGGATGCATTGGACGCATACGCCGAGGTTCATACGTGAGTCTTGCGGTCTGGTGGTGTGGTTGGGGAGGAGCATAGCTGACAAGTTCCAGGACAAACGGCGACTTTGACCTTTTTGACGACTCACGAGATGACGATAGACGAGCCAATGCTTCTTTTGCCGACGCCAGCGACTTCATTGTCGATATTAGAGAGTACGACGTACCGTACCATGTAAGAGTAATGATAGATATGGGTACGTTTGATCCGTGAAAGCAGTATGGGTAGAGCGTAGCTAACCAATGCAGACATCCGGGTGGGAAAATGGTACTTCGTCGACGTCAAGCACGGCGTCACCAAAATCACAATCAACGAGGAACGGTTGGCCATGGCGGACCCCGTAGTCATGGCCTACGATATCGAGACGACAAAACTGCCCCTGAAGTTTCCCGACGCCGCCATCGACCAGGTCATGATGATTTCGTACATGATTGATGGGCAAGGTTTCCTCATCACGAACAGGGAGATCGTCTCGGAAGATATCTCCGACTTCGACTACACCCCCAAGCCCGAATACCCCGGTCCTTTTATGATTTTCAACGAGCCGGACGAGAAGGCTGTCCTCGAGAGGTTCTTCCTGCACATCAAGGAGGCGAGACCGACGGTCATCGCGACGTACAACGGTGACTTTTTCGATTGGCCCTTTGTTGAAGCCCGCGCTAGCGTCAACGGCATCGACATGTACCAGGAGATCGGCTGGAAGAAGGACAGCGAGGACCAGTACAAGTGCAACTACAGCGTGCATATGGACTGCTTCCACTGGGTGAACCGTGACTCGTACCTGCCTCAGGGATCTCGTGGTTTGAAGGCCGTCACCGTGGCCAAGCTCGGATACGACCCCGACGAGCTCGACCCTGAACTGATGACGCCCTATGCCGCCGAACGCCCTCAGACTCTGGCCGAGTACTCAGTTTCCGATGCCGTGGCGACGTACTACCTGTACATGAAATACGTCCACCCGTTCATCTTCTCTCTCTGCACGATTCTGCCTCTGGGCGGCGACGACACGTTACGAAAGGGTACCGGTACTCTTTGCGAGATGTTGTTGATGGTCCAGGCTTACCAGCAGGAGATCGTGCTACCCAACAAGCACGTCTCGCCCAGGGAAGCATTCTACGAAGGCCACTTGCTCGACTCGGAAACGTACGTTGGTGGTCACGTCGAGAGTATCGAAGCAGGCGTTTTCCGTGCCGATATTCCCGTCAATTTCGCAGTTGATCCGGGTGCAGTGGACGAGCTGTTGAAGGACCTCGACGCTGCGCTCAAGTTCAGTATCACAGTAGAAGAAAAGAAGTCGATGGACGACATTGAGAACTACGACGAAATCAGGGATCAGATTGCTTCACAGTTACGCTCTCTTAAAGAAACGCCAAACCGTAGCGAGCGGCCCCTGATTTACCATCTCGACGTCGCTTCCATGTATCCCAACATTATGACAACGAACCGACTGCAACCCGACTCAATGATTCAGGAGTCGGACTGTGCAGCCTGCGACTTCAACCGTCCCGGAAAGACGTGCGACAGACGAATGCCCTGGGCGTGGAGAGGAGAGTACCTGCCGGCGAAGCGCGACGAGTACAACATGATCAGGAACGCCCTCGAGAACGAAAAGTTCCCGGGCAAGTGGCCAAACTCGCCACAACGAACGTTCCAGGATCTGTCTCCGGACGAGCAAACGGCCCTGCTGAGGAAGCGGTTGCAGACCTTCTCGCAAAAGGTCTACCACAAGATCCACGACTCGACAACGACCGTTAAGGAGGCCATTATCTGCCAGCGCGAGAACCCATTCTACATCAACACCGTCCGAGACTTCCGTGATCGTCGATACGATTACAAGGGCAAAGCCAAGGTTTGGAAGGGTAAGACGGAGTCTCTCAAGCAGTCCGGCGCGACGTCTTCGGAAGTCGACGCGGCGAAGAAGATGATTATTCTGTTCGACTCGTTGCAGCTTGCCCACAAGGTCATTCTGAACTCGTTCTACGGTTATGTCATGAGAAAGGGATCACGATGGTACTCCATGGAAATGGCCGGCGTGACCTGCCTGACGGGAGCAACGATTATCCAGCTGGCCAGATCGCTCGTTGAGCGCCTTGGCCGCCCCCTGGAACTGGATACCGACGGTATCTGGTGCATGCTTCCAGCCACTTTCCCAGAAAACTTTGCCTTCAAGACAAAGAATGGCAAGAAGGTTACCATCTCGTACCCTTGTACCATGTTGAACCATCTCGTCCACGCCAAGTTCACGAACCACCAGTACCAAACACTTGTGGACCAGAAGACACTCAAATACGAGACCCACAGCGACAACTCCATCTTCTTCGAAGTCGACGGCCCCTACAAAGCCATGGTCCTGCCTACGTCCAAAGAGGAGGACAAGAACTTGAAGAAGCGTTACGCCGTCTTCAACGACGACGGCAGTCTGGCCGAGTTGAAGGGTTTCGAGGTGAAGCGCCGAGGAGAGTTGAAGCTCATCAAGATCTTCCAACAGCAAATCTTCAAGTTCTTTCTCGAGGGAGATACCCTGGCGGAGTGCTATGCCGCTGTTGCCAAGGTCGCTAACCAGTGGTTGGACGTCTTGCATAGCAAGGGTTCAACACTGGCAGATGAGGAGCTCATGGAGCTTATTTCCGAGAACAGAAGCATGTCCAAGACCCTCGAGGAATACGGTTCGCAAAAGTCGACGTCCATCACCACGGCCAAGCGTCTGGCGGATTTCTTGGGTGAGCAGATGGTGAAGGACAAGGGTCTCAACTGCAAGTTTATTATCTGCGCAAGGCCGAAGAACGCGCCTGTCACTGAGAGAGCCGTGCCTGTCGCCATCTTCTCCGCCGAGGAGACGACAAAGCGCTTCTACCTGAAGAAGTGGCTGAAAGAGGAGCCTGCCGATACCGATCCCAGAGCTCTCTTAGACTGGGACTACTACCTCGAGCGTCTGGGATCCGTCATCCAGAAGCTCATCACCATTCCTGCTGCGCTCCAGAAAGTCAGGAACCCTGTGCCTCGTGTCGCCCACCCCGACTGGCTCCAGCGCAGGATCAACATCAAGGACGACAAGATGAAGCAGAAGAAGCTGACGGATCTGTTTACCAAAGGGCCCCTGGAAGACATCACTAACCTGAACGGTCGGTCTGCGGCTGACATGGAGGACTTTGGCAGCCAACTCCTCAAGCCGAAGCAGGTGACTTCTATGGTGGCTTCGTCCCAGCCCGCTGCTCTCACTTCCCAGAAGCGAAAGTCGCCCGAGCCTGCCGAGAATGCGGATCCATTCGCTGCCCTGCCCAAGGAAATGCCCTCGCCTTCAGATGACTACGTCGGTTTCCTGCAATATCAAAAGCAGAAGTGGAAGATCCAGAAGCAGGCACGCATCCGCCGACGACAACTTTTCGGAGACCGACGAGGCAACAATCAGAATAACATTCAGAACACGTTCATGAAGCAGGCTCACTTGACCTTCATGAATACGTGGCAGCTGTTGCACCTCAAGCCAACGGAAACGCCCGGCATTGTGAACGCGCATGTCCTCATCGATGCGAAGATCCACTCGCTCAAGATCAAGGTACCCCGACAGGTGTTTTTGAACCTGAGGAGCGGAGAGATGCCGGATGTTGACATCCCGGGGTGTGAGGTTGAGCAGGTCAACCACACGCTGCCTAACGGGCATTCTTCTGTT